TGTTTTCATGCTACTATTTCATTGCTCTCAAGGGAAAGAGGATTTTCCTCAGATGAAGACACCAAGATATCTGAAAAAAAGGAAGTGGGAACTGTGGCCCCAGGCTGTCTGGGGTCTCTTCAAGTGGATTCATGGCCCAGCAGCTGGAATGAACAGGACTGGGAAGCTGGTTGTGTGAGCCCAACAAAGTGGGGGGTCACCCCAGGTGGGTTTCCTCATGTGAAATGGGGAGATATCACCAGTCCTTGGTCTCCAAGTGGCTGTGGCAATCGAATAAACCATGTGAGAAGGAGGGATGTGGAGAGGGGAGGAGAAGGGGCTGAGGTGAGGAGTTGCTGAGGTACTGTCCGTTCCCTGCCAAGTAGATTTCCTGCCCTGGATTGGCCAGGGGGTTGGCCAGAAGGGCAAGGACAGAAGCGGGAGCTGGGCTTCTCTGGGCTGTGCTAAGAGTTTGCCTCTTAGCAACTGTCTTCGTTCCAGTATCTTTGGGAATCCATTCATTTCCAACCCCTTTATCGTTGTAGGTATCCTTAAGCCCAAGTTTCTAGCTCTGAAAGGTTTTTCAAACACACATCTCTTCCCGGTTTAAAAACCATCCTTGGGGGCCTGGGAAGGTGGCTCAGTGGTAGAGTGCTTGCCTAGCATGCATGAAGCCCTGGGTTCAATTCCTCAGTCCCACATAAGCAGAAAAAGCCAGAAGTGGCGCTGTGGCTCAAGTGGTACAGTGCTAGCCTTGAGGAAAAGAAGCTGAGAGACAGTGCCCAGGCCCCGATTTCAAGCCCCATGAGTGGCTAAATAAATAAATAGTTTAATGAGTAAATGAGTTAACACAAATGAAAAAAATGTTCAGGGTCTCTATCTCCAGCATTTTACAGTTTAACAGGGTAGACATACCCACTCACTAACTTCACACACTTCAAGTAAAGTTGAGACCAGCTGTGTCTGGGGTTTGTGGGTCTCAGGAGAGCAGGGAACATGCAGCCCTGGCCCCTTGTCCTCACAGGTAAGAGCTGTTAGCTCTCTGTGCTGACCTGCCATTATTTCTCCATGCCAGGTCTAGGCCAGACCAAGTGGAGGCCCCAGGGGGCAGCAGAGCTGGCGCTGGAGGAAGTCAGGAATAATCCAAAGAGTCTACCCTTCAGGAGGCTTTCTGCCAGCAAAGGGGCTTTTGGGTCCTGAAACAAATGTTCTCTTCCTGTCCTCCACAGGACAGGAATTAGAGCCAGTGGTTCAGGAGCTGAAATCCACCTCTTGAGTCTGTGTGTGTGTGTCTGTGTGTGTGCGTGTGTGTGTGTGTGTGTATGTGTGTGTTAGCAGAGCTTATTGGGTGCCTTGGGGGCTGTTATGCCCAATCTCAGGTTCTGGATGCCATGTTTGGGATACATGGTAATACCTATTCAGGGAAAGAGAGTGATAGAGGAGCAGGCCACACCCCCTGATGAGTTCAGTGACAGTTCCTTCCTTCCTTTCTTCTTTCCTTCCTTCCTTTCCCTTTCTTTTCCTTTCGTTCCCTTTCCTCTCCCCCCCGCCCCTCGTTAACTGGAGATAACAGTTTCATGGACTTTCCTGCCCAGGCAAGCTTCAAACTATGATCCTTACATTTCAGCCTCCTGAGTAACTAGGATTACAAGAGTGAGCCACAGGTGTCTAACACTGACATAGTTTCTTGCTGAAATGTCAAGAGAGGAAATAGGGTCAATTGGCCCTGTGTGCATGCACAGACACATGCGCATAGATCTGGAGGTGTAACTATGAGAATTAAGCACAGTACTGTTAAGTACTCAGACACTTGGGAAGCCTCTCCACCTCAAGTGTGCAGGGCTGAGGAAGGGGTGGCCCAGGCATCAAAACCACAGTAGTCAGACCCTGGCCTCTTTAGTAGCTGCTCAGAGGTCAGCCCTGGAGGTTTGTTGAAGCTTATAGAACTTGGACTTCTCTTTTAACCTTTCATGTATAAAACAGTTGCTTAGCTAGTTGCTAGTGGCTCACATCTGTAATCCTAGCTACTCAGGAAGCTGAAATCTGAGGATCTTGGTTCAAGGCAGAAAAATTCGAGACTCTTATCATCAACTAAAAAGCCAGAAGAGTGGAAGTGAGGCTCATGTGGTAGAGCAGTAGCCTTGAGCAAAGAGCTAAGCAAGGGTTTGGGGCCCTGAGTTCAAGTACTGGCACACACACACACACACACACACACACACACACACACACACACACACACACACGATGTATGATATAGTAATGCATGGATGGATAGGCAGTAAAGATGAGTGACTCTTCTCTGGAGAGCTGGCATCCTCACTGAGGTTTTGTTTGTGTGTGTTGATAGGGGATTGGTATTTGAAACGGCTCCAGCAGGGACAGACCCTGCTCCATTCCTAGGCCCAGGGAAATGAGATAGCTTGTTGCAATGAAATGTTGATGAGCTGCAGAGGGCAAAGGGACAGATGGAATTCCTGGACAATTGTTCCGGCTGTCACCAGAGAGGACAAGCAGGAGGGAGCACTAGATAATTTATAGAGGGACAGATGCTAAGCCATCTCCGGAACCATCTGGCCAAGAGAGGCCTGGCCTTGGGGTGAATATTGTCTTTAGGTCTCAGAAAACTTTCTTCTCGGCTATCAGCTTTCTCTATTTCCTCTACCTGGGCTGCTTGCGGTCCTGGGACTTTTCCAGAAAGGGTCTGCTTCCCGAGGACTCAAGCCCAGAATCCCACCTGGCTCTCATCTCCCTTTCTCCATTGTTGAGTCTGGGGCCTGCCTTTGTTACCATTCTTTGCTAAGATCAAATAGAGCTGGGGTAGGCGTTATCTTCTCTTCTCTCTCTCTATTTTCTTTTTTTCCTTTCTTTTTTTTTTTTTTTTTTTTTTTTGTCGGTCGTGGGGCTTGAACTCTGGGCCTGAGTGCTGTCCCTCAGCTCTTCAGCTCAAGGCTAGCGCTCTACCACTTGAGCTACAGAGCCACTTCCGGTTTTCTGGTGGTTTATTGGAGATAAGAGTTTCATGGAGTTTCCTGCCCGAGCTGGCTTTGAACCTCGATCCTCAGATCTCAGCCTCCTGAGTAGCTAGGATTACAAGCATGAGCGACTGGTGCCAGGCTCTCTATACATTTTCTTTTTCTTTTTTTGGTCGGTCATGGGGCCTGAACTCTGGGCCTGGGCGCTGTCCCTCAGCTCTTCAGCTTAAGGCTAGCACTCTACCACTTGAGCCACAGCGCCACTTCCAGCTTTTTTCTTTTTGCTTATGTGGTGCTAAGGAATTGAACCCAGGGCCTCATGCATGCAAGGCAAGCACTCTACCACTGAGCCACCTTCCCAGCCCTTCTTCTATTATATTCTAAAATCTTTCACGTATTCACCTCTAAATCATTTATTTATTCATTAAAAATATTTATTAAAGCCGAGTGCCAGTGTAAATCTACTCAGGAGGCTGAGATCTGAGGATCACAATTCAAAGCCAGCCCAGGCAGGAAAGTTTATGAGACTCTTATCTCCAATGAACCACTAGAAAACTGGAAGTGGTGCTGTGGTTCAAGTGGTAGAACTCTCACCTTGAGCTGAAGAGCTGAGGGACAGCGCCCAGGCCCAGAGTTCAAGCCCCACAACTGAAAAAGAAATTGAGTATGTAATATAGCACGTGTTGTTTTAGACATTGAAGACATGGTTATGAGGGGGAAAAGCCCTAGATGCTTAGAATTTCCTTTGAAGTGGGACAGGTGGCCAATAGACATGGAAATATTTAATATGCGTCAGAAAATGACAATTGTTACGAGTGGGTGCTGGCAGCTTACATCTGTAATTCTACTTATTCTGGAGGCTGAGACCTGAGAATCATGGTCTGAAGCCAGCCTGGGCATACAAGAGAAAATTTTATCTCTGATAAACTGCCAAAAAGCTAGAAGTGAAGGTATGGCACACACAGATACAGTAATTGCTAAGAAAGTAAATATTAAGGCAGGACAAGTGAGGATAACTAGGGATACTGATTTTGATTCAGTGACCTGGGAAGGCTTCTTTGAGGTGATGATATTTGAGCAGAGATACAAATGGAAGAGAATACCTCTGAGACACAAAAATGCAAAGGTGCTACTGGCATGGAGAAAAGGTGAGACTTATTCACTAACTATTGTGTGCCAGGTACCTGGGATGAATTATAAAGACAATCAGATATAGGTTTTGTTCTTAAGATGCAGCTGGGCAAAGGTCACAACATGTAAATGAATAATTATGATATGCAATATCCATAAGAAAGTTATATGCGATTGCTAGAGTTGCCTAGTGGAGCTGGGAGGAAAGGCATTCCAGAGAGAAAGTTTTCTGGAATAGGTGCCATTGTTACAATAACAATTTCTCTTGGTCGGTTGTGGGGCCTGAACTCTGGGCCTGGACACTGTCCCTCAGCTCTTCAGCTCAAGGCAAGCGCTCTATCACTTGAGCCACAGCGCCACTTCCGGCTTTTTCTGCTTATGTGGTGCTGAGGAATTGAACTCAGGCCTCATGCATGCAAGGCAAGCACTCTACCACTGAGCCACCTTCCTAGCCCCTAAATAACAATTTTAAAAATAAAGAAAACTGAAGTACTTAGGAGAGGTAGAAAACGAAGCTATTAAGGTGAAAAAAGTTGGGTCACAAGGATCTTCACCTATCAGGCTGAAAGGCTGTCTTTATTCTCTGAGTGATAGAAAACCAATACCAGGTTTCTCCCATTATATTTCTGAGCTGTGTTCTCTCCTAGACGAATGCTTATCTATTTATTTATCCACTCTGTACTAGTCTCTTCTCCTTTTCCGCAGCGATCTCCGGACACCCCGAGCCTTTTTTCTGTTCCTGGATTTGGAAGACGCCCTTTTCCCATCACCTGGCATCCCAGTGCCTCAGGCCGAGGCCCCGCCCCCAGAGGCCCCGCCCCCCAGAGGTCCCACCCCCCGGGCCCCGCCCCCTCTGACGCGAGGCGCCCAGTGCGTGGGGATTCCCGCGGCCCTGGCCACTACCCGGCCTGCCCCGCGGCAAGATGGCGGCGTGAAGGCAGCTGGCGGCGGCGGAAAGTTTGTTGTGGGGTTGGAGTATTCGGGCGGCGGAGGCTAGAGTTGAGGAGAACCGTGGGGTTGAGGCGAGGAGTAGGCTCAGTGGAGGGACTGGCTCCGGGGTGGAGACGAGGCGGTGGATGGGGGAGGGTGGAGCGGAGGGGAGGGGGCCTGGAGCCCCGAGCGCGCTAGGGGAGGGGCCTGGGGCGGGGGCGCCGGGCGAGGTGTGGCTCGGGCCCTGCGGGAGCACAGTTAAAAATGGGCAGAGAATTTGTGAACGAGTGAAGAAGCCTCGGGCGCAGCCCAAGGCTGACTGGGGTGGGGGAATGGGCGGGAAAAGGGAAACAGCGAGGTAGGGGCGGAGGAGAGCTCTGGGGTTGCCGATTAGGTCTGCTTCAGGAGCGAGTTGGAGCTAGTGATGGATGACCCTCTTCCAGGCTTAGATCAGCCTTCCCACCGCTCCTAAAGCATCATCTGCCCCAATTTCAGCCGAAGATTCAAGGGCCCCTGGGACTGGAAGAAATCAGTGTCTGCTTGGAAAGAGGAAGAGATATCAGGCTTGCCCCAGCTCAACCCCAGAGCGGGTAAGGTGGCCTCCAGCGACAGGCTCCCGACTTCCCTGCTCCCTGGGAGAGGAGCCATGGCCTTGGAGTGATTCTGAGAGTCATTTAAACTGAAAACGGTGCTGTTCTGTAGAGATTAACTTTTCTCTAGGGGTCCCTAAGTTGGTGTTTTGCTTAGAATGCAATCTGCTTTTTGAGAGTTAGTGTAGAATTGAACCCACATACCTTCATCTGTACAAGCAAAGCTAGGCAAGGCCCTAGAGATCAGGCTGAAAACACTCTAGGATTCAGGCTACAAGCAATTTCCTACCTATATACCATTGTCTCTTCCATCTACCCATCACCTCTTCAGTTAGACCTTCTGCCTGGAAGTGTGGTGGCAGATGTAGGGAATCAATCAGAAAACAAATTTCTGATGGTGTTCACTAATCATTTATTTACTTTCTGACACCAACTCATGAATTTATTCTTGCCATCTACCTACTTTTGCAGTTTTCCTTTGGTAAGAGGGGTTTGCTAGTGGAATGCAGTGGTTTGGGGGTGGATGGTATCAGAGGTGAGGGGAAGGCAGCTTGGGACAAGGGAGAAGAAACTCAGATGAGCTGTGGCAATTGGTCCATCTGATTGGTATAAATAACTGGGGATATTTATCATCTAATACCTTACCCTTAAGATCCCTAATTAAAAAAAATTATTTTATCTTTTTTTTTTTAAATTTTTGTCGGTCGTGGGGCTTGAGCTCTGGCCTTGGGCACTATCCCTCAGCTCTTCAGCTCAAGGCGAGCACTCTACTGCTTGAGCCACAGTGCCACTTCTGGTTTTCTAGTAGTTTATTGGAGATAGGAGTCTCATGGACTTTCCTGCCCGGGCTGGCTTTGAACCTCAATCCTCAGATAAGAGCACATTTCTTTTTGGACATTGTCACCCCCTTGAGATCTCTAATATTTGAGTGTTGCTTTGTAGTTGGACTAATGAGGCAATGGAAGGAAAAACTTATGAAACTTGCCCTTTGTTTTGGTAACTTTCTTCCTTGTATTTTCTCCACCAAACCACATTAAAAAAAAAAAAATCGGGGCTGGGAAGGTGGCTTAGTGGTAGAGGGCTTGCCTTGCATGCATGAGGCCCTGGGTTCGATTCCTCAGCACCACATAAGCAGAAAAAGTGGTGCTATGGCTCAAGTGATAGAATGTTCCCCTTGAGCTGAAGAGCTGAGGGACAGTGCCCAGGCCGAGAGTTCAGGCCCCTGGACTGACCAAAAAAAAAAAAAATCAGGCCTGGCATCTGTAATCCTAGCTACTGAGGAGGCTGAGATCTGAGATTCCTGGTTCAAAGCCAGCCTAGGCAGAGAAATCTTAGGGATTATTATTTTCAGCAAAAAACTGGCATGGATATGTGGCTCAAGTGGTAGAGTACCAGAATTGAGTAAGGAAAGAGCACAAGGCTCTGAGTTTAAGCCCCAGTACTGGCAAAAAAAGAAAAATAATAAACTAAGCATGGCCTGACAGTAGATCAGCTGTGCTGGAGAAGAGAAGGGGACTAGAGCTAGAGTGGGATGAGTACCGAGAATGGAGTCCTTACCTCCTTTGTTGCCCAGTGGTTATGCCTGAGATAATTAGCATAAGCTGTGTTGCCCAGGCTGGACTTGAACTTCTTGGGCCAAGTGATCCTCCTACCACAGCCTCTCAAGTGCTGGGACTATGGGCATGTACTACTTCCCAGTGGGAGTAGGCTTTTGGTACTGGAGTTCCAACTCTTACGTTTGTCAGGCAGGTACTCTACCATTTGAACCATCCTTCTACATAGCTGGGATGACATAAGCCCCTGCTTGCCAGCTCTTTTTTTTTTTTTTTGTCATGGGGCTTGAACTCAGGGCCTGGGCATTGTCCTTGAGCTCCTTGTGCTCAAGGCTAGTGCTCTACCACTTGAGCCATGGGCTAATTCTGGCATTTTCAGAGTAGTTTATTGAAGATAAGAGTCTCATGGACTTTCCTGCCTGGGCTGATGTTGAACTGTGATCCTCAGATCTCAGCCTCCTGAGTAGTTAAATATGAGGCACTGGTGCCCGATGACCCAGCTTTTTAAAAAACTGGTTGAGATAAATATTTTGCCCAGGCTGGCCTTGAGTGGTGATCCTCCTGATCTTAGCCTCCAAAGTAATGAGGATTATAAGCATATGCCACTGTACCTGGCAGGGAGCAAGCTGCTGTTGCTCCTTTTTTTTTTTTTTTTCCTTTTGGTTACTACTAGGATTTGAACTCAGAACTTGGTGCGTGCTAAGCAGGTGGTGAACCATTTGAGCTATGCCTCCAACCCTCAGGCTCAAGTCAGTTTAGCACCTACATCTGCTTTATGATTAGACTGGGAAGTCTAGTTTGGTCTACAACTCCTCTTTGACTGTCTCTTAGTACCTCTACTCTCCAATCCCACCCTAAGTCACTGTTATCAGGCTAGCTTGGGTGCTTTTAGGTGTCTAAAGAACTGAAGGTATTTATCTGTAACTTGGTTTCTAAAAAGCCTTTTTCTCAGGGTAATTTATAAATGCCCCTTTGGAATCATCAAGAGCAGTGTAATAAGGAGTTGAGGGAGCCGACTCTAGAGCCTGCATGCCAAGATGGAATCCTGACCTTTGTTAATTGCATAGTTCTCTGTGCCTCAGACTTCCATTGATCAGTAGGGATGGTATGAATGCTAAATGAGTTAACACATTATTGACTTACTTAAGTGTTGTTGTGCTATTGAAATGCCAGCACTACCTTCTGCTTCATGAGGATCTGTAGTCGCTTGCCCTGCTAGGCTTAGACGAGGCACAGTTGGAGGATTGTATAGAGTTTTTGTGTAGCAAGAATATCTCCATAAGCTATTTAAAGTGGTGTCAAAATGCCAGTGATTTCCTGTTTGAAGTTGTGAGGGTGTGGAACGTTTATTTTTGGATTGGTATGGATTTTTTGTTATTTATGTATTTAGCTGGTATCAGGGTTTGAACTCAGGCCCTCATGCTTTTGCTTAGCTTTTTCACCTAAAGTTGGTCTCTACCACATGAGCCTTACTTCCACTTTGGGCTTTTTGTTGGTTAGTTGGAGATAAGAGCCTCATGGATTTGTCCATGCTGGCTTTGAGCCAGGATCCTCCTGACTAGCTAGGATTACAGGTGTGAGCCACTGGCATCCCACTCTTTAAAAATTTTGTTTGAGGTGGAGCCCTGCCTGGTCTGGCTTTGGACAAATAGTGATCCTCCCAATCTCAGTCTCCTGCAGAGCTAGGATTACAGGCGTGAGCCACCAGCACCTGACCTTATTTTTTGTTTTATTTTTCCCTCACAGGGTGAGCTCTTGCTATATTCCTCAGCCTGGTCACCAACTCTTGTAACCTCCTGCTTCTTCCCAAATAGTTGGTATTATAGACATGCCACATGGTGATGTTAACATTTAGATATGCTTACTGTTTGTTTGTTTGTTTGACTATATCCCAGTTCATCCTTCTTTATCTTGATAGCTGGATCTATAACTATTTTGTAGTGAAAAGTTTTTTGGTTGTTTAAAATTGTTTTCAGCTCTCTCTCCTTTTTTTTTTTTTTTTTTTCCCAGTTGTGTGGTTTGAACTCTGGGCCTGGGCACTGTCCCTGAGCTCTTCAGCTCAAGGCTAGTGCTCTACCATTGAGCATCACTTCCAGTTTTCCGGTGGTTTATTTGGGATGGGAATCTCATGAACTTACCTGGTACTGGTGGCTCACGCCTGTAATCCTAGCTACTCAGGAGGCTGAGATCTGAGGATCGAGGTTCAAAGCCAGCCCGGGCAGGAAACTCCGTGAAACTCTTATCTCCAATAAACCACCAGAAAACCAGAAGTGACACTGTAGCTCAAGTGGTAGAGTGCTGGCTTTGAGCTGAAGAGCTGAGGGACAGCGCCCAGGCCCAGAGTTCAAGGCCCACGATCGACCAAAAAAAAAGAAAAAGAAAAAAAGGAATCTCATGGACTTTCCTGCTCAGGCTGGATTTGAACTGTGATCCTCAAATCTCAGCCTCCTTAATAGCTAGGATTACAGGCGTGAGCCACCAGGGTCCAGCTCATTTTCAGCTCTTTATCACAGCTCTCTTCATCCTTCCAGAAGTACCGAATGATGTAGGGATGACAGCGGAGAAGGCTTGTTCTCCTGTGTTAGCCAGACCTAGGCTGTGTCTTCATGACTCAACTTGGTGACTATATTTTGTAAAACCTTGGGGCTGGGTGGAGTGAGCAGACTGACACTAGACTCTAATCGTAAAGAGGCGTGTGTGTGCCTGTGTACTAATATAGATGTAAATAGTAGTCTCGGTTCTTACTTTGATCACTGACAGGAGCAGTTGAAGTAGACACAGTGTTAAATTTGAGATAGTCTGCTGTAGGCTTTCTTAAAAATAGCAATCTATAGGCATGAAAAAAAAAATCAGTGGCATTTTAAACTGTTCTCTGTACTTGGTGGAAGGTAAAAATGGAGCTCTGATGAGCTTCTGCGGGCATGTTGTCTGACAAAGTCTTGGCTGGTGCTTTTCCTTCAGCTAGGAAGGAGGCTGCATGCAGCCTAGAACCAGAGGTGTGCTCCAAGTTTGATTGACTGGCTTTCCTTTTGCCCTGTATTTAAGACTCTCTTCTTCTGAGTCATGTCCTGTCTATTTAACACGCCCTGAGGGCCTGTGTTTTTCTTCTGTAGTTGATTCTCCAGCCAGCCACCAGAGCAGTCATGCGCCAGTGTCTAACCAGATTGTGGAGGGATTGGGGCTCCCAACTGTGAGCCTATCCTGGGAGCATTGGCCCAGCCCTCTGACAGACTTCTCTGTTCTTTGTTGCATCTGTGACTTTTGATAGGTAGGCAGCATCTGTCTGTTTTGCTCCCTTCCACCAATATCTTAGATGCCAGGAATCCCAGGATAATAGAACTTGAGCTTGACTTTCCACTTGTGTCAGCTTGCTGGAACTTGTTATTTTCATAGAGTACACCTTTGTGCCATGGTCACATTTCAGCAAACAACTGATCTGCAGGGTGAAGGCTGATAGGTTTGCAGCCAGGTCTTCTCATCACCATTCTTTCTGTTGTATAAATCAGTTTCCCCATGCAATGCCCTTTTCTCAGGTCCGTTCCCTGCCTCTCACCATTTGATTCAGTGCTTTGTCTTCAGTTTTCTCTTTGGGCAAACTGAGCCTTCATTTCTTACCTGGATGCAGCCTCTTCCCAGCTCTGGACTTAGTTCATTCTTTCTAGCTTCTTGGCCTTACACATCCGTGTGCTGTGTGTGCATTTCCTGACCTCATCCCATCTCCCTTTTCCTTCCGTTTTGTCCTTTCCTTCTCAGTTTATCTGTTCCTTCCGGCTGATGATATGGCCCAAGTGGTGGGCCTTGGGCGTGCTTGGCAAATGCAAGGCCCTGAGATCAAACCCCAGTGTATGTGTGGGTGTTCTTTGCTTTTAAGTCTTGCCACCCTGTACCCTTCTTCTCTGCTGACTTCCAGCACTGTGCTGCATTGTAGCCTCTTGCCTTGTTTGACGCTCTTAAGACTAAGTGTGCTGAGAACACATACTGTCTTATTTACTAGTATATTTCTAGCGTTGAGGATAGTGCAGGGCCCTTCATGTGTGTGATAGAAAGCTGTGATGCATATAGAATGAAGGGACTGTGCTTGCTGGCCCTTCTCTCCCCTTCCAGTCTATCCACCATTCTGTGGCAAAAATTACTTTCCTATTAAAAATTCTGACCTGAATGTTAGTGGTATATGCCCATAATCCCAGTACTCAGGAGGCTGAGACAGGACAATGGAGAGTTCAAGGCCAGCCTGAGCTACATAGTAAGACTGTCTAAAAAAACGAAACAGTGACAGCAACAAAAAAACCCTTTGCCCTTAGAAATACCATGAGTTCTCCGTTCAGTTGTGGCACTCCAGTGTGAGCTTGTACAGTGAGGAAGATGTATCTGAGTTCCCTGAAAGACAGTCTTTTTTTGGGGGGGGGCGGTACTAGGGTTTGAATTTAGGGCTTCATGCTTACTAGGTGCTCTACCATTGAGGCACACATCCAGCCAGGACAGGCTTCTTATCTGGTGCTCCAACCCTTGCCCAGTAATGCACCTCTCCTCTGATCCTGAAGCCCTGGCCACACTCCAGGATAAGCTGCTGTTAGTCTGTCTCCTTCTTCCCCTCCCCCCTGGCTCCAGGAAGATCTGTGTCTGGTTTCTTAGGGGCAAGGTCTTTACTGAGGCTAAGCATTTAAGTCCTGTGCATGTGTGCTGAGCAACCCTGGTTACTGTGACCCCACCTGTCTTTCCTGAGATTAAAGTAGTTGGGATCTCTCCGGTGAAACCTTTGAGCCCTCAGGAAGGAGGGCTCTGCATACACAAGAGGTGGTGGTGTTAACTATAGCATTTCCAGCAGTGAATTCTTGTGGTTATATGAGCTTTCAGGTGCTGGGCTTCTCCACTTGGAGCTTTTTTTTTTGGCTCGTCTTGGGGCAACTCTGGCCCGGGGCCCTGCCCCTGTCCTTCTATGCTCAAGGCTAGCGCTCTGCCACTTGAGCCACAGCTCCACTTCTGGCTTTTTTTGTAGTTTAGTGGAAATAAGACTCTCATGGAGTTTCCTGCCAGGACTGGCTTTGAACTGCAGTCCTCAGATCCCAGCCTCCTGAGTTGCTAGGATACGGGTGAGAGCTACTGCCGTCTAGCTTTACTTACAGCTTTTTTATGTTCTAATAACATGCTCCTAAGCCAGCAGCGAGGGGTTAAAAGAGGAGTTAAGTGCGCACACTTAGAGCTTTTCTTACTCAATTAGCATCTCCTAAAAAGTCTTGGCTGCTGGCATCCTCAGTTATTTAAGACTTTTCCGTGCCATCTGTCACCTGCTTGCTTTTCTGGTATTATAGATAGTCTCAGCCGGGGGTGCTCCGTGCCTTCAGCCAGGGCTAACCCCCAACTGTACTAATGCCCAGATGAATCAGAACTATGCAGCCAGTAGCTAAGTGTGGAATGCAGTGGTTTTCCTGGGGTTTGCTTCCGGGACCCTCAGGGTGAGGCGGGCGTTGTACAGGGCATGTCCTTGCTGATGAGCCATGTGAAACAGACCTGAGGTGAGGTTGGATGAGCCAGTTAGTTTGGATTGTGTTGTGCTCCTTCCTCAGAAGGCCACAGTCTGGCCATAGGTAGAAGCGCAGGGCTTCATTTTGCGTTACTGTCTTTCGTAAGGACCAGCTCTCTGTATAGATGTCACGCAGAATCTGTGTGGCCCCTTATGTGAGGAGCTGCTCTGCTGTCACGTGAACTGTGACAGGGAACTTGCCACCACTGCCTAAGAGGAGAGAGTCTGCCTCCTGGGAAGTCTGTCTGGGTCCCTGAACCCTTGTATTTCCACTCAGCTAACCAGTAGGATGGGCTTCTGAGCACTGGCCACTTGACCCCATCACAGGCCAGCCCAGCTTTGGAGGGTCAGACACCTTTCAGGGTCTTGCAGGGAGGGCAGAACTGGCTGGGCTCTCCTGTGGTTCCCTGGGCAGGGCAGCTGTGCACTGGAATTTGGAATGGGGTGAAACGTAGAGCTGTTCCAGTTGTGCTGTGATCTTGGGCAAATTATGTGTCCTCTGGAGCCTTAGCGTGGGAGAGCACTGCTGGGTCTTTGTGCCTCACTCATCATGGGGATGGGAGGAAATACAGTAGAGGTGGGGGGGGGGGGGGTGTTTGTCTTTCTATCAACAGTGAATACGAGATAGCTGTCTCTTGTATGGAAATACCAACCATACAGGAAAATGAAGCAAACTAAAGCAAAAAGACATTTCCTTTCAGCTCTCATTGCTCCTACCTCCTGACTCCACCCTTTCTTTTTTTCCCACCCGTTTCTTATGTATCCTTCTGATCTTCTTTGCATAGTCCTCCACAGACTTTGTCGTTCAGATCTGGTGCATATGCACTAGTGCATGCAGTGTTTTTTTGCTGAAGGAACTTCTCTTTCTTTCTTTCTTTTCTTTCTTTCTGTCTTTCTTTCCTTTCTCCCTCTTTCTTTTCTTTCCCTCCCTCCCTCCCTCCCTGCCTCCCTCCCTCTGTCCCTCTTTCTCTCTCTCTCTTTCTTTCTTTGTCATGGAACTTGAACTCCAGGCTACCTAGCAGTACCTTCAACCTTGTAGGAGCCTTTGGTGAACCTGGTTCGTTGGCTCCTTGGGAAACCTGGAAAAGCCTTTTTTTTTAGGGGCGGGGGCGGGGAGGGGTGGTATTGGTTTTCCTGAGTCAGAGTCTTACTATGTAATCCAGGCTGACTTTGAACTTTCCATCCTCTTGCCTTAGCCCCCTCAAGTGCTGGGATTATAAGTGTGTGCCACATCAGCTGGCACTGTGATGGCTGTTGAAAACAAACCAGACCCAGCTGTTGTTTTGTGAGTGGAGGTTCTGTCATGGTCCAAGCTTTCTCCCTAGGGCAGGAAAGAGATCCATTAATTTAGAAGAGTTGTTTCTCTACTGGACCATTGCTTCTCCTCCCCATCAGGCCTTGACTTTTTTGAGCTCTGAGACATAGAGAAATATCGGGAGCCCAGTGTGTGGGCAGCTGAAACTATTAAGAGGTTTCCTTTGTACATGAGTGTTGACCCTAGGCTTGTGAGGAGGCCTGGCACACGGTAGGGCCAGCGTGGTATTTCCTTTGTGAGTCATCACCGAGTCTTCAGAAACTCCCTAGAACTTGAGAGAACCTTCTATTCTGTATCTGCAAATGTGTGTGCCGTGACTGCCTGTCCTGCGCCTCACAGGACTGTCTGTGCAGCTCTGCTGCTGCTTTTTCTATGCCACGTCTAAGCTGGCATGTGTTGCTTCTCCCAGATGCTTCTCGAGGCTTCAGAGGGGAGTTGCCGCTGCTCCCTGGCTTGTTCTGATGGGGAGCCGCGCCTTCCCGGCATTGTTCACTGCGAGGCAGCAGAGCCTCTGTTGGAGGCCGCAGAGTCTGGAGAGTCTTCCTCCTTGCGAGTTGCACAGAGTCTCATCCTCTGGGGCTGACTTTGTGGGAAATGCCATCCCCCAGAGGTGGCTTGGTGCCACCTCTTTCCATGTTTGGCTGAGCTCTGGGCTGGGTCACACACTGGCTCATTGTATTGTGATTTCTGATGCAGCTCTGTGACTGCCTCTGAGCCCCAGCTGGTCTCCCCAGCCCCCCTGCAGCCTCTGGGAGGCGGTGGGAGGTGATCTGCTGGCGTGGGCATGGATGGGTAGCAGCTGTGGCTATGGGGCCTCTCAGAATGCAGCATTCAGAGACCTGGTGCAGCCTGGCAGCAGGGTTGGGGGGAGATGGGACTGTGGGCCCCCACCGCCCCCAGCTATCTACAATAGCTATCCTCTTCCTCTTGACCAGGCAGAGAGCTTCGTTTGCCTGGGTCAGTGAGCTGGGCCCACCATTGTGCAGGCGAGTACTCCACCTTGCCTGCCTGTGATCTGGGCGGCAGGGAGCTGCCGTGGGAATAATGGAGAGGTGGCAGTTCTTCCCCAGCAGGAGTGCAGTGTGTACTGTGGGCACCCGCAGCACCCACAGCTTGGCCTTCTTTTGCTCTCTCTTTGCAGCTCCAGAGCTGGGCTGCTCAAAAACCAAGCTGTCTGTTTGTATGGAGTGCCTGGAAGGTGTCTGCCATGAGTCTGTCGCTAACCGCACTAACCAGGAGAGCTGGCTGGTTGGGGAGAAGTCATTAACTCTGTGAGTCTGACCTTGACCAGCTAATGTGCCCTGATGCCACCAGCCTCTCTCTCCTCCACGCCGCCCCCAGCCCGGCCTCCTTCTCCCCTCAGCGTATCTCTCGCTTCCCTTCCTTCCCTCGTCTCCCTCTGTGGGTGAGGATGTGCCCCCTTCATGGCCAGAAGAGGAAGGTGTCCTGTTCTCACTGCCCAGCTACCACTGCAGTTCTCACTGCAGCCGCCAGCTTCCGCCTTCCTCGTGCACCTCCTCAGCAGGGGCTCCTCAGTCACCCTCAAATCAGAATCGGTGGCTTTCTACTCAGTCTGTGCTTTAGCACCACAGAATTTAAGAATCAGCCTCCCCAGGTGCTGGTGGCTCACACCTGTAATCCTAGCTTCTCAGGAGGCTGAGATGTGAGGATCACAGCTCAAAGCCAAGCTGGGGCAGGAAAGTCGGTGAGCCTCTTACCACCAGAGTGAAGTGAAGTTGTGGCTCAAATGGTAGAAAGCTAGCCTTGAGCAAAAAAAAAAAGCTCAGGCGTAGCTCCTAGGTCCTGAGTTCAAGCACTAGGACAGCACCCTCCCCCTCCACCCCAAAAAGAAAAAAAGAATTCTCCTCAGTTACTGCTTCTGTTTCTCCTGCCTCAAAGACGGATGGGGCTCCAGTGGGAACGGACTTCTGGATCAGACCATTTCCTCCCTTGTTTAGAGGGGAAGGTTACAGTGTCCCCATTGCTTTCCTTCAGGGTATGAGCTTAGGATCAGCTGCCAGGTTCTTTATGGGATGGGGAAGTGGAGAGGCACACTTTGGCCTGGCCCAGACCCGGGGCAGAAGAGAGAGGTAAACCGAAAGGAGAAACCAGGGCCCCATCTGACACTTCGCTCCACTGATGACCATTGCCCTGCAAGGCGGGCAGGTGGAGTTTGGCTCTACTCACATCCATGCCTGGTGCAGCTGGTGGACTTTAGTCAGAAAGAGCTGGAAAGAATGCCTCAGACAGGACCTGGTTTTAGACTTGTCAGGCCCAGAGAAGGTCCTGGCCCGGCTGGTGAGTGCTTCCTGCTGTGGTGGCGCTCCCACCACGGCCCTTCTTCCAGGTTTGGGAGGGAGAAAGGAAGTCTGGAGATGGGAGGAAGGCCAGGTTGTCTTGTGCTCCCATGGTGGTCTGCATTGATCCGTCTTGCCCCACTCCGTGTTGAGGCTGTGGAGGTAGTGCGCACCTGGGCAAGCAGATCTGGGGATTCTGTATGTGCTGGGTCGGGAGGGAGAAGACAGGGAGCTGACTGACTAGTGGGGATGGGGACTTGTGAATTTAACAGGGTGTAGGTGCTGCAGGGTCCTCAGGCCCCTGGAGAGGGAGTTGGGAAGCTGGAGGAGTTTTGGCTTGGCCCTGAACAGAAAGGCAAAAGGAGCCTAGAGTTGAGGCCTGATTTCAAGCCTCTCTTTCATTTTGCCCCTCCCTAGGAGATGGTATGAGTTTTCAGTCAAGTGTTGGCTGCAAACTTGGGGACTTTGGGGCCCTTCTTTTATTGGAGAGGGTTGGTTTGCTTGGATCTCTCCCTCTGTCTTTTTGGTCCAAGATTGGGACTCCAGTACCTGACTGCTATTACTCTTTGGCTGGCCCCCTACCAACTGAGTCAGGCCTCCAACCTCTGCTTGGATCTCTTATCAGTAATCTTCAGCTCCTTTGTTCTTGTCAAATATTTGGGTGAGACCAGGTGGGTGCTTGGTGTTTGCTCAGGTGGGGAGCCGGCTGAGCTCTCACAGCAGCTCTTTCCCAGCACTAGGTCTGGGTCCCAGGGTCACTCTGGGCAGATGACTCTTGCCCTTCTTTGCCTCCAAAGTTCTGTCGGTGTGTTTGGTTTGGAGTAGACTGGCCCAGGTCAGGGCTGCCTGCAGCTTGTAGTAAGAAGGTGAGATTGCCCTGAGGGTGGCAGGGCTGGTCTGGGCACACTGGCAGCATCTTCCAGCCTAGTCATCAACCCAGAGCAGAACCTCTGTCCAGGCCCCACCCTGTGAGCTGCTGGCTGCCTGCCTGCCACGCGCCCAGGATTGCTGAGGGCTTTGCTCATGGACCTTGGGAACAGCTGCATGCCGGAAACTGGGGGCTGATGGCAGGTGGGAGGGGTACCTGGAGGGGATGATGGGGGAGGCTGGAGGAAGCTTGGGTAGGGGCAGTGTGTTCTGTTGGGGGACAGTTCCAAAGTTCATAGGTAGCACGGAGAGGGGTGTGGAGTGGTGTAGAGAAATGAGAAAATTTATGGGCAATCCTCAGGGTCATTGCTGGGCCCCTTGCCCATGGTCACAGGGCTGGCCCTTGAAGGGGAGGGGGGCGCGGGGGAATGCTTTCTGTTTGTTGACTTCTATTTGGAGACAGAACCTGAGAACCTGCATTTTAGACGCGTGCCTGGTAGTGCATGGCTTCTCTCAGTTGCAGAATTCAGAAATTCTACATGCAAGGCCTGAGGCTGGGGACGCTTCCCAGAGAGGAGGCCTCATGGCCTGTGTGATGCGCCTGCCACATTTTGGTGAGGGGCTCTCTGAGGGCTGCTGTTTGTTTTTGTTATTTACTTGAATCCTGCTGGGTTCCCAGAGAATTAAGGCAGCCCACACACAGTTGGTATAGTCTGAAAGGCTGGCCAGGTTTTCCTCATCCTCATCATTTGAAAAACAGTAGCGATCACTAACATTGTTTGGACTTTGCTTGGGTGCATTTCAGAGAAGAGCTTTAGCAATTTTCTTGGTGATATGTGGACCCCCTGGATTCACTGACTCCCTCAAAGTCCCTTGCTGGCTTATTCCTTGACAGTTATGAGCAGAAAGGCTTATCAGTAGGTTTTGGAAATGGTCTGAGGCCAGATAACCTGATAAAGTGTTGGAACTATTCCTCCCCCCCTCCCCTGTCCTCCTCCTTTTCCCTTTGTTTTGAGGCAGACTCTGGCTCTATAGTTCAGGTTAGCCTGGAAACCATTATGCAGCCCAGGTTGGCCTTGAAAATCATGATCCTCTTGCTTCCACCTCCCAAGTGCTGGGTTGTAAGTGTAGGCCACCAAGCCCTGCAGGTACGTGGACATAATGTTTTTCTCACTCTGCCCTTAGTACTAGAGATTGAACCCAGGGCCTCAAGCATGCTGCGCTTGAGTTGTCTCCAGACCTTTCTTCATTTCATTTCATCCTTAGCTTTGCCTAGGTCTCCATCCTTTTACCTCCACCTCTCAGGTGGCTGGGATTATAGATGTGTACCACTATGCCTGATGAGACCACACACACACACACACACACACACATTTTTTTTTTTGTATTTTTTGGTGTGGGTTTTGGTGGCCTGGATGCTGTCCCTGAGCATTTTTGTTCAAGGCTAGTGCTCTGCCACTTGAGCCACAGCTCCACTTATAGCTTTTTGTTGGTGGCTAATTAGAGAGGAGAGTCTCACAGGCTTTCCTACCCAGGCTGGCTTTGAATTATGATCCTCAGATCTCAGCCTCCTGAGTAGCTATGGCTATAGGTGTGAGGCACTGGCACTTGGGCAGGACATAGTTTCATAGCTGCAGTGTTGGGGATGTAGGGAGTAGGGAGGTGGTCCATGTAGGGCAGGCTGCTGACCTGGTCAGAGAGGTCACGCAGGGACTGCTAGTGCAGAAGTTGGGGAGTGCGGGGAGGGGGAAGGCAAGGCTAAAGTGGGAGAAGCCAAAGAGCAATGCCCATTGTTTATTCAGTCCTGTTGCCTCTCCCGCAGCTTTGACTTTGGGCAGACCCTGGCAGGACTTCAGAGGGAAGTGGGAGAGCAACCAGGCCTCTTGGGCTTGAATCTTTCTCCTGTTGTCTCCTGTGAGTGCTGGGAATTGGAGTAGGGATTCTCTCCCCTCCACCTCCAGTAGCACACCTTGATCGTGGTAGAAGCCCCTGGTCACTTGCACATACCTACGGAAGGGGGCGAGTGTGAGCCCTGTCTCCTGGTGAGGGTGCTGCCTGGCACACTTTTTGCCCTTTGAGCCAAGGACACTGCTCAGCCAGCCCCTTGTGTCTTATCTGTGTCTGTGTTCTGTTCAGCTGTTCAGTGGGTTCACAGTGCAAGTTCTCTGTGCATGCAGAGTCCCATTCTAATGAAAGTCGACTTTGTTCTCTAAAGGCAGCTAAATCGTGCCCACGGGCTGTAACCAGGGAGAAGGTATTTAATACAGGGCAGGCGGCAACAGGCGGCCTGCGCCGACGGGCAGATTGCAACATGGCAGTCAGGAAGCACGTGTGCGAGCGGGCACACACACACACACATACACACAGAGCAGATATGAGGTAGTCTCTCTGAGAACTGACTTGGAGTAAGAGAAAAATGAATGCTATGCAGCAGAGACAGAGCTGGGGAGGGAGGGAGGGGTGAGGTGAGTCCCTTTGCCTTCTCACCACACTTCCAGGAATGGGGAGGGATGGCACCTACTCTGGGTGCCTTGTACAGCACTGGCAGGTCCAGCCCATGTTGCCACAAGGCATGCTGGGTCAGCCAGGATTTCCTCTGGGGCCTCAGCCCTTTCCCCAGGGCACAGCTGTTTGCAGCAAAGGCCAGCACATGCCTTAATAGTCCTGTATTGTGAGTCTTCTGCCCCAGACCCCTGAGACTCAGGTCGCAGGGGTGAGGATGGGGGTGGGGCTCTTCCCTGTTCACTGCTAAGCTTCTTCCAGACCATCTTGATGGTGCCCAGGACTCGCTTAGCAGCCACAGGCCAGAAGACCTCACTGGCTGGCCTAGGCTGCTGCGTGCTTGGAATGGCCCATGGCCCATTCAAGGCTGTTCTGGGAACCACCTCTTTTTAGCACAGGCTTGGGAGTGCTCTGAGTTGCCACACAGAACAATCTGGGAGACTGTTGGGTGAAAGACGGGGTCCTCAGAGGCCACACCCACTAGCTGAGTCTCCCTGGTGAGGCTGCTCTGTCTGATGCTATCTAGTGTACCCTTTTTCTTCCAGCCTGGGGGACCCGTGTCCTGTGCTCTCTCTTCCCTTGCTTGGCTCTCCAGTCAGGAGAGTGAGCTGCCAGCCCCTGTGTTCCTAGTCATTGCTGGAATTGTGAGGCCCTCACAGGCTGCAGCTGGGCCGCTTAGTAGATTTGGGAGCTGGAGCCAGGTCCTGGGCATCCTGCTATGCCCTGGTTTTCGTGGCCATGGGCCAGGAGTAGCACAGATCTCCTGTGTGGGCTTGGCCATGAACTGTCCCCTGTGAGCATCGCCTCCTGCTGCTCTCCCTGGGCCTCCCATGCTGGTCATCCTCCACCCCAGCCCCAGCGTCCCTGTCTGCATTTTTGACCAATCTTACTGCTCGCCACACCCATACCTCTGCCTCCCACTCCTTGGAGCCGGGGAGCCCTGGGAAGGGACGTGTGCTCAGGGTGAGGCAGGGTGAACTGGAGAGTGAGACTCACAGGTAGGAGTAGCAGCCTCCTGAGCGTGTCACTGACTTTCCTGCCTACTCCTGTTCACCCAGGTGCCCTGGTAGAGCATGATATGGTCCTTCCCGGGGTCAGGGGTAGGGAAGACAGGAAATGGGGGCTGGGACATGCCCCACCATCAGCTTCCCCGTGGTTTTCTGCCAGCATGCTCTCTCAGCCTGCTTTCTTTGTCTCAGACCCGTGGCCCTGCCGTTTCTCAGTCCTATCTCCCACAGTCACGCCTGCAGCCTGCACCCATTCCCACATGCCGTCGAGTGCCAGGGCCTGAGTGGCAGGCTGGTCTGGGTGGCCTCTGGGCTTCTCCCTTGGCCCCCAGGAGTCTCCACTCCAGGGCTCTCTGGAGGTGCAGCCCTGGGGACCAGGGTCTTGTTTTTTCCCCCACACCCCAGGAATGTGCTGTTCTTCCAGGCCTGCCCAAATTCCTGTGCAGGGAACAGCCCAACAGCAGCATGCTGCCCGTGCCCTGTGGGGACACGTTCTGCAAGGGGGTGGAGGCTAGGGGCTTGTGCCTGCACTACTCACCCCTGCCACCCCCAAAACCTCAGGCCAGGGACCAGCCAGAGGAGGGAAGCCACTCCTGCTTCTCCCACCCCACTCCTGCCCTAGGCTGTGTGGAATGTGACAGGAGTCCTGGCCAGGGCGTGTCCTGACAGCGAGCGTGTGCACCAGCCCGCCGGGCTTCCCTGGCCCAGCTCTGTTTGGGTTGCTGGGGTGGGAGTGGGAGGACGCTTTGTGTGCCCAGAAGGCCGCCTGAGGTGGCTTCTTCCTGATTACCAGGGTGGCTGCTGCCCCCGTCCTGCTGCCCAGCTTACTGCAGGAGGGCTGGAGGGGATCTCGAGGGGACCTCAGGTTCCTCACCTGCCACATCTGCCAGCGTGTGTGGAAGGAGGTGTTCCGGTGCCAGAGCCTGGCGTCTTCACTCCACAGCCTTGGGTTTTCCAAACCAATGATTCTCAACCTTGACACTGTTGCGTGTGTGTGTGTGTGTGTGTGCGCGCGCGCGCGCGCCTGTGCCAGTTCTGGGGCTTGAACTCAGGACCTAGGCACAGTCCTTGAGCTTGTATGTTCAAGGCTAGCACTCTACCACTTGAGTCTCAGCTCCACTTCTTGCTTTTTTGATAGTTAATTGGAGAGAAGCATCTCATGGACTTTCCTGCATGGGCTGGCTTTGACCTGCCATCCTTCTGAGTAGTTTGGATTTCAGGGGTGAGCCATGGGCACCCGGCTAGCACTATGGATATTGTGCATGGACATTTCTTTGTCCTGATCATTAGAATGCTTTCTGCTAACAGAGACAGTAGGGCACTCCCTCCTCCCTCTGCCCTGCCTCAGGTTTTGACAACTGAAAATATCTCCAGACATTTGTCAGAATTTAGACATTTGTTTAAATTACCACCTTTGACTTTCTTTCTTGGCTCTACTTTTCCTCCTTGCCAAGTCTGTTGCCTCTATGTTCATAGACATGGTCCTTGAGTTCTGTGTGGAGCTATTGCCGCAGCACTTTCCAGCATCTTCTCTGCCCATCTTCTTGCATCTCTCCTAGGCTTTTTCCCTGGTGTTGTCATTTTCAACCTATGGTTGCTGGTTCTGGGCTCTGAGAGGCCTGGGAGATGAACAGGACAGGATTTGGGGGAGGGACAGGGAGCAGCATGTGGTGAGTTGAGACCATGAACTAGACAGACACGTGTTTCATCTGGAGAAAGGCAGGAACCCATCTCCTCAGTCATTTCCTGCCTTCGCTTTTCCCCGTAGACCGCCTGTCCCATCATCTCCCTCCCTGCCTCTCCCTGAGGGGCCTTCCAGATCTTGGACAGGCTGGCTGGCCTGTGGCACTGACAGACAGGCAGGCGGCCGACACCGGTTTCCTCTTTCTTCCCTTCTCTGATTTCAGGAGCCTTTGGCTGGAGGAAGTGGAGGGGCTGTGGGATGTGGAGAGCCAAGGGCTGACTCCTGGACAGCGGAACAGAGAGAGCTGCTGACAAACAGACGGTATGTCCCTGAGGTCCCCACCCCACCCCACACCTGGCTCTCTCCCAGGAGGCTGGCAGTTTTGGGCACAGGCAGATGTCCTGTCTTGGTGGGGCTGGGGAAAGCTAGAAGGACTCTTAGAGAGCTTTCCCGAGTTTGGAGACCCTTGAACTAGAGCCTGAATTGGGTAAAACACACTCAAGCCCTTAGGATTTGGTTACTTTTTTTGTGTCTGTATTGGGGCTTGAACTCAGAGCCTGGTCACTGTCCCTTAGCTTTTTCACGTAAAATTGGTGTTCTACCACTTGAGTCATACAGCTGTACTTATGGCTTTTGGGTGGTTAATTGTAGATAAGACTCCATAGACTGGGTCTCAGGTTGGCTTTGAACCACTATCCTCAGATTTCAGCCTCCTGAGTAGCTAGGATTACAGGCGTGAGCCACTAGTGCTGGGCTGGTTACAGTATGTTGAAAACATTGTTGAGCACTTCCTAAGTGCTAGGCCCTGTTCTTTTTGATTTGTTTCTGAGTGGCTCTGTAGTCCAGGCTGGCCTCAAACTAATAGCCTCTGCCTCCAAGTGCCACCAGCGATGGTGTGGGCATTGTTCTTTGTGCTTCACACAGCCTTCTCAGTAGCCTGGTGATGCTGGCACCTTGTGTCTCAGGGGAGAGCAGAGGAGGTGGATGCGCAGAGCACGTTTCCTTCTGTGGCCCACTAGGCCCATACCGGAGAGGAACCCACCCCATCCCTAGAGCAGGGGTCACTCACCCTGGAGCCCTGTGCCCTACTTTTCCCACCTATCTGTACCCTCCGGGACCTCTGTACCCCTCAGGGACTGATAAGCGGAAGTCTAGCCCTTCTCGTTTCCCCAGCCATGGCCAGGCCCCTGTGCCATGCAGTGGCGCCTCCATCTGTCCCCTTTCATCATCCTTCCTGGCTTCTCAGTCCACAGACCTCGCCATCATGTCTTTGGGCCTCTTCCTTCCTGGCTTCCTTCTTCAGGTGGAGGAGCCTGCCACCCTCCCAGAATGACCACTGCAGCCCCTGCTAAGAAACCCTATCGTAAGGCACCACCGGAGCATCGGGAGCTGCGGCTGGAAATTCCTGCGTCTCGGCCTGAGCAGGTCAGCAAGCCTGGCACCCCGGCCCTGGTGGCTGGCAGAGGGAGGCCTCTGAGGCTGGCTCTCCGGTTGCCTCCTCCAACCTGAGCTGCTCGCCTCTTAAGTTGGGGGCGATAGTGTGGCATTGCTGAGAGAGGCCTAAGGTCTCTTGCTGTATCAGAGCCACAGTGGAGGCCATCTAGGCCCGTCTGTAGATTATATCCACATATCAGGGAGCCCCAGATCCTCCCAGCTCAGCGGAAATCACTCCATGTTGCAGGAGACTGGGATGTGGTTCCCATAGTGGAGAAATAGCCTTCAATCTGTAGCCCCTTCGAGCTACTTCCCATCAGAACAGCTTCTCTTCATTATGAAGTCTGTTCTTCCTCCAATTTCGTTTGGCCAATGTATGAAATACAAATTCCGGGCCAGCAATTGTGTTAAGACCAGGCCCTGCTATCGGGGGCTCTAGTCAGCGAGATTGGCTCCTTCCTGATTGAGCCAGCAGGAGGAGAGGGGGTGAGCTCACCTTGCTGCCACACCCCTTCCCTGCTGCAGTGCTCCAAGCACATGAAAGACCTCGAAAGACAGAAGCAGACACTGGGCACCGGGTGTGTGGATTCAGGGAAGAAATGCCAGACCTTACATTTCAGTTCAGGAACCATCGGATAATGCCCAGTAGGCATTCCCGGGTTTTCTAGGCGAGAGAAGCAGTATACGGTAGAGTAGGCTCCAGTCTCATTGTCGGTGGCTCTGAAGGCCAAGGTCTGGCCACTCACCTTATTCCCCATGAAGCCTGCAGGTTTGGAGCCTTCAGCTCCATTGTGCTCCTGCCGTAGCAGGTGCCTGCTCCGCTGTGTGCTTTGTCTGCGCTCTGGCTTTTGGGCCATGTCTGCTATAGGGGTTGGGAGAATATGGGGCAGGAGGTTCAAAGTGGGATGTGAAATATTGCTCCTGTCAGTCAGGATTATCCCAGAGGCTTCACTCTGCCATGCACAAGAGAAAGCATAAATTAAGCTTGTTCAGATGTTGGGATGTGGTAGGGCGCCGTTTGGAGGTGGGTCAGCCAGGCGGCCCATGGTCCGGAGGGAGCTCGAGCCTCAAGCTCCTGTTCTCTTTTGCACAGGAGCCCCTGACGGACGCAGAGAGGATGAAGTGAGTATCAGCCCCACTGTGGCTGTGTCCTCTTAGCTCCTGGCTGGGCTGTTGGTACAGTCGAGCTTTGCCTTGGATTAGGTAGAGGTAAAGGTTGCGCTGGGTGTTTTAGGGAGTCTGGGATGGTTTCGTGGTGTGAATATTCTCTCTGGGGAGACTTTCCCTTGTTCCATGCACTGTGGTCCTGTTCTTGGCTCCAGAGGCAACAGTGCCCTCCTGGGCCAGCCTCCTGGAAGCCCTGTCAGGGATCAGAAGCTTCTGGAAAGAAGGCCAGTGGTGTCTGTTAGTCATGGAGAAGCCTGACTGTGGAATGGGAAACGAGCTGGGGCTCGGTGGCTGGAAGGCTTGGGTGGTAACCAGAGACGGGTTGGGAGCTCTGCTGGCTCCAGGACTGTCCCCTGCTTCTGGTGAGGGCCAGCAGCCTGTGGCACGTGCCATTCTAGACTTTGGTTTGAAGTGCCAGGAATCCCCTGCCCCACTTGCCTGTCCTCAGATCACCCTTCTCTCTCGTTCCCCAGCCCTGCCTGTAGCTTCACGTCTGTCCCCCTCTCTCTGATGCCCCTCTGTCCCCCCCAATGCCCTCTAGGCTCTTGCAGCAGGAGAATGAAGAGCTTCGCCGCCGCCTGGCCTCAGCCACCAGACGCACTGAGGCCCTGGAGCGGGAGCTGGAGATCGGGCAAGACTGCCTAGAGCTGCAGCTAGGCCAGAGCCGTGAGGAGCTGGACAAGTTTAAGGACAAGTTCCGCAGGTACGGGGCGAGGGGACGGAGAGGCAGGCCAGCATCCCCCCCCTTGGAAGGCAGTTAGCTGGGAGAGCCTCAGATCCCACCTGATTCTGATGAGAAACCTTGAAGTTCTGGGAAGAGAGGGACTTGCCCAAGGTCCCACACGGAGAAGGGCCAAGCAGGGCTCTGCCTGTGTCCCTCTACAGGCTGCAGAACAGCTACACTGCTTCCCAGAGGACCAACCAGGAGCTGGAGGACAAGCTGCACGCACTGGTAATGTGTACGGGAGGGCAGCTTGGCTGTGCTCACAGCATAGCTGGTGGCCAGGACTTACAGGGGAAGCCATGGGGCCTGGGGCCGGGGGAGGGGTGGGGTGGGCGGGGTGGGAGGAGACCCGCAGTGTGCTGTGCAAGTGGGGACTGTCTTGATGCTCACACTGTTTCTCTTCTCTCCTCGTCTCCCCCTCACGCTGCCACCGTCGCTGCTGCACTCTCCTCTCAGGCCTCTCTTAGCCACAGCTGGATTTTTGCAGTTGCGTCTGAGTTTGTGTGATTTCTCCCTTTTCCTGGCCTCCTTAGCCCAAGATCCCTGTTGTGGGGCCCTGGCCGTGTCCCTCTGCCCCTGTAGCACACCACTGCTCTCCTGTCGAGGCCCATGGAGTCTCCAGGAGAGGGCTGGAAGGGCTCCTGCTCCTGGCTCTGGTACAGGCTGTGATGATTGTCACCACTGAGCTCTCAGCTTCTCGGCTGTGGTGGCAGAAAGCCCAGGCATCGATCCAGTCCCTGAGCTGAAGACCAGGCAGCTACTTTGAAGCCTGCAGCTCCCTCCTTTCCCTGCTAGATAATCCCAGAGACGCTCCCCTCCCCGCTCCTGCATCCTGGCCTGATCAGGGGCACTGCTGCACACCTAGCTTTCATCCTGGCCGCAGTTACTCCCTCAGAGGCGCCAGCTGCGGGCCTGGTGCCTCAAGCCCTTCAGGCTCCCTCAAGGATGGACAGCTCATAGTCTGCCTCTTCTTACGCCCACATGGCACTCGTTATGCTCAGAAAGCCCCTGGAAAGCAGGAGAGGTGCCCAGTCTCCTTCTGTCTGTCCGCCGTTTGTCTCTGCTCTTGTCTGCCTTGGCTGCCCTAGCGCCTGTGACTTCATGTCTCCTTGGCGGGAGGAGTGGAGGGAGGCAGGGCTAGCCGGAGTCTGGGCTGACCCCGGGTCTGTGTCTCAGATCAAGAAGGCTGAGGTGGACAGGAAGACACTGGACTGGGAGATCGTGGAGCTGACCAACAAGCTGCTGGATGCCAAGAACACCATCAACAGGCTGGAAGAGCTCAATGTAGGTGCACGTCCCCGGCCTGGGGCCTCCCCCCGCCAGTGGCTGGCTTTGCCTGGGCCTAGCCTTGCTCCCTTGGGCAGGGCTGAGCTGGCTTCTGAAGCGGCTCTGTCTCTAGGAGCGGTACCGGCTGGACTGCAACCTGGCCGTGCAGCTCCTCAAGTGCAACAAGTCCCACTTCCGGAACCACAAGCTTGCCGACGTGAGTGGAGCATGCTGTGCCCGCCTTTCCCGTCTCCCCGTCAACTCCCTCTCCACCTTGCCTTCCTCCGACTTCCCTGCCACCCCTCAGGCTGCTCAGCCCTGCTAGTGTTCTCAGCTGTCTAGGGCCCCTCACGAGGCCCTGTTTATATTTCTATAGCGGAAATAGGGGCTCAGTTGGTTGGAGAAGTCCGTGCAGAAAGGATTGGGTGGCCAGGGTGTTGAGAGAAGGTGGGGCCCATCTGACCCTCATCACCCCAAGGGGTAGACTATAGACCCTCGAGCAGGTTGAATGGAAGTGCATTCTCAGGCCTGGTGGTCAGGACAGGTTTCCCAGACCAGGTCTGGCTTGGGCAGAAGCCTCTGCAGAGGTTAGCGAGAGCTGGAGAGCTCAACAGCAGATCTGGGAACAGGGCTCAGCTGTGGTCACTCAAAGCTTCACTTTATCCCCCCGAACCTGTTTACCTGTGCCATGAGGTTATTCGGGAGAGAGCATCAAATGTGCTGGCGCTTTGGCCGAGTCCCGCTGTCTTGTGTTGCGATCAGCCGTGTGTTCCTGTCTCCTTTTATCCCAGCTGCCCTGTGAGCTCCAGGACATGGTTCGGAAACATCTGCACAGTGGTCACGAGGCTGCCAGCTTGGACTCCGCTCCCAGTCTGGCCCCAGGGGCTGTGGTGCCCACTTCAGTCATTGCCCGGGTGTTGGAGAAGCCGGAGTCTCTGCTGCTTAATTCGGCCCAGTCAGGCAGTGCTGGGCGCCCCTTGGCTGAGGACGTGTTCGTGCACGTGGACATGAGCGGCGGGATTCCGGGGGACCCAGCTAGTCCTCCAGCCCCAGGCAGCCCCCATCCCCAGCCCAATGGGGAATGCCAAGCTCTGGGGACTGCGGGCGGCTTCCCGGAGGAGGAGCTGCCCCTGCCAGCCTTTGAAAAGCTGAGTCCCTATCCTACCCCGCCCCCGCCACATCCTCTGTATCCGGGTCGCAGGGTCATCGAGTTCTCCGAGGAGAAGGTCCACATCCCTCGCAACAGCCCCTTGCCCAACTGTACTTACGCCACCCGCCAGGCCATCTCCCTGAGCCTGGTGGAGGAGGGCAGCGGCACCCGCCCCAGCCCGGGGCCCAGCAGTCCTGCCTCCGCCGGGGCTTCACCCCACCACCAGCCCAGCCCTGCCCCGCCGCCGCTCAGCACCCCCGCCAGCTCCGCCAGCTCGGAGGAGGACCTGCTGGCCAGCTGGCAGCGCGCTTTTGTGGACCGCGCGCCGCCTCCGGCCGCTGTGGGCCAGCGCACAGCCTTTGGGCGGGACGCACTCCCTGAGCTGCAGCGCCATTTTGCCCTCAGCCCCACGGACAGAGACCAGGTGATCCTAGTGCCTTCTCCACCTGAGGATCGCGGACTTCTGCCGCCCACAGAACCTGACGCCGGGTTTGCCAGGGAAGAGGAGGAGGAGGAGGAGCTGAACCTACCCATCAGCCCTGAGGAAGAGCGCCAGAGCCTGCTGCCCGGCGACAGGGGCAGCGAGGAGGGGCCCCCTGCTTCCCACGCGGAGGCCAGGGCCTGGCCACTCCCCACTTCCACTCGCCCCCAGCGCAGCCCCAAGAGAATGGGGGTGCACCACCTACACCGCAAGGACAGCCTGACCCAGGCCCAGGAGCAGGGCACCCTGCTGGGGTAGGCCTGCTTGCCTTCCTGTCCAGGCCTTGACTTCCCCGCTGCCCCACCCCGCTCTGTCCCACGAACTGGAGGGGCCCAGCGGGTCTTCCAGCGGCACCCACACGGGCTGGCACCGCTTGCCCACCTGCGAGTTTTCCCTTTCCTCTTGGAGTATTTCTCCTCCAAAGGTAACTGGCAGCGGGGGCTCGGGCTGGGGCCGTGGTGGGGCCATGGGGCTCATCAGTGTTCACTGCTTCTTCCCTTGTTCCTGAGCTCTGCCGGGTTCTCACCTCACCCGCCACTTTCCCTCTGTGTGCTGCTGCTGGCCTCAGGGAAGAGGGAGTGAGTGACCGACTGGACTCAGGGCTCCCCGCAGCTCTTTGCCCTCCCTCTAGAAGAGAGGGTGGGCTGTGGGGGCTTCAAGTTGGGCTCTGGGTGAGGCCTGACTCCCTCCCCCCCCTTTTTTCTGTCAGTCCTGGGGCTTGAACTCTGGGCCTGGGTGCTGTCCCTCAGCTCTTCAGCTCAAGGCTAGCGCTCTACCATTTGAGCCACAGTGCCACTTCTGGTTTTCTGATGGCTTATTGGAGATAAGAGTCTCATGGACTTTCCTGCCTGGGTTGGCTTTGAACCATGATCCTCAGATCTCAGCCTCCTGAGTGGCTAGGATCATAGGCATGAGCCACTGGCACCCTGTTGGCCCCCTTCTTAACGTTGGCTCTAGACTGTTACTCCCAGCTTTGGGGAATTTTCACAATAACGACTATTTTAAAATCAAATAAAACTATTTTACTGGTATGGCCTGATTTGCCTTAATGGACATCCCTCTCCTCTCCCCATTGAGTGTCCGGGTCAGGCTTTGCCAAAGAGGCTCCCCTCCTCCCACTATTCTGGGCAAGCAAGGACACCTCAGATGATTTCCCGCCTCCCCCCTGAGGTAGGGTCTGGTCCAGCCCAGCTCTAGAAGGCTATAGTTGCCATTTTTTATGTGGCTGTATCACCAGGAATCCCAGATTAGAGCTGGCCTGGGTCTAGTGCAAGCTGCCTGGAGGCAAGGCTGCGGGGTGGTGCTGCCCCCTGGTGGCGGTTAGTGGTAGTTCCAGCTCCTCCCCTTGGACATCCCCAGTGACCACAGCCACACGCCAGGTTATGGAGTTCATAAAATCTCTTCCGAGCCAGCGGGTTGCAGCCACAGCTGCTAACAAGTCCAGAGGCCATGCCCTGGGTTCAACTGCCGCCCAAGACAGTTGCCTACTCACAGCTTCCAGAGCTTCCCATCAGAGCCAGGAGCTGCCAGAGCCCTAGGCACAACTCCCCCTCCCCCACCCCCCCAAGCCCCAGTGTCTTTCCCTGTCATCCGAAGGAGGGTGCTGGGTGTCACACACGGACAAGTGTGAGGGTGCACGGAAGCCCGAGTGGAGGTCACATCTCAGTCTCTGCCAACAGACTGTCCCCTAGTCCTGACGTCATTAGCACCATCTGAGAGCTGGGGTCTGTGGAAGGCAGAGGGGAGTTTAGGCCTCCACTCTCCTCAGACAGATGAGAGGTGAGACACAGCCTAAGTTTCCCACACCCACTCGCCCTTGCCTGGAATTTTCCAGACTTTTTTTCTTTTCATCAACCCTCAGGTTCTTACCGCTGGGGCACATCCAGGAGCTGTTGCTCTTCTGGTGGGCGGCTGGCTCCCGCCCTCTCTCCCATTCCTGCGTGTCGCCAGCTCCTCCTGCCGCCTCCTCCTCCTCCTCCCCCTCAGAGAGGAGGTCACAGATCTGCTGCTGCAGCTCTGGGCTAATGCTGTTCTCAGCCAACACCAGGCTCCGCAAAGCGGTTGGATAGTTTTCTACCATGTCCAGCAGGGTCTGGGTGGTGGGGCGAGAAATACAGAAAAGGAAGGACCTATCTCAGTGGTAGCTCTGACCCGGCCTGTCGCTGTAGGTACATCCCTGGACACACTGACTAACCTCCACCCCATCACCTGGCTTGTCCCCACACCATGATGGCTTCTCACCTGAGCTGACTGGTTGGTGAGCCCTGTGCCCTCCAAGTCTAGGACCTCTAGTGTGCGGCTCGAGGCCACAGCTACAGCCAGCATCCCTGCCACATGGTCACCTGTGGGGACAGCACACACACACAGACACACACATTCACCTGTGTTCATGCATAGGCCTTGCTCAGCAGCTCCCGAAGCCCTAAGAGCCTGGCCAGGAATCCCTGACCCCTGACCCCTGGTGGTAGCCAAGGAGGAAGCATTGTGATTGGAGAGTGAGTAGTGGGGTGCAGCAGGTGAGGTCCAGGGGTGCTTTGACCTGCCTGCTGGCCACTGCAGGGGGACTCCTCTGTCACCTCTAGACTCTAGGGGCTCTTATTCGAATCCTCTTGCCATACCCTCTGGGGGGGGGTTGCCATGGCAACCGGTGGTCAGTCATTCTTAGATAGGGTATGGGAGGAAGTGAGAAGCTAAGGAGATCGTCTCAAGCTCACCCAAAGGGTTGTAATCCAGATTGAGGACGCGGACCTGGGAGCTGTGGGCCACAGCAATGGCGAGACGGCTCCAGCCCTTAGGGGTGATGCCAGGGTTGGCACTCAGCGTTAGCTCCTTTAGTCCTGGGCAGCAGCACATGAGAAGCCAGGGGAGGAATGGTTAGGCCCTCCTTCAGCTCCTTTCTGGGGTGTCCCTACTGACTAGGAGCCACTCCACTCCCAGCCATAGAGCTCTGGAGGACCTCTGCCTCCCCTGCCTGACCCTGGAGTCTCTACCCCACTCAGTCCCCAGTCCTCCTTCTCGAGAAGGGCAAGCCACAGACAAACGGACAAACGTTCTCACCACAGCCTGGAGTTCTCACCTCCGGCCACACCCCCTTCCCTCTGCATTCAGCTTTCATCCAGGCCCCTCCACCCATGCCTCCAGCCGCGCTTGCTCACCAGACTTGGCTCCATCCGGGGGAAGGAGGCCACAGATGAGGTTGATGGCTTCGTCACCCAGCATGCAGTCCCCCAAGTCGAGAGCCACGAGGGCAGGGTGGAGGGCCAGAGCCGGGTTCAGCAGGGCCAGGCCTGCGTCGGTCAGCGGGCTTCCATGCAGGCTGTGGGGCGAGGAGAGAGAGCGGGAGTCACCGTCAGCCTTACCTGCTCAGGAAATTCGGGCCTCTCCGGAGGCACCTGGGAAGAATGAACATTCCAGATGCTGAAGAATGAAGATGGGAGAGGAATTGCTCTCTTCTCTGGAGCAGGAGCTGGGATCCGGGCATGGTGCGAGGAGGCGCTGGAAGGGGTGTGCGGCTCGTGGGCACCATTGAAGGGGGCAGAGCGCCGCTCGATTTCCCGGGAACGAAGCGGCTCTGCACCCCCGCTCCAGCCACAAGAGGGAGGAGGGCTGCGCGTGGAAAGACGGGGTAGAAGGCACGCGAGGCGGCGGCGGCGGCGGCAGGGGCAGAGATGAGGCGTGCGCTAAGGGGTGCTCGGGCAGGATGGTGCGGAGATGGGGCGCTGGAAGAAGGGCGCGGCGGCCGGGACCCCCTTCCGAAGGGGTGCACTCACAAGAGGGACTGGATGGAGCGGTTGGTCCGCAGGGCTTCCGCCAGCTGCTTGATGCGGCTGGGGCTGGACACGACGCCGAGGTTAAGGTTGAGCTGGGCCAGGGACGTGGCCCCGGCCAGGGCCCGGCAGATGCGGCCGAAGTCGCGGTCGCAGAGGCGGCAGCCGCGCAGCGAGAGCAGGCGCACGGCGTTGTCGCGCAGGCCGCGGCAGATGTCCCGCACCTCGGCGCCCGACAGCGGCTCCCCCGAAATCTGAATGGAGCTGGGGAGCATCGTGCCCGCGGCTGGGCGGCCGGAGCCGGGGCCGGGGCCGGGGTCGCGGGCGGGGCCCGGGCCGGGGCGGCGGCCGGGGCTGGGGTCGAGGACGGAGCGGAGGGGGAGGCAGAGGCAGCGGCTGCGGCGGAGGCGGCGGCGGCGGCGGCAGCGGCGGCGGCGGCGGCGGCGGCGAGGACCGCCGGGGCCGGGGCCGGGGCCGGGGCCGGGGCCGGGGCCGGGGGCCGGGCCCGCCCGGGCGGCCGAGGCGCGGAGGGCGCGGGCCGGGCTGGGAACGCGCGGCGCGGGGGCGGGGGCGGGCCGTGCGGTCCGTGTCTGCGCGGCGGGCGGGGGCGCGCGAGCCGGAGGCTGGGCGTCGCTGCCCGCCGCGGGTCCTCGTCCCTGCGGGCTTCGGCGGCGGCCCGGGGGCGTCGGCTGAGGACCGGGGCCCCCTTTCGGGGCGCCCCCGCCCCGTTCTCTCCCGGCCCGGCTCCCCGGCCGCCCCGGCCCGGCGGCGGCGGACTCGCGAGGAGAGCCGAAGCGGGCGGCAGCTCAGGCTTCAGCTCCTGCGCCCGGGCGGGCGGCGGGTTCCCATGGCAACGGCAGCGTCAGCGGCGCTCGCCCCGCCCCCGCCGGGGCCGGGCCCCGCCAGCCGGCCCGCGCGGCCCCGGGATCCTGGGGACGGCCGCCCCGCGCGCGGGGCCGGAGGCCGCGGGGAGCCGGTAGAGGGCTGCGGCCTGGCCGGGGCGCGGCGGGGTGAGTGCAGGCTGGCTTCGGGGGGGAGGCGGGGGCGCGCCCGCCCCTTCTCCCGTGGCTCCCCGTCCCGAAGGGGGTGTGGACCTTCGATCCCTAGGCCCTGGAGTCCACGCTTCGCCCCGCCCCGCCCCCGAGGCCCGTGACGCGCTCGCGGCGTGCGTGGGGATTCCTTCCGCGAGGGCTTCCCCGCCAAGGTGGCAACACCCACCGGGGGCTGCAGGCGTTGCAGGCCGGGCCCGTGGCGCCCCAAGATCCGACCCTAGTCTAGGTGGCACCGCGGGCGCACGCCGGGTCCGGGCGCCCGCCCCTCGCTGCGCCTGCCTCGCGGTCAGCTGTCAGAAGGGGTTCTAGAATCGGGGGACCCCGAGCCGTCTGTGCTACACTGCACAGTGATTAGAATTTTGTCTCCGGAAGCCCGGTAGGGTTCGTGTCTGTCATCTCACTGCTCGGGAGGCCGAGGCACATCACCCATTCAAGAGCCGCCAAAACGGAAACGCCGCCAGAGGCACATCTGTAGGACGGAGGCTCCAGAGCAGCCCCGGCGAAAAGCCAGGCCTTCTTTAGCTGGGGCATACCGAAGTGACACCCTATTTAAATAAAACTGGAAAGCAAAAAGTGTTGCAGGTGTGGTGTGGCTTAAGTGGCAAAGTGCTGGCCTGGCCATATCAAGGTCTCAAGCTCTAGTATAGCAAAAAAAAAAAATTCAACGATGTGATACAGGGCAAAAGAGGGATCCCTTACTCGCTAGATGCTGTTGACCCACACTTTATAGGGTAATGCCAAACAAACTTTTTTGTGTGTTTGTGTGTGCCAGTTCTAAGGCTTGAACCCAGGGCCTAGGCTCTGTCCCCAAGCCTCTCTGTGCTCAAGGCTAGCATTCTATCAACTGCAGCGGCAGCACTGCTTCTGGCTTTTTGTTTATGTAGTACCAAGGAATCCAACCCTTGGCTTCCTGCACGGTAGGCAAGCACTCTACCACTAAGCCACATTCCCAGCACTAACAGCACCTTTTTTTTTGGGGGGGGGGGCGGGGGGTCTGTCATGGGGCTTGAACTCATCCTGAGCACTGAGCTCTTCAGCTCAAGGTGAACTCTCTACCACTTGAGCCACAGCACCACTTCTGGTTTTCTGGTGGTTTATTGGAGATGAGTCTCATGGACTTTCCTCTGGGCTGGCTTTGAACCACAATCCTCAGATCTCAGGCTCCTGAGTAGCTAGGATTATAGGCGTGAACCACCAGCACCCAACCTAATAGCATTCTTAAAGAGGAAAGAGGGCTGGGAATGTGGCTTAGTGGTAGAGTGCTTGCCTAGCATGCATGAAGCCCTGGGTTCGATTCTTCAGCACCACATAAACAGAAAAAGCTGAAAGAGGCGCTGTGGCTCAAGTGATAGAGCACTAGCCTTGAGCAAATGAAGCTCAGGGACAGTGCCTAGGCTCTGAATTCAAGCTCCAGGATTGGCAAAAAAAAAGAGAAAGAAAAAAAAAAAAGAGGAAGGAGAGCACTCCTGAGGGTGTTGGGCACAGTAAAACAAAGGCAAAGGCAAATTTGGCTTCTGGTGTGAGCTTCACAACGGCCCAGGCGCATAAGGTCCTAGTGATAACCTGGAGTTTAGTCTGGAAGTTCGCGTCCAATTGTTACTGCTCTACAGACTTCGAAGTATGTCCAAGCTTGCTGAGCTCTTCCTTCAGGCTGATGGCTCTTGTGCTTGAGGCCTGCCCGTGGCTCCCTGGGTCTGATGCCCCTTGCCCTCAGGGGCAGTTCTGTAAGCCATCTCTCCTGGTGCTCTATGGAGTCTGTCTGTCCTACCTTCATTTTGCTGGGGTGGGGGCCTAACAGAAGGAAAGAACGTGACACTACGGCTGCTGACAGGAATGTATCTAGGAAGTAGGGTGACAGGGAGAGCCACTGGAACAGGAGCTTCAGTTCCAGACTTCAATCAATATTTTAATTACCAAGTCTATATTTAGCAAGACAAGGGGGGAGGGGAAGGAAGAGGGAGGAAGGGGGAGGAGGTGAGGGGTCTCGGAGGAGCTGACCCACTTTCTGCACTGGCTGCAAAGTCTTGCAGTCTTGGCCAGGAGTTTCTGGCCCTGTGCCCTTGGAAGGCGCTGGTGGTGTCAAGGAGGTTCTTAAGTGGCTACAGCTCAGTGGCACAACAGACCACATCAACAAGACACGTCCTCAGTACTGTCCTTTAATCCTCCACTCTGCGGCAGGGGGACAGAGCTGGCCCAGGGTCTCAGGCGGGGTCAATGTGACCGCAAGGCCACTGAGACAGCCTTGGCTGTGGCGTTGAGCAGAGTGGCCCGCAGCCTGGCAGCTGGGAGCACGGCTGGGACATCCCTGGGGACTCTCTGCATGGGTGGGATGTTGGGGCCCTCCAGTGTGTCCAGGATCCCTGAAAGGAGGATGGAAAGTGGGTGAGCTGGCTGGCCACCCCCCCCCCCCCAGGCAGGCTCTCTGAGCAGCCGCTGTTTTGCCCCACCGCTCGCTCACCACTCTCCCCGTGCAGGGCCTCCTGCCACTTACCCTCTACCACCTTGTGGTAGGCAAAATGCAGATAGAGCAGGAAGAGCATGTGCAGGGCAGCTAGTGTGCCACACAGGAGCAGCCGCTGGGTGGGGCCCACGGTCCGTGACACCAACACTGCCACCTGGGGTCATAGGAATATGGCTCAGAGGGCCTGGTTTTAAAGTGAGGGATAGGGTAGGTACTCCCAAACCAGGGCAGGACCATCCAAGAGCCCTCAGTGGGGGTGGACCACTTACCATGCGCAAGGTGGACAGCCCACCCACCAGCAGCCAAAAGAGGTAGAAGAGGGCATGGAGGTGGATATTATAGGTGATGAACAGGACAATGCAGTGCCCAAAGAGACCATAGCCCTGTGGAGAAGGACGGCGGAGAAGAAATCATGAGGGTGGGCGGCCTCTGGCCCTCAGGAGGCCGCTGGTAAACAGATGGTCCTTTGGCTTACTCCTCCCAATCCAGGCCCAGGGGCAGCCCAAGTCCTATCCTAGCTACTCTTTTTATGACCACCCTTGCCCACCACCCTACCAGGTTCCTTACCAGCAGTGCCAACATCTGGAGCATGGTGATCTGGGCATTGCACAGGTAGGCAAGGAAGTAAATGAAGGACGACACACCTAGCCAGTAGCCAAAGCAGGTGCCAATAGCTGTGCCCATCAGGGTGCCTTCCCGCTGTGGGGGTGAAGGCTCGACTTAGTAAAAGGAGTCCTGAGACCTCAGCTTCACCCAGGGCCTTTTGTAGGGGCTACTCCTGCCCTGCTCTACCAGCTTTCAACCTACTTCAGCCACCCCCACCCCAAGGCCTGTCCGGCTTACGATAATGGTGTCAGATGTCTTCATCCCGTGCAGAAGGATGGCAACCAGCGTGAAGACCAGCATGAGAGGCCCATAGAGTTCACCTGCGATTTTCTGTGAATGAACAACTCACTCAGGCTGGAGGGGGCAGGGCCCGTCTCGTCTTTATGCCTTTTCAGGCTTCAGCTGGTGCTCCCTCCCCGCTCCCTTTGAGACGTTGTTCCTATTCACCTGGGGGAAGCTGACCATCTTGATTGGGATCATGGACTCCAGAAGCCTGGGGGAGGAGAGATGAGAGTGGAGACCACACTAAGCTGGAGATTGTAGAAGTCAAGGCCTGGCTGTTACTCATTTTTTCTTTGCTTTTCTTCTTTTTTTTTTTTTGCCAGTCCTGGGGCTTGAATTCAGGGCCTGGGCACTGTCTCTAAGCTTCTTTTTGCTACCACTTGAGCCACAGATCCACTTCCAACTTTTTTCTTTTTTTTTTCTGGTCGGTCATGGGACCTGAACTCTGGGCCTGGGCGCTGTCTCTCAGCTCTTCAGCTCAAAGGCTAGTGCTCTACCACTTGAGCCACAGTGCCATTTCCGGCTTTTTCTGCTTAGGTGGTGCTGAGGAATCGAACCCAGGGCCTTATGCATGCAAGGCAAGGCACTCTACCACTGTGCCACCTTCCCAGACCCGGCTTCCAGCTTTTTCTGTTCATGTTGTACTGAGGAATTGAACCCAGGGCTTCATGCGTGCTAGGTAAGCACTCTACCACTAAGCCACATTCTCAGCCCTCTTACTGTTGGGGCTGCAGGGGGAGGGATGGAGTATACCAGAGCTCAGGACTTGGTATTTGGTTGTAATCTGGGTGGAGACTAGGTATGAGGTACAAGGAAAACTGCTATCAAAAGGATCCTCACCTGCTTCGCACCTGGGCAGGCTCCACATCAAAGTAGGGTCTCAGGATGTCGATGTTGGCATACAAACTGAAGGCCCTGGAGGCTTGTCTCTTCCCTGCCTGCCACATCTGAAGCGAGAGGGAGGTGGGTATTATGAGACTCTTGGTTCTAGACCTTGCTACCTACTTTATGTTAACATTTCTCCATAGCTCTAACTGGATTAACTGAGGTGAACATCATCAGCACCAACTCAAGAACATAGGACACAGCTGGGTTGTGGGTGGCTCATGCCTGTAGTCCTAGTACTCAGAAGGCTAAGGGGAGCACAATTTGAAACCAGCCCAGACAAGAAAAGTCTGTGAGACCCTTATCCCCAATTAACCAGCAAAAATTTGGAAGTGATGCTATGGCTCAAGTGGCAGAACACTAGCCCTGAACAGAAGAGCTAAAGGGATAGTATCCAGGTCCTGGGTTAAATCCTGGGACCAGCACCCACACAAAAGGAACACAGGACACGTCGAGATTCACTTTTCCACGGCAGGGATTCTGTCTTGCTTACCTGATCAGCCACCTGCCGGCTCAGCTGTCCCTTAAAGCCTTTCATGCCCAGGAACTCCCCATCCTCCTCCTCTTCAGCAGCGCCATCAGCATCTACTTCTTCCTCACGCAGGCGCTGGTGCAGCTCCCCCATATCCTCGAAGCTGGAGCCTGATGTGTCATCCATGTTCTCCATGTCAATCACAGCGGAGCCCCCACCCTGGGAAGACAACGGCTCGTAGAGTGCAGCACCTTTCTGTTCCATCCGCTAAGTCCTCCGCTCATCCCAGGGTTTGGGGCTTTGTTCTTGCACTGCTGAGGACATGGCTTGGAATCACTACCGATCACGCCATGTTCTTCCCCCTCACGGCTCCCAGGGACCCTGGGCTGCCAGCTTTGGCACTCTCCCAGGAAACCTACTACTTGTTTTCCACTCATGTTTCAATCCGGTTTGTCCTATCAAGCCCCAAAGAGTTGCGAAAGTGAGCGTTTCTTTTGCCTTCTCCAAAGCCCCAAATAAAATGGTGCACACACCGTGTATTTGGAACGGGTGCCAGGGGATCCCCGCACGGCTTCCCCCCGCCATGCCCGACCCCCGAAGCGCCCTCCCCGCCCCCACTTGTCCGGAAAGTAAGAGCCCGCTTCCGTCGAAGCGGCCGGTCCAGGGCCCCGGGCCCGCTGGCTACACACCAGCCCTGCTCGCTCAGGGCAGCGCCAGCTCCCCTGACTTGGAGGGCGGGGGACCCCAGTGTTGCCGGCGGAGCAGATTCCGGGCTCACCTCAGGCCGCCGCCGGACTGGGTTACGGGCAGCCGGAGTTTGGGGACCATTACCTGGATGTTTTCCTCGAACCCTGACCATTCCGGGCCAGCTCCGGTTCGAGCGCCGCCGGCCGGCGCGGCTGAGGCTGCCATGTCCCTCAAGGGCTCCCGTCGCCGAAGCCGGTGCCAGCCTCGCGGGCAGAAGGAAGAATGGGCGACGCGGGCCTGGGCGAGGGACGCCGCCGGAGTAAGGGAGACGGACCGCCAGCCGGAACGCGAAGGGGAGAAACCCGGATGTTTGGCCTGAAGTGGTCTCCGGAAGTCGGGGACGTGGACGCCAACGGAACAAAGGATCGCGATATTTGGGACGCCAGGGGGCGGAGCGTCGTCACGGAGACGGCGGGGGCTGGGAGCGCGCACGCGCCGGGTCTCAGGCTCGTGGAAAAGTTGAAGATGGCGGCGGCCCAGGCGGTGGAGGAGATGCGGAACCGCGTGATTTTAGGGGAATACGGGGTTCGCAATGTACGTTCAGGGGAGGGGGCGAGAACGGAGTCGGGGCGGCCCCGGCCTCACTGCCCCTTCGCGGACAGACCTCCTCTTTGCTCTAGGTTCACACCACCGACTTTCCCGGCAACTATTCGGGTTACGACGACGCCTGGGACCAGGACCGCTTCGAGAAGGTGGGTGGGGCCGGCGGCGCCCCGGGGGGCGCTGGGCGTGCGGCGAGACGGCGTGCGGGGGCGGCGGGGGCGCTGGGCCGCGCTGGGCCGCGCTGGGCCGCGCGCGGGAGCCGCGCCGCCCGCTCCAGCCGGGTGAGACCCAGTTCCTGCCGCGACGCGAACCGGGGGATGTCTGGTGTAAACAGATCATTGCAGGATCAGAAGACGGTTGACGGCGGCGAGGACGGTTGGGAGAGGTTAGGAGCACCCGCAGAAGCTGGTAACCTAGACTGAAAGAGCGCCTTAAGAGTTCGTGAGGGAGGTGGCTCGCCTCAAGTAGTTCATTACTGCCAGAATGGTGGCTAAGTGGAAGGGAAATAGGAGGAGTGTATTTTAGGCACTGAAAGGCTTCGTGAACTCCTGAGGAGTTCTTAAGCAGGAATGATGAGATTTGCTGTCTGAATTTGAGGGTGGTTATACATTGTCAGTGTATCTGTTAGATTTGACGTAGGAGCCGAAGTTGAGGACAGGAGCGGAAGGAGTATGGGGAAGTAACAGGTAAACTTGTGATTGCTTTGGTTGAGGTGGAGGGAATAAAATAACCTGGTTTGGGGATCTATTCTGTTGGATAGTGGTATCAGTATTTACTGATAAAGGAAAAGTGGTTTGGAGCCTGCCTGGCACTGAATATAACCTGGTGCTCTTCTCAGGAGGCTGAGATTTGAGGATGGTAGTTGGAAGCCAGCTAAGACTTATCTCCAATTAACCAGTGAAATCCAGAAGTGGAGATGTATGCTCAATGCCTGCTATAAATAAGCAAAAAAAGCCTAAGGGACAGCACTCAGACCCTGAGCTCAAGGAAAAGGCAATGATGAGGCATTATTTCCTGCGTGGAAAAGTCTACAGGCCAGATTATATGTCTGAAATAAGGTCAGGCTAGTGTCATGATACATGCTTGCAATCCAGCATTTAGGAGGTTGAGGCAGGAGGATCATGAGATTGAGGTCAGCCTGGCTACATAATGATACTGTGTTTCAATAAAGAAAAAAAAGGTCAGAGACTGCTGGACGCCTGTGGTTCATGGCTTGCTACTCAGGAGGCTGAGATCTGAGAATCAGGGTTCAAAGCCAGCCTGGGCTGGAAAGACCGAGAGACTCCAATAAACCACCAATAAACCTCCAATAAACCACCACGGAAGTGGTGGTGTGGCTCAAGTGGTAGAGTGCTAGCTTTGAGCTGAAGAGCCCAGGCCCCCAGAGTTCAAGCCCCATGACCGACAAAAAAAAAAAAAAGGTCAGACAAAAACCATAGTAATGAAGCTGGTGCTTCTGGCTCACACCTGTAATCCTAGCTGTTCAGGAGGCTGAGATCTAAGGATCAAAGCCAACCCCAGGCAGGAAAGTCTGTGAGACTCTTATCTCTAGTAAGTCACCAGAAAACCGGAATTGGCACTGTGTCGCAAGTGGTAGAGTGCTAGTCTTGAGCCAAAGAGCTCAAGGACTGTGCTCAGGCCCAGAGTTCAAGCCCTACAACTGACAAAAACAAACAGAATGTAATGGTAAAACCATGTAGTAGAAATGGTGTAAAAAAAAAAAAAAAGATGAACAGTGAGTGCCACGCAGCATCTAGTAAGAAAACTTTGCAGTATGGAAGAGCCCTGGCTGGTTTGGTTATGAACCATATTGCATAGAGGCTCAATGAATGGATAGCAAAACAAGGGAGACTCTCAAGGACTGGGGAAGAAGAAAGAATATCTTAGGGTCACATAGGCAAAGAAGGTTTGGGAGCGGGGTGAACGTCAGTATGCTAAGGAAATTAGATACCCAGGGGATAGTTGTGAAGAGGTATGGGTTCACACTTTGTCCCTCTAGAATTTTCGTGTGGATGTGGTACATATGGATGAAGACTCACTGGAGTTCGACATGGTGGGAATCGATGCAGCCATTGCCAATGCTTTTCGAAGAATTCTATTGGCTGAGGTATTAATAGACACGGAGGGGAGGCTGGAATTGCATGGGGAAAACTAGAATATCAATTGTAAGATTGTCTAAACCCCTTTGGCTGTATGCTTGCTCACGGGCTGTAATCCTATTGACTCTAGAGGTAGAGATGGGAGGATCACAGTTCAAGTCCAGTCTCTATCTGAAAAATGACTTTAAAAAGCAAAAGGGCATGGCTCAAGTGCTGAGAGAGTCTGAAAATGAACTGGATGCCCTGAATTCACACGCTTTCCCCACTCCCCCAAAATTGTCCCTGTCATTCCTACAACTTAAGATTTCCTGCGATTTGAGCTTTATATAAAACTCTTCTGCGAAGGTGTCCTTAGCTCAGAAGATGGAGGAATGGGTGGATAGCAGATTGGGCTTTTATAGACCAACGACTCTGGTTCCTTGGACAGGTGCCTACAATGGCTGTGGAAAAAGTTCTGGTGTACAACAACACATCCATTGTCCAAGATGAGATCCTTGCTCATCGCCTGGGGCTCATTCCCATTCATGCCGATCCTCGTCTGTTTGAATATCGGAACCAAGGTAAAGGAAATTCAGAGAAAAATGTTAGAACTCTGCTCTAAAGTACATTCTAGAATTGGGCTATTTATCACTGTTGTGGTCTTGGGCAAGTTAACAGTCTTCCAGTAGGTCTCTTTTCTCTATGGGAACATTTGTTCTGGCTTTTTTTGTTGGTCATGGGGTTGAACTCTGGGCCTGGGCACTGTCCCTGAGCTCTTCAGCTCAATGTAATGTTCTACTGCTTGAGCCACAGCACCACTTCACACTTTCTGGTGGTTAATGGGAGATAAGAATCTCATGGACTGGGGCTGGCTCAGTGGTAGAGCGCTTGCCTTGCATGCCTGAGGCCCTGGGTTCGATTCCTCAGCACCACATAAGCAAAAAGAAAAAAGCCAGAAAGTGGCGCTGTGGCTCAAGTGGTAGAGCGCTAGCCTTGAGCTGAAGAGCTGAGGGACAGCGCCCAGGCCCAGAGTTCAGGCCCCATGACCGGAACCAAAAACAAAAAACAAACAAAAAAAAGAATCTCATGGTCTTTTCTACCCGGACTGGCTTTGAACCATGATTCTCAGATCTGAGCCTCCTGAGTAGGATTACAGCCATGAGCCACCAGCAGTTTGTGAAGATTTAAGCAGTGCCTAGCACTCAAATGCTCACTAGGTGCTGTGTCTTCCATTTGTACAGGAGATGAAGAAGGTACAGAGATAGACACACTGCAGTTCCGACTGCAGGTTAGGTGTACCCGGAACCCCCAGGCTGCTAAAGACTCTTCTGACCCCAATGAACTCTATGTGAACCATAAAGGTGAGCAGTGGTGTGAGCAAGAAGGCCCACCTGCTGAGGAGTGCTACTTTAGCCAATGTGCTCTTGTTTTGATTCCTTCTAGTATATACCAGGCATATGACATGGGTCCCCTTGGGAAACCAGGCTGATGTCTTCCCAGAGGGCACTATCCGCCCAGTGCATGACGACATCCTCATTGCTCAGCTGCGACCTGGCCAAGAGATTGACCTGCTCATGCACTGTGTCAAGGGCATTGGTGAGGATCCTGTGGGCCTGTCCTATCCCGATGTAGGGAGTGGGGAGCCAGATGGCAGCAGTGCAAGTGTGACCAAGGAGCAGAATGCTTAGAGATGACTGGTTTTTCACAGGTGGATTCTCTGTTCTCTCTAGGCAAAGATCATGCTAAGTTTTCCCCAGTGGCAACAGCTAGTTACAGGCTCCTGCCAGACATCACCCTGCTTGAGCCCGTGGAAGGGGAGGCAGCTGATGAACTGAGCCGGTGCTTCTCACCTGGTGTTATTGAGGTGCAGGAAGTACAAGGTATACTATTGGGGTATTCTGGTCAGGACTTAATTTCCCAGGTAACAGGAAGAAGCAAAGGTTTTTGGGTCTTTTTTTGGGAGGGGGTGGGGTGTGTTGGACTTAAATTCAGGGCCTGGGCACTGTCTCTGAGCTCTTTTGGCTCAAAGCTAGTGACCTACCACTTTGAAACACAGAGCCACCTCTTAAGTTTTCTGGTGGTTAAACAGAGATAAAAGGCTCAGACATTCCAGCCTGGGTTGGCTTTGAACTATGATCCTCAGGTCTCAGCCTTAGCTAGGATTACAGGTATGAACTACTGGTACCTGGCTCCTGGCTGCTTTTTTGGTTTCTAATAGACTGTGACATTGTAACATGGTTTGTTTTCATCAGGTAAAAAGGTGGCCAGAGTTGTCAATCCTCGGTTAGATACCTTCAGCAGAGAAATTTTCCGGAATGAGAAGCTGAAGAAGGTTGTGAGGCTTGCCCGTGTCAGAGACCATTACATCTGTGAGTATAGCTAGAGCAGGGAGGGGGTGCTGCAGCTTACTTTCCAGAAAGAATTGAGTAACTTGGGGAGGGAGCTTCCTAAAGCTAAAGTGTCTCTTTGGTCCCAGTTTCAGTCGAATCCACAGGGGTGTTGCCACCAGATGTGCTGGTGAGTGAAGCTATCAAGATTCTGATGGCCAAATGTCGGAGGTTCTTGGATGAGCTAGATGCTGTTCAGATGGACTAAGGCTTGCACTGGAGTTTCTAGGATGGCTGTGCTCAGATGCTTCTGGGTGTTGAACTGCCCTACAGGACTGCTGTACCCAGTGTGTAGATGTCCAATTCCAGCTTTATTTTCAATCAATACATTTTGTTAAATGTGTCACAGAATGAGACTTTTGCCTTTGTAAGGCCTCTGATGTAAATAAATTCATGTCCAGATGCTATCTTGTTCTAAAAATATGGGGCTTTTCTCCTCAGAGCAGTGGCACATTGAGTCCATGTCTTCTGAGAAAGGCCAAATTGAGGTGGTTCTGGGGGTGCAGCCAAACTCTAGGAAGATACAGAGCCATTCCACCTATCTCCTGGCATCAGGGGTTTCTCATAGGGAAAGTAAGAAGGTAGGGGCTTGTCCTTAACAGTCATGGTGCTGACACAGTATAAAGAACAGCAAATCTTTTTAGACAAGACTGTCAGGGTCTGGGCCAGCCTGGGAGCCACAGTGAGATGCTGGTCTAGTTGGATAAACAAATCTGTCACAGTTTCAGATAGCTTAACAGCAGGCCTAGCTCTTCCTGTCTAGCCCCCCTTAAACTGGATGCTCTTGAAGAACTAAGCCTTACAGATCTCACTGTTGTTTGAAAAAGGCAGATAAGGAAGGCCCTTTCTATGTGAAACTGATATTTTACTGACATGCAGATGTGTTTTAGTTCACATCTCTACAAAAAGATTCTATAAACAATAGAAAACATCTAGCATGAAATCACAGGATGTCCAAAATATTACAAGGTAATAAATACAGCTATACCCTCCACAGCCCCAACCAAACCAAGTAGGCAGCTGTCAAGTTTGGAGGAAAATAATCTTGAGCTTACCTTCACAATCAAAAAAACAGACCTGTGCACTAGATAGGAAGAAGGGGCAGACTTGTGTAGCACACAGCAGTGTGACACTCCCATGCCGTTTTCCAGCTTGCCTCTTCTTAGTGTTACTGTGCTGCAGCCTGGACCAGCTAGGAGCAGTAGCTCCACTGACCTCTCATAGGACCTAGATGGTCAGCCTCTGGAGTACATGGTACCCTATGGTTTCTGTATGGCAAGCCTACTTTATATCATACTCAAGGCTTGGTCCCACACCCAGTTGCTATGGGAAAGCATTTTTTTTTTTTCCTTTTGGAAATGGATCTTGAAGAAAAGAAAGAGATCAGGGACCTGAAAGACCATGAGGTTTTTTAAAGGCACCTGGACTGAAGCAGTCCCAGGGAACTGTGGCTTTGCTAGCTGCTTGTCACAGATGTAAGCCTAGTTGGTCTGGGATGACAGTGACCTAGTAACAGAGTAGGGTACTATGGCTTTTATGCCTGAGTAGACCCTGAGGCTGGGGAAACGCTTGAGGGTCATTCATAGAAGGGCAAGTATGTGAGCTCTAAGAAGGATGTTAGCACTAAGCCCAGCCCTGGTCCCTGGAGGTATGCTTGACACTGTGCCCGGACTTTAGCAATAGTTTGTAATATAGATTCCATCAGGTGACCAGATTCTTGCCCAAGACCGAGATGAGAGAACTGGCCAAATTGCGTTCAGCACTTAGCACCTAATCCAGACATACCCATGGGGGTGGGGAAGGGTTCCCGCCAGCCCAGCAGCACAGAGCTCAGCAGGACTAGCAGTGGTCCAGGAAAAACTGGCACAAGGAGTTGAGGGTCGAGCCTCTGTGAGTCTGCAAAGCTGCTGTGTTGGGCACAGCACCCCCAGTTCCCACTCTGCGTGGGGGCAAAGGGCTTGAGGAGAAGGGCCATTCTGCTCTAGCTTTTCTTGGAAAAGCCACAAGTCCAAGTAGAATGGGAACTACCTGGGACACCTCAACAGAAAGCCCTAAATCTCTCTCTTGATACATTTGTAGAATTACTGGGGCCCTGCACAGGGCCCTCTCTGCTGCTCCAGACCTGGGTGTGTCTCCAGGCTGATCACGGTGCAAAGTGAGGTGGCATTGTGAGAGGGGCTAGAGATTAGCTACAGAGGGAAGAAGAGATGACAAAGGCTGAGGAAGATGCCCAACAGCTTGATTCAGGGTTCAAAGATGGTAGCCAGGCTGCCCCCGTCACTGTCCAGCACCTCTGTCTCCTGCATTGGCTTTGCTTTTTTGAAAAGTGAGGGGAGATTCTTAATGTGAACTTCTTTTCGAAACTGCTCTCCCAAGGGTTTCTGTAGAAAACAAAGGAGAAGGAACTGAGGCTGGGGTCCAAGTAGCATGGTAAGAGATCATCCCACCATAATGGTCAATGACTGAGTTGGGTCTGGTTTACTATGACCCCTGCACACACATGGTCTAAGACCACAAGCAGCCCTGTGGGTTGGTGGAAGCATGACCTACCCCAATACAACCAGCAATGAGGCGTTTGAAATGGTCCTTGCGTCGCTTGTCAGCTGCTTTCTGCAGGGAGGGGTTCAGGAGCTTGCTGTCAAACTGGTCCAGAGCATCCTTTTGAATTTCAGGAATCTGTTCCATCACAGCTCTGATCTCTATGTACCTGGGGCGCTGATAAGTAGGGATAAACTCACTCCAAGGAGGTTTGGCATCTGCCACCTTCCCCAAACCCTGTCAAACCCACCTCTGAGGAAGCAGGCTGAGTGATGAGGCTGTGGCCAACCTGCCCCCATGTTCTCTGCACTCACCAGAGTCTCATATATCTGGAAAGCCAAGTGGACCAGGGAAGCCATGCACCCGTCATGCTGCCCGTGCATCTGTAAACCTTTGAGGACGCTGGTGAAAAGCCATGTGACAGCCTCTGCCAGTAGGGTCCCTGTCAGCACCTAGGGAGACATCTGTGCTCAGGAGACAGGTCTCCAAAGGGCCCAGTACCCTGACCCTTCCAGCTGATGAAGCCAACCCAACCCCTGATGGTCAGGGAGAGGGGTGGCTAGCCATACTTGTTTGAGGAGAGGCCAGCAGAGCTGTGTGGTCGTTCTCTGACAGGACAGGGTATCTTTCCAGGCCAGGGAATTGAAGGCAGTAATTAACATTGCTGTGCAAACATCCTGAAAAGGAAAGGAAGCAAAATTAGGACAATGAGCACATTTTTCTGATAGTTCTTATATGTTAAGAATAGAATTTCAGCTGGGTGCCAGTGGCTCACGCCTGTAATCCTAGCAACTCTGGAGCCTGAGATTTGAGGATCGCGGTTCAAAGCCAGCCCAGGCAGGAAAGCCCATGAGACTCCAATTAATTACCCGGAAACTGGAAGTGGCTCTGTAGCTCTAGTGGTAAAGCACTTGCCTTAAGCTGAAGAGTGCAGGGACAAGGACAGTGCCCAAGCTCCACGACAGACAAAAAAAAAGAATACAATCTCAGGGCTGGGAAGGTGGCTCAGTGGTAGAGTGCTTGCCTAATATGCATGAGGGCCTGGGTTCCATTCCTCAGCACCACATAAACAGGAAAAAAAAAAAACGAGAAATGGTGCTGTGGCTCAAAGTGGTAGAGCGCTAGCTAGCCTTGAGCAAAAAGAAACTCAGGGACAGTGCCCACGCCGAGTAGTCCCCAGGAACTGAATTTCAACTGGGCACCAGTGGCTCACACCTGTAATCCTAGCTACTCAGGAGGCTGAGATCTAAGGATCATGGTTCAAGGCCAGCCTGGGCAGGAAAGTCCCTGGGACACACTTATTTACAATTAACCACTCAAAAACCAGAAGTGGCACTGTGGCTCAAGTGGTAGAGTGTTACCCTTGAGCATAAAGAGGCTCAGTGACAGTGCCCAGGCCTTAAGTTCAAGCCTTAAATGGACCAAAACAAAAGAAGTTAGATTATTTAATTTTTTTCTTGGTAGAACAGGGAGTTTGCACTTAATGCTTTGTGCTTGCTTAGGCTGGCTTGATATGGCTGAGCCATGCCTCCAGCCTGTTCTTCACTAGTTATTTTTAGGATAAGGATAGGGTCTTATATCTGCCTGACTCAGGCCTGAGCCACAATCTGTCAACTTTCTGGGGTTACATGTGTGCCCCATATCCGGCCTTCCTCCATTAGGAAGAAGTCTTGCATATTTTTCTGCTTAGGGTATCTTGGTAATCTCAGCCTGCCACATAGCGTGGGATGGATGACAGGTGCACACCACTGTGCCCAGCTATGGAGTTTCACAAACTTTTTGCTAGAGTTGGCTTTGAACAATGACCCATCTGTTTCCAGGCTCCCAACTAGCTAGGTGACAGGCATAAACCACTAGTACCCAGCTAAGACCTGAGTTTCAAATAGGTAAGCAGGAAATAATAAACCAAAATGGTATATGGGAACCTCCATGTAGAAGACACATTCAGGCTAGGGTGGCTAGATACTAGGGACTTTGGGTCCTTTTTCTCTCAGAAAAGTGCACACATGCTTTCCATCTGGGTGAGGAGAAGCACCACTGTTCCTGTACTCACCTCATGCTTCATCAGACATTTCCCCAGCTCTGTAAGCTCCGCCACTGGTGGAGGGGTGACTTCTGTGGCCATCATCTCTTCATCTGAAAGCAAAGCAGAATATCAAGTTCCATCCTTTCAGAACAGAAGGCCACACAGCATGTCCTGAGCTGTCTGGTGCTGATTAGCACAAGCAACTCCCCATGGAAGGAGGCTGAAGCTTATGCCTAGGGAGGATCTGCACGCTGGGCAGCACGTGCAGGGCTGTCATTGTTGAGCACATATGTAAGTGTCTATTGCACATCTGTCACTGGAGTTATAAAGGTATAGGCTGGCTGGGCACCAGTGGCTCACACCTGTAAATCTAGCTATTTAGGAGACTGAAATCTGAGGATCCTGTTTTGAAGCCAGCCTGGTCAGGAAAGTCTGTGAGACTCTTTACTCTTCATCTCCAATTAATCACAAAGACAGCCAGAAATGGCACTATGTATGGCTCAAGTGGTAGAGTGCTAACCTTGAGCAAAAGGAGCACAGGGACAGTGCCCAGGCCAAGAGTTCAAGCCCCAGGACTGGCAAATAAGGTATACGCCAGAATCCTTTCCTTATGGGACTGCATTCTACTGAAGGAGACTAGTAGTAAGAACATAATGCATGTAGTAAAGAAGTGCCAGGAAATAAACTGTAGTGGAGGAAGATTACAGAATGGCTGGAGCTGCTATTTTTGGTAATTTGATCATGGAAAACCTCTTGGAGGAGATAACATTTGTGCAAGATCTATATGAATCAAGTTAGGATATATATAGCAAGAAGAAAATCATTCTAGAAACAGCATGTGCAAAGGCATTGAGGTAGAGTGTGCTTGTGGAAATACAACAAGAACACAACAAGAAGGCCAGCATGATGAGCTCATAAAGCTACAGGTGTCAGATCCCAGCCTCGCCAGGTACAGAACAGAGCTGTCACAGCCCAAGAGGATCCCCAGGGCCGCTGGGCCACCCACTCACTCACCATCCCCATCAGCAGGGGGAGCTGTGCTGTGGTCGGCACTCTTCTTTGATACACAGCAAACGGCTAAAGCAAGACAACAAGGTTTTTGGACAAGGTTATTTCTGGCCAGGTGAAGGGGAGAGGTAGTGAAGTACAGAACCCAGCTTCTCCAAGGCTTCTTTTGACTACAATGAGTTCGGATCCCTCCTCAAATTCAGTTAGCTAGGGGGAAGAGAGGGGCGGTGGTGGGAGAGGGATGGATTACTGGCCAGGACAGGACACTGGAATGCCAGACTTAAAAAAAATAGACAAAATAAATCTTCATGTCTAAAAAAAGTTAAATTTCCCTTATTTTAATAAAGCTAGGCAATTATTTCTAATATCCAAATTACTCCTTATTTCAGATTTCATATCCTAGCCTGAGTACAATTCAATTCAGTTCATAGATTATCTAGCTTATCTTTAAATTGATTGAGGACTAGCTATAGCTTCTACCTGGCTAATTGTTGGTTATGGGGCTTGAACTCTGGGCTGGGCTCTGTCCCTCAGGTCTTCAGCTCAAGGCTAGTGCTCTACCACCTGAATTATAGAACAGCACACACACCACAGTTTTCTGGTGATTTACTGTATAAGAGTCTCATGGACTTTCCTGCCCGGGCTTGAGCCACAATCCTCAGATCTCAGCCAGGATTACAGATGTGAGCTACCGGTGCCGAACGCTAATTATTGTTGTTGTTGTTATTATTAACACAACAACATTGCTAGAAGCCTGAGTTTTTGCATCAACCTAGGCTCCCTGGAGATGGCTAAAGTATGTGCACTAGCCCTGGCTCCCATACGTCACTTACTGATGAGGTCCATGACTTCTCGGGTTAACATCCTCACCAGCTGTTCCTCTAGCATCTCTTGAGACTCTGGATTTTCCTCTGTGGGCTCATCTTCTCCACTGCCAAAAACCAGGAGACAAGTTCCGTAAGAATATGTAAGAGGAAGGGTAAGGAAACAGCAACCCTCTCTAGACCCTCTGTGCGCAGCTTCTGGCTTCCTTCAGATCTATAGTCTACACAGATCCTGGGCCAACGAGGGTTGTTATTACTAGCAACGTAGCCCCATGAAGACTTGATCGGTGGCTGCCTAAAGTCACAGTCTACCACATAAATCAACGACTGAGGCTTAAAATGATGATAATCCATCACTTGTCTAGCCCCAGGACAGCAGAATCCCTGCCCCTTCTTCCTTTACCCCTCCCAACCCAGATGCTAGCTCACCGCCAAATAGTGGGTATACTCCTTACCCCAGCTGGCTCCTCTGGTTGATGACTTGCCATTTCTGGGAAAGTCTCTGGGGAAACAGGAGGGAAGTGCTGGGACGGGGGAGCAGACTAGAGCACATATCTACAGTGCTAAAACGAGCCAGGGGTGACTCTACTATCAACGGCAGGTCTCAGAGGTCCACACAAGCTCAAACACCTCGGCTTAGGAGGCTTTAACTTTTTTTTTTTCATTAGTCGTGGGGCTTGAACTAAGATCCTGGATGCTGTCCAGCTCTTTTGTTCAACGCTAGTGTTTTACTACTTTGAGCCACAGCTCAGTTCCTGGTTTTTGAGTGGTTAATTAGAGAAAAGAGTCTCACAGGGACTTTTCTGCCCAGTTTGGCTTCAAACCATGATCCACAGATCTCAGCCTCCTGAGTAGCTAAGATTATAGGTGTGAGTCACCAGCACCTGGCTCCAGCTGACAACATTCTTAGAATTCTGAATCTCTGGACCCTCTATCAACACCCAGATGCCCCCCCCCCCCCCCCCCCCCCCCGCCTAACTGCTGAATTAGGGACACAGGTCCAGGAGAAACATTTGTCTGAGTGTCACCTCTCCTCAGCAGACAGGAGGTAAGGAACAGAATCTACACCTGAAAGTGCTTCGTGCGTGGGTGAATCACTTCAGTTGCCCAGGAGGACATAATAAGAATGCTCAAGACTCAGGAATGGCCAAGGAGGACCAAGGGTCTTCCTGTCCTCCTTGCTTCACATCTCTTACCATGTGGAGGTAGGTGAAAAGAGGTCCAAGGATGGGAGGTACCAGGGCTTCATAGTGCTCTGGTGGACAGAAGAGCACAAGAGGCTTCACGAAGACCCGTGCTGCGGTGGGTTAAGAAGTTTTAGCCATGAGCAGAGGCCCCTCACTCACCTGCCGGGCAAGTAGTGGTGAGATGCCAAGAACATGCTGTGTTAATAGTTCAAATCCCAAACAGCATCTGAATTTGACTCCCTTATTTCTGTAGTTTAACTGTCTTTTCTACCAAACTGCCCATTATGGGCACTGGGTTGGAGGAAGGAAAGTAGGACACCCTTGTAATAAGCTCACCTTCCCCATTTTCCTTATTATAACTTCACAACAAATTTACAAGAGCCTGAAGCCAGGCACAGTGGCTCCTGTTTGTAACCCTACCAAAACAAACAAAAAACCCTAGCCAGATGGAGCCCAAGCTACTGAGGAGCCTAAGGTAGAAGGACCATTAAAATACAGGAGTTTGAGCCAGCATGGGCAACAAAGCAAGATCCCATCGGAGAGAGAGAGAGAGGAGGGAGAGGGAGAGAGGGGGAGAGAGAGGGGGGGGGGGGGGAAGAGCCAGGTATGGTAGCTCATGCCTGTAATCCAAGGTAGTACAGAGGTCCTAGGTGGGAGGATCTGTCTGGGCTACATGGTACAGAGAGACCTTGTCTCAATAAACAAAATAAAAATACTCTTTGAATTTTTAAATCTTCCTGTCTTCAATGAGATTATACTATTCTTAGATAATAATCCCAGCTGCTCCTTGAAGCTCTTCCTTCTTCTCCCTGCTGCCTGTCCCTAATTCTCTGGTCCTGTGGGCTGTCTAGGAATTTCTGAAAGGATATGAAGCATAGGTCTGAGTCGGTAATCAGGAATATTGCTCAAGTTGATGAAGGCTGAGCCGAGAAGCTGGGCCGCAAGGTCCTCCACAGTGTAGAAGTCCTGCTGCATGGAAGGACCTGCCTTCCCCAGAATATGGAAACTGAAAGATAAAATTGCGGGCAGTGACAAATCCAATGGTCCTTACTGCTGGCCCTGACTGCCCCAAGGATTTCATTTCTGGTGTGCACTAAGATTTTTAGCTAGAAAAGCAATTGCATTTACACCATAAGAGAATGTGAGCTTTGCAGATTCAACTGAAACTTTTGACAAAATTATTCTTCCCCTCCCACACTGAACACAGTATCTGTTAAAACACAGGTTGCTAGCCAAGGTCCAGAGCACCCTTCATACTGTGTAATGCAGACTCACAATGGAGGAACCTATGAGGCTGGCCTGAATACAACACTGGGTACCCAAGGCCAAAGCGGGTGTGTTGGCAGTGAGGGGCTGGGCAGCTGAGTAAAGGTAGCCCCATTCACTCTACTTTCTACCTGGTCTCAGCACTTCATGCACTGAAACACAGACATACGGGGCATGGACATTGAGTAAGAGCTAACAGGACACTAGGAAGATACCAAGCCTGGGCAAATGGGCTTTGATTCAACACTAGCACCAACTTCCCTCTCGATTCTTGCCCTACCTTCGGTGTGCAATAGAGTTCCACATCAAAGACAAACACCTAGCCATTCCTGTAAGTACATATTCCAGAAGAGGACGTGGCTCCTTGCTTACCAGTTTTCATAAAGAGTGCTGAAGAAGCGCTGCATTCTTTCCAAGACTGTTTTGTAGACAGGATAGTCATTGAGCTCCAGGAGAGGCTGAGGTAATCCTACAGAGGAAGAGGTCAGGAACACACTGCTCAGCTGCCAGACACAGGGCAGCCAGCAGGTAGGGAGTGTGAGAGTGTGTGTGTGTCTGACTGGTTTTCCCTAGATGGGACCTGGACCAAACACAGTGACAATGCAAAAGGATTTCTCCATGAAGTACCAGGATGCCTCCACCCCCACCCCAAGACATGAAAACTCTTTTTCAAGGGAAGTCGGATGCAAGAGCCTCAAAAGGACAGCAGAGCCAAATGAAATCCATTCAGCTCAGTCTCACAACTGTTTATGAAATATATAGGAAGTTGTTTTATATTTCAAATCACAGTCAGAAGTTACCAGAAAGAACTGTTGTTCCATTCTAGTGTATCTCATGGGCCACATATTTCTAAAGCAGGAGCTCCTGGCTTAACTTAAGAATGGAATGGAGTATGTATTGTACAGTATTAACTTCCTATTATATCAGTGGCAATCCATGTCTTAGAAGTTCTATTTTAACTGATGTCTGCAACATAGACATTAAGTATAGTGATGTCCAAGACCATCTAGGCCTAGACACAGACCTGAGCATGAAAGGCAAATTAACACCCCCTTTCTTTGGTTAACTTTATAGCTGAGGAGTGCTCACTGGATAGCCTAGCTAAAGCTGTGCCCCATAGGCAGGTACTCTCACTGAACTATGCCTCAATCCCTCCTGCATCAATTTTGATTGTGTACACAAACCCCCATGCACAAAGCCAGAAAGAATACCATTATCTTTCAGGTTCAAAACCATGGCTTACATAGAATCTAATGGCACTGGCAGCTTGAAGGGGGACAAACGGGGGGAGTGCCCTTGTGTGAGTTCTGAATGCTAAGATAATGGTGTATGTACACCTGCTCTTGTAGAACCGAAGGAACTTCACAGTACATTTCTGAACAAATGGGGTTACGGTGGTGTCACACAAGTACAATGTGACACAATCATAACAAAGCTGCTCCAGGAGCCTATGGAGAGATAAAATCAATTGATGGGGAAATAAAGTTGCATTTCTTACCTAATATAGCAGATTTTTCAGCTTCAAGCATATCTAGAGCCTTGGCAAAAGGCTCTGCCATTTTGGCTAACATTTCTGGTGCGTATAATGAATTGTGGGTTCTGAAAGAAACAAGAATGCACATGTCAATGTTTCTCTTTGGCACAGAAGGAAGGGTGAGAGTCGATGATGCGCCTCCACCCAGATAACTCTGCCTCAAGCATTCCTCCCAGCAGGAGCAGTCCTGGACAAATGTGCACCTGGAGGTTATTCAGTACGCACTATACAATACCACAGCAGTGTCACTAAGAAGTGTGTGTATGTGTGTGTGTGTGTAGCCCTGAGGTTTGAAACCAGGGCCTAGGTGCCTGTCCCAGAGCTTCTTAGTCCTCTACCAATTGAACCACAGCTCCACTACCACGATAAAGCACATACACTTTTGAGATTAAGGTAAAAATAACAGACCAAAACCTTATTATGACTTACCTTACAAGGGCAAGCAGATTGTCTAGAAGTTTCAAAATCTGCTCTGTGCAGGGGTTTCGGAAGATTGGATTGCCACTGGGTGTATAACCCACCACAAATCCCCCAGCTTTGGCCTCTTCTAGATCAGCAGGCCAGCAAGTTCGTTTTATAACACCCAAAATACTGTAGACACAAAAGCTCATCTGTGGAAAAGCAATAAAGAAACAAGAGTAAATGTAAAAGAGTAAGAACAGACAAAGGAATGGTTAGATTTATTCAATGCTATAGCACAAGTGATGCAGAGGCCAGTGGTGAGGAGAGAACCTTCTGTTTCTCCCAACTCCACAGGACCTCTTGTCGTTTCCTTTGAAGTCAAGTTTGAAGGGGTCCACTCTGTAGGACGAGCGGTAGTTCTAGAAGTTTTCCCTTCATTAGGATGTCTTTCCAAATGTTTAGTCGCCTCTCACCCCCCCCCCCCCCCCACCACAGGATTGTAGTTAGAAGGAGGCTTCGACATGCTGTAAGACAGTGTTTTAACTGCCATTATTTCACTTAGTTTCCAAATTGACCCTAGCCTTCCAGCTTGGACTTTGGCAGCTTTTGCTCTAATCCCTTCACCTTATCTCTCAACCAACCTACTACTTGCCAGGTTACTGATCCTAGCTTTTACCATAATGGAGCCAGGAACACTTTGAATAGCAAAGCACTTAAAAATCCTCAGGTGTGCAACTTGGCCATCTCTTAGGACTTGACATGCCAGAAAGCAATAGCAGGGAGGCCTCACCCTGCTGGCCAAGTTCTGACCTACTTCCTCATTACACCTTCAGTCTTCAGATCTACTAGAGATCCTTGAAGCCAAAATAATGACTTCATAGAAAAGACCATCTGCTCTGCTGTGGGAACTAACTCAAGAATTCAGGACTAAAGAAGAAAAGAAAGGAGAAGCTTAGGGCAACTGGAGACTCCAGGTTTCTCACCGGTATAGACAAAACAAACCTAAGAGAAACTTGATAATGGCAACCTCCTACACTTCTACCGGGCGCAGGTGTAGCCCCATCCCCACAAGAGTCTTACTCGCGCTCGGTTCAAGCCACAGGGATCCTCCAGAGCTGGGTCACAGCTTTTCAGATCTGCACCCACATAGGCAATGAAAGAATCAACATCTAACAGCGCTCTAGAGGGAAGGAGAAAGACAAGTTACCGCAGGATGTTTTAAGACAATTTCTTCTATGAATTCTAATAGACTGATTATTTGGCTTCAAAGAGCAGCTTTTACAGGAGGTGAGTTTAATGGTATCAATTGTCACTGGAAGGTTTAAATTTCCCTCCACACTCTCATCAGATTTCCTTAGTAGCACCTTATGAATTGGCAGGCTCTGTGTGGTGGTTCCTTTGGCTCCTACTGGCCCTCCTCCAAAGGTGCTGGTACTATACACCAAACCCACAGCAACCCAGGTGCTTGTGGCTCATGCCTATAATCCTCCCTACTCAATGGGCTGAGATCTGAGGGTCATGGTTCAAAGCTAGCTGGGGCAAGAAAGTCCATGAGACTTTACCTCCAATGAACCACCAGAAAACAGGAAGTAGAGCTGTGGCTCAAAGTGGTAGAACATTAGCCTTGAACACAAAGCTTAGGAACCGTGGTGAGGCCTTGAGTTCAAACCCTATGACTGATCCTCCCCCTCCCACCTCTGCCTACCTCTCTTCCTACCTGTCCTGCTATGCCTCCTTCAGGCAAGGAGGTACTTTCATGAGATTAGATTACAAAGGATCTAGAGAGAACTTCAGATTCCTCTGATGGTGGAATATCTATATCCTTACAGAAACCCCCCTCACCATCCTGGGACTCTCAAAGCAGAAAGGGGGTTCGAATGCAGTGAGACGAGGAGGGAACTGCTCTTCTACCTTCGCATTTCCTCAGAAAGCCAGATACGGGCCACAGGTGCCATTAGCTCCTCTAGGAACAACTTCTGACGTTGGTAGTTCTTGAACTGGTTGCTAATGAGAACCAGGGCTTCCATGAGGGCACATTTCTCCATCTGGGTCAGGAGGAGCTCATTGGAGAGGAGTTGCTTTACATGGTTATAAAGCATGTCAAAATTGGGCTGCAAACCACAAACAAAAAAGGAAGGAGGTAAAGAATTGATTTCCAGGAGGAGACGGGCCACTCAAAGAAGAAAGAAAATCAAGATGAGTCTAGGAAAGTCAGGCCATCACTGTTTTGTTTCTAAATTTAATTAACACTCTTTTGCCTGAATAGCAAAGCAATGATGCACAAAACAGTTATTGTCTTGAATTTGGATAAATGCATTTTTCCACACAAGTAGGAAAAAGATTGGACTCTTCTACATCAACTTTATGGTACTCTTACAAAGATCAGTTATACACGAAGACAATTGTTATGTACTCAGAGAAGGAATTTCTGATTAATTTGTTACCTAGAATAAGGCTAAATTTGTACAGAAACTCCCCTCACCCTCAAAAAAGGGTTGAGATTTACATTTGGCTTTTCTCAAAATCAGGCACATCATTTGACAGGAGTAATTAAGAATATCATGTAGTTGGTTGAACAGAGTTGAAGCACCTTATTTGCAACTATGAAAATACAAAATGAAACCTTTTGAAATTGTTTGGAAAAGAGGGGAAGGGGGGCAGTTAATTTGTGAAATTGATTGGAATACATGGTAAACATGTATGGAAATGTTTTTTTTTGTCGGTCGTGGGGCTTGAACTCTGGGCCTGGGCCCTGTCCCTCAGCTCTTCAGCTCAAGGCGAGCACTCTACCACTTGAGCTACAGCGCCACTTCCGGTTTTCTGGTGGTTTATTGGAGATAGGAGTCTCACGGTCTCTCCTGCCCGGGCTGGCTTTGAACTGCGATCCTCAGATCTCAGCCTCCTGAGTAGCTAGGATTACAGGCGTGAGCCACCAGCGCCCGGCATATGGAAATGTTTTTAACCACTCCCTTCCTCTATAACTTATTTACGCTAATTAAAAGATAAAAGCAAACCACATAGTAAAGAGTTCTGCAGTGAGAGGAATAAACATACAAAGAGAATCTTTTCTTCAATGCAGTGTTGGGAATTGGACCCAGGACCTTACATGTGTTAGGTAAGCACTTTACCACACAGCTACATCCCCAACCCAGAACCATTCCTTTTTTTGGACTATATTTGCATTTTTAAAAAACCAAGCTAGAGAGAAGAACACACCAACTCAAGAACACTTATTCTGTGAAAACTATGACTGCAATGTTTCCTTTACGCGAGTTTTTCCTTTTTTTCCTTTTCCGTATTACACAGCACTTGATAGGCCTCAGTGGTAGACTCAGCTGGGGCCCAGAAACTTACCAGCACAAGCTCAGGGTAGTCACGACACATCTTGATGATAGAGGAACAAGCATGTCTCCTCACGTTCCTCACTGCCCGGGTTCTGGGAGCCTGGAAAGAGACCCTCAATGTCTTAAGAGCCACTTGTAACTAACATGTGACTCTGAGGAAATCTCACAATGAAATCTTACAAACTCTAAGAATATAATGAGCCGGGCGCTGGTGGCTCACGCCTCTAAGCCTAGCTACTCAGGAGGCTGAGATCTGGAGTTCATGGTTCAAAGCCAGCCTGGGCAAGAAAGTCTGTGAGACACTTATCTCCAGTTAACCACCAGAAAACCAGAAGTGGTGCTGTGGCTCAAATGGTAGAGTGCTAGCCTTGAGCTGAAGAGCTCAGGGACAGCACTTGGGCCGAGTTCATGCCCCATGACTGACAAAAAAAAAAAAAAAGAATATAATTAGCAAAAAAAAAAAAAAAGAATATAATGACATTTACAGTTATCTGGGTCACATAAATTCACATTTGCCCTAGAATGTCTCCAGAGCAAAACACTGAGTGAAAATAAGGTGCTACTACCACCCCTCCTTCCACGCATACAAAAATCTAGACCACTTACTACTTACAAGAAGTTAGCGGTTTAGCTAATGGTCTCAGCCAGGAATAGTAGCTCACACCTATGATGCCAGAATTCAAGAGGCTGAGGCAGAGGGACTGAGTTCCACACTAGACAGGGATAGGGATCTGGGCTCTACAGAAAAAGGTAGTAGACTTACCTTGCTTTCTTCAACAGTTTCAAAAGTGACAGATGAAAATAGCTGAGAGGAAGAAGAAAAAAAAGTCACTTCATGTGGTAATTATGAACAAATCCCAGAAATATATTCATACCAACAATCCAGCTTAAAAAAAAATAACGCTTTTCTTTGGTATTGCAAAGCCTCAGATGTCTATCTCAAATATGTCTATAAGAAGCTGGAGATTCACTACTGTATCATTAAAATATCTTATGGCCAGGTGCTGTTGGCTCATGCCTGTAATCCTAGCTACTCAGGGGGCTGAGATCTTGAGAATTGCGGTTCAAAGCCAGCTCGGGCAAGAAAGTCCGTGAGACTCTATCTCCAGAAAACCGGAAGTGGTGCTATGTGGCTCAAGTGGTAGAACACTTGTCTTGAGCTGAATAGCTGAGGGACAGCGCCCAGGCCCAGAATTCAAGCCCCATGACCAACAACAACAACAAAAGAGATGAATGTGGGTCAAGCCGAGAACCATGGGGGTCACTATTACCCAAGGAGGAGCATAAAGGATAAAAGCCTCAAATAAGAAAAAGATGCCAGGGAAATGAATCAAGTAATGTTTTACACACATACTAGGACTTAAGTGAAGTTCTTTACTGCAACAGAAATTCTCTCAGGGTTGGAGAATGTGTAGTTGGTTTATTTTATTTTTTATGTGCCAGTCCTGGGGTTTGATCTCAGGGCCTGGGCACTGTCCCTGAACTTCCTTTGCTCAAGGCTAACACTACCAGTTGAGCCACAGAACCACTTCCAGCCTTTTCTGTTTATGTGGTATTGAGGAATCGAACCCAGGACTTAATGCATGCTAGGCAAGAACTCTACCACTAAGCCACATTTCCAGCCCAATAAATTTAATGAGTCTTAGTCTTTTTTTGGGGGGTGAAGGGGACAGGGGGTGGTCGTGGGACTTGAACTGAGAGCTATCCCTGAGCTTTTTTGCTCAAGGCTAGCTCTCTACCATTTTGAGCCACAGCACCACTTCCAATGGTGGGTTTCTTTTTTTTTTTTGTCAGTCGTGGGGCTTGAACTCTGGGCCTGGGCGCTGTCCCTCAGTTCTTCAGCTCAAGGCAAGCGCTCTACCACTTGAGCTACAGCGCCACTTCCGGTTTTCTGGTGGTTTAGTGGAGATAGGAGTCTCACGGTCTCTCCTGCCCGGGCTGGCTTTGAACCGCGATCCTCAGATCTCAGCCTCAGCCTCCTGAGTAGCTAGGATTACAGGCGTGAGCCACCAGCGCCCGGCCCCATTGGTGGGTTTCTTGATTAGATCTTCAGCCCAGTTTAATTCCATCACAGAGGCCAAAGAAGCAGCGGCGTGGCACCTGGCTTAACATTCATCTCTTAATTCTGTATTTGTATCCTCTTTCTAGTCTTGGGGTGTCTACAATGATGATGTAATTAATCTCATCACTTTCTGGAGTTTAGACTTTTATTTACTTTTTTTTTTTTTTGCCAGTCCTGGGGCTCAAACTCAGGGCCTTAGCAGTGTCCCTGAGCTTCTTTAACTCAAGGCTAGCACTCTACCACTTGAGCCACAGCACTAGTTCTGGCCTTTTCTGTGTATGTGGTACTGAGGAATCAAACCCAGGGCTTCATGCATGCGAGGCAAACACTCTACCACTAAGCCAAAAGCCCAGCCCCTGGAGTTTAGACTTTCAAACTCAACCCATTTACTGCAAGGTCTTCACCTTAAATGCTCTTGATTTATTTCAAACATAAGATTCAAAAATAGCTCTCTTCCTTACTCCTGTTCTCTTTCCTGATTCACCATTCTCACTCAGATGGCAGTACTCATTAAACCAGAAACTTGAAAATGATACTATTCCTCTCTGTCACAAATCCCTTCTGATCTGATAGTCCACATCACCTTTCTTAACTCTCCCTTAGTATTCTTTTCTGTTTCTCAGTATCTGAATCTAGTAATTGCAGTACCATACAGGTACAGCATTTGTTCATGTGTTTTCCTACATTGATTCCAAAGAGTAAGGTTACTAGCATGGTGATTCTCGTCCAGCATGCACTCAGTACATACTGAGTAAACGATGGCTCTTTTTGATTTTGCCTCACATACTTCAAAAAAAAAAATTACAAAATCTAGAGCTAGGAATGGTAACATATTCTTCTAATCCCAGTATTTGAAAGACTGATACAGGAGAATCAGGAGTTTGAAGCCAGCCTGGGTACACAGTGAGATTATCTCAACCCCTTCCTCTTCCTCCCTCCCCCAAATTAGAAACAATTAGCTTAGAAATGTCAAAGTTCACTGAGGAGAAGGACTTTACCTTTGAGAAGACCTGAGGTAAGAACTCTGGTTTGTACGTGACAAATGGGAAGAGTGCTGAGACATTAGTGAGGACGCAGGAGAGGATGAGCGGATCCTTCACATCAAAGTTCAGGACCATGTGCAAGAGCTCTATGCCATCACTGACAGGAATCCCCTGAAAGCAGACATGACAAGGAGGCCCACATGGCTACCACACTCGGAGACAACTTCTCTTAACCCCAGTAACACAATTACTTATGATTTCACATACTGCTCATCAACTCTCAATTCTAAGCATGATTTCAGACACTAAATGGTGCTACCATAGCCATATCAAGATGAAGCAATTCCTACTACTGTTTGCAATTAAGGACGTTGCCAGTTCTTCACTATTAAGTAATACTAACACACGTTGTTATAAATAAAGTTAGAATTACTTTGGATCAAATCCAGGGCCTTGGCCTGGGAAGGTGGCTCAGTGGTAGAGCGCTAGCCTTGAGCTGAAGAGCTAAGGGACAGTGCCCAGGCACAGAGTTCAGGCCCCATGACCAGACCACCCCCCCCCCCCTGCAAAAAAAAATAAAAATTTAGGGCCTTGCACATGCTAGGCAACTGCTCCACTGCCAAGCTATATCTCCAGTTCTAGACTGTGTTCCCTTTTGCTATCTGAAAATACCTTTGGCTATTTTTCCACTAGGATGTAGTGTGTAGTTTTTTTCTCATCAATAGAAAATTTCTACTGTGAACATTTCAGAAGTATATAACCTATAATCTATAATCCCAACTATTCAAGAGGTTGAGATCTGAGGATCGCAGTTCAATGCCAACCCAGGCAAGAAAGTCTGTGAGACTGTTACCTCCAGTTAATCACAGAAAAAGCTGGAAGTGGGACAGCACCCAGCCAGGAAAAAAAAAAAAGAATAGATGAGCTTCCTCACTGAAGTCTAGTTTATTAATGCACCTTTTGTGAGGACTTATATTCAGGTGACTCACAGATCCTTTTCACAACTAACCTAGAATACACCAACATGCAATTACCCTGAAACTAGATGTGACTTAATTATCTTAAATTTATCATTATTCAACAGAGGGGAACATAATCAATCCACATGAATATTCTGGCCCATCTGCCATACTGAAAAGTATACTTCCTAACATACTTCTCAAGGTTATCCAATTGAAAATCTCCATCACTGTTTCTCTACAACGGTTAACTTAAGGGAGGCTGTGTACTTTCAAACTCTTGACCTGCCCTCACAATGGACACTAAATGATATAAGGCATAGAGTCAGAGATTTATTTATTTATTTGGTCTCAGCTCTGCTGTTGTTGAAATTTGAGTAGGTTATGTTATTTAAGCTGTCTAAATGTTTCCTCTTCTGTAAGATGAATTTTTTTATAATCCCTGTATTGGCTTATAAAGGTTCAAAATTACTATGGAGCCAACATGAGAAATACTTACTTCTTTGTCTACTGTTTTAAACATCTGGTTGATCACACTCTCCAAAAAAAAGGTCATGGCTTCCCACTGCACAAATGAAGGTGAGAAGATGGAGCAGAGGCTTCCCTCTCCAGTTCCAGCTATAGAACAGGCATTTGAAACACACATACCGAATGCTTATTAACGAGATAGGACAACAGATGACACAGGGACGGGGGTCACAGAGACGATCTGGTCGTTTAAGAGGTGACAGAACAGGTGCTCCAACCTGCTCAAATTTGGGCAAAGGTCAGGCACTGGTTGTGCCTAGCTACTCAGGAGGCTGATATTTGAAGATCAGGGTTCAAAGCAAGCCCAGCAGGAAAATCCATGAGACTCTTATTTCCAATTAACCACCAAAAGCCAGAAGCAGAACTGTGTGGCTAAAGTAGTAAGTGCTAGCCTTGAGCAAAAAAGCTCACCGATCATTGTCTGTGTCAGGTTTTGAGCTTAAGTCCCAAGATCTCCACCACCACAAAAAGACCAAAGACAAAACATGGTGTATAGGAAATTTAACTAGGCAATGCATTCGGGTAAAGGGAGTTACTAAGATTTTATACAAAGTGGGATTTCACAAAGGCTCTCACAGATGATTTTCTGAATTTAGGAGTACTACCATCTGTAAGCACTTGCTGAAAGGTTTTCAAAAGTTAAGTGCAATTTGTTTAATGGTCCCTGAACAAAGCAGGAAAATCAACAACTGGCCAATTTTGTTAAAACATAAAAATAAATTCAAAGCTGACAGGGACAGTTTTATACTAATTTAAAGAGATTTTAAAGGAAAATACTTAGTCCCTAGGATATAATGATGGAGTAATAAAGCTATTTAGCAACACTAGTATACTGTTCTGACATCTACATTATTTTGATACAACTATAATGGTCACTAATAAAGTACACTTACAGTTTATTGTCCCTGATTCAACAGAACTTGAAAGCTGATACTTTAGCCACTCCCCAGCCATCTGGAAGCTGGTCTTGGGATCCAAACGACAGGCCAACCTCATCACCTCTCCTTGCTGAGCTCGAGAAGCTGCCAATGGAAGGACAGAAATTGACAAATGGCACATATTAAGTTCCATCCCAAGGGGAAAATGTTCAAAAAAACCTATCTTGCAGGCTTGTGTTTTGAAACCAGCAATTGCTCAATGTAACTTTCTAGAGTTAATAAATCAAGAAATTTTCATTTAAAAGAATATCCTCCTCTCCCCAGCCCCCCAGGGGTCCTGGGGCTTTAACTCAGTACCTAGCGCTGTCCCTGGGCTCCTTTTGCTCAAGACCGGTGGTTCTACCACTTGAGCTACAGCACCACTTCCAGCATTTCCTTTTTCTTTTTTTGGTCAGTTGTGGAGCTTCTACTCTGGGCCTGAGCTCTTCAGTTCAAGGCTAGCGCTCTACCACTTGAGCCACAGTGCCACTTCTGGTTTTCTAGTCGTTTATTGGAGCTAAGAGACTCATGGACTTTCTTGCCCAGGCTGGCGTTGAACCTCGATCCTCAGATCTGAGCCTCCTGAGTAGCTAGGATTACAGGCATGAACCACCACACCTGAAACTTCCAGTTTTTCTGTGATTAACTGGAATTAAAAGCATTTTGGGGACTTTCATGCCTGGGCTGGCTTCCAACCACAATCCTCAGATCTCAGCCTTCTGGTAGCTGGGATTATAGACATGAGCTACCCACGCCTGGCAAAAGAATTTTTTTTACAGAGTTGGGGATAACCTAGGGCCTTTTTACACTAGACAAGCACTCTGACCCCCAGCTAGATCCCCAGACTAAAAAATTTCAAAAATAATTATCTTTAGATGTTATCTTACCAGCTAGATCAGACTAAACTTAGGCTTCCATTTATATGAGAATTCAAGGAATCAGCTCGGTAGGAACAGACAACAGTACAGCTGCTGTGGGAAACAAGTCTGGCAGTCCCTCAATATTAAATGTGGAACTGGCAAACTTATCTAGAGACTTAACTGCTAGTACATACCCCAAAGAAACAAGAAAACAGTCATACAAACACATGTAAAAAACTGGTCAGGGACATTATTCGTAATAGTAAAAAGAATAACAAAAATATCTATGAAATAATAAAAGAAACAAAGTACACATGCTACAATATGGATACATTTTAAAAAACTGTGCTACAAGAAAGCAGTCACAGGGCTGGGAAGGTGGCTCAGTGGTAGAGCGCTTGCCTTGCATGCCTGAGGCCCTGGGTTCGATTCCTCAGCACCACATAAGCAAAAAGGAAAAAGCCGGAAGTGGCACTGTGGCTCAAGTGGTAGAGCGCTAGCCTTGAGCTGAAGAGCTGAGGGACAGCGCCCAGGCCCAGAGCTGAGGCCCCACGACCAGAACCAAAAAAAAAAGAAAGCAGTCACAAAATACCACATATTTTGCAATTACATTTTAATGAAATGATCAGAATGGACCAAACATAATGACAGAAAAGAGATTGCTGGTGGCAAGGCGTAAGAATGTGATTAAGGAAGCTGGGGTTTGGTGGTTCATGCCTATACTTCTAGCTACTCAGGAGGCTGAGATCTGAGGATCTCCTATGTGGCTAGCTCAGGCAGGAAATTCCATGAGACTCTCACCCAATAAAAACTACTCAAGGGCTGGGAATGTGGCTTAGTGGTAGAGTGCTTGCCTAGCATGCATGAAGCCCTGGGTTCCATTCTACAGTACCATATATATACACAGAAAAAGCTGGAAGTACCACTGTGGCTCAAGTGGTACAGCAATAGCCTTAAGCAAAAGGAGCTCAGGAACAGTACCCAGACCTGAGTTCAAGCCCCAGTACTGGCAAAAAAAGAAAAAAGAAAAAACACAACTACCCAAGGGCTGGGAATGTGGCTTAGTGGTACAGTGCTTGACTAGCATGTAGGAAGCCATAGGTTCGATTCCTCAGTTATCACATAAACAGAAAAACCTGGAAGTGGCACTGTGGCTTAAGTAGTAGAGTGCTAGCCTTGAGCAAAAGAAACTCAGGGACAGTGCCAGGGCTAAGTTCAAGCCCCAGGAATGGAAAAAAGAAAAAAAAGAAAACCAAACCACTGGGCTAGGAATGTGACTTAGTGGAAGAGTGTTTGCCTAACATGCATGAGGCTCTGGGTTCAATTCCTCAGTACCACATAAACAAACAAAAAGAATGATGAGATTAGGAGATGAATATAGAGTTCCCTTTGGGGGACGGTGATATATTGTAGAATTTGTGGTGGTGGTTGCATGATGGTGAAAAAAACTAAAGCTCAATGAATTGTATACTATAAGGGTGCACTTTCTATGGCAAATTGATTCAATTCAATGAAAGGAAAACTAGATATAATAGCATACATCTGCAATCCCAGCACTTAGGATGCTAGAAGGAAGACCATGAGTTCACAGCCTGGCTGGACATCTGTCTCAAAGGAAGGGAGAGAGGGAGGGGAAATCAGGCTCTAGAAACCCCAAATGGAAGTATGACCTAACAGGTTTTCCAATTCTGGGAAGAAAGTAGTATTTAATCATGAGGATAAGGGTGAGATTAATTGGAATATATTATAAAAATACCTGGAAATGTCACAATGAACCCATTCCCTCCACATATAATGAAATAATTTATGCTAATAATAGAAAATAATAAAAATAATATTTAGTCTTAAGTATAAAAAACCTAAGGATAGAAAATAATAAAAATAATATTTAGTCTTAAGCATAAAAGACCTAAGGAGTATCTTTTTTTTTTTTTTTGGGGGGTCCGGTCGTGGGGCCTGAACTCTGGGCCTGGACGCTGTCCCTCAGCCCTTCAGCTTAAGGCTAGCGCTCTACCACTTGAGCCACAGCACCACTTCCGGCTTTTTTTTTTTGCTTCTGTGGTGCTGAGGAATCAAACCCAGGGCCTCAGGCATGCAAAGCAAACGCTCTACCACTGAGCCACCTTCCCAGCCCCATAAGGAGTATCTTAAAACTGATCTCTATCCTTAACAACAGTGTTCAACAACTGTGCTGGAGGCAGGAGATGGAACAGGGAGTGTACTGCCTGGAATGTGGTCTGGGCAACCACCCCTGCAATGGGAAGCCAGAGCCTAAGCAACTGCTGTACAGATTGGCAGGGGGGGAGGGGGGTGTCTTCAATACAAGTTCCAAGTGTGTACCATGTACCATGATCCTCCTAATATCAGTGATGGCAGGCAATGTTGGGAGAAAATCTCAGGCCAGTGTCACTTACAGTTAAAGAAAGCATTGAAGTCCTCATCACTATCAAAATCAAATCGAGAATATTCACAGCTAGGATTGTCTGTCTTGGAAGGAAAGCCCATCTGGAAAGAAAAAAAGATGAAAACCGTCCTAGTCAGAGTGAGTAAGATCTAAAGCTCAAGTACTTTGTGATCTACCTTAAAAGAAGTAAGATTTGTACAAGATATTTTCTGACTGCTCTAATCTATTCCAAATCTAGCTTGTCCATCCCAGATCCAGGATTTCTTAGAGTAGCAGGTAAGAAAGTGCTTTCACTTGATACCCTCTCAAGTTCCTGTGGAAGAATTACATTTCAAAATTTATTTAGAGCCTACGAGTGTCAAGATATCCAAGACAAAGTGATAATTCAGCACACAATAAGAAAAAAAGAACTTACGTGTATTCTAATAGGTGTAGAATTATTTATTAATTTTTTTGTGTGTGTGCGTGTGTTGTGAGGCTTGAACTCTAGGTCTGGGCGCTGTCCCTGAGCTCTTCAGCTCAAGGCAAGCGCTCTACCACTTGAGCCACAGTGCCACTTAAATAGGGCCCATGATTTGGACTTAGAAATCAAAATGAAGAATCAGTCAGCTCCAAGAGCTCTGAGCAGATCTTAGAGAATTCATGAACTTTATAGAGTGATCAATCATTGCTTCCTTCCTTACTCCATTCTCATGTGCCTGCTTGCCTTCAGTAACAATCCTTAGATATTAGCCTCTCTTACAATCCTCCTGATTTCATCCTCCTATACTACACTTTCAAAGCATTCTGATAATTCTGTCTTCAAGTCCTGAACAGAGTTCATCACATTGGATGGTTGCTGACCTTGTCCCCAGAACCTTACCCAACAGAATCTTAAGTGACAATAATGGGCTATGAATGAATGTCACTCAAAGTCTTAGGCATATTCACCTACACTACACTTTATATTCCCATTATATACCTTAACCAAGTTAGTCATAGAAGCACGAAGGTATTTTGGTATTATGGCCAACAGCACAGGATCACGGGAGAGGGTTTCATGCCTGAACAGTGCTCCCCAGGTCATCTGTGTTGAAGAGCGCAGAAACTAAAGCAAAACAAAACGAAGAAAAAATTCACTGTAAGGACTTCCAAGATTACTATTCAGCCTAGCAGTTACCAATTAAAGTGTTCCATACAATTAGATCTCAGCCCTTTAAAACTGCTTCTGCTGAAATGCATCAGTAATGACTATGGACCTCATGTTAAATAAAACAGGCTATGTTAAGTCCTGGAGTACGGACTGAAAATTGTCACTTTCTCTTCTAGGTAAGAAAGGATACTGGGTTCTCAGCAAAAGAAAGGTCTTGAGTTGAATTTTAGAATAACACAGTGGCACTTTGGCTCAAGTGGTAGAGCGCTCGCCTTGAGCTGAAGAGCACAGGGAAAGCGCCTAGGCCCAGAGTTCAAGTCCCACGGCCGACAAAAAACAAAACACACACAAAAAAAGAGTGAATTTTATAATAACACTATTTATCAAAGTTTTGAGTTGGAAAGTACCATGCTGGGCTCAGGAAGAAGGGCCCACAATTCTCTTAATGAAATGACACCTATAGCCATTCCCTAGAGCTCAACAATCCCACTATACACAGGAGCTAACAGTACAGGCCAGTACTTGATCTGAATATACTTAAATTAAAATCTGAGGACTTCGCTGCATAAAGTTTACCTGACTTGGGTGGGTCGTGAAAGCAAGAAAAGATTCCAGATATTTCCCAAAGTTTGCCGGTGTTTCTGTATCAGAATCTACGCCCTGTGGGAGACAAAGACCACTCTGTTAATGATACTCACTGGGAAGTGACCAAAGAAGAAGTAATACATACAAGTAACTTAACCTCTCAAAAAAGTTCTGAACGAGGGTTGTGAACTAAATGGTAGTGTAACACTTAACAGGATTGTAGTTTGTGGATGAGAAAAGGGAGAGTTAGCAAACAAGCCTGTGGTTCACACTGGAAATCCTAGCTTCTAGGAGGTCTGAGTAGGATGATCAGTTGGAGGCTAACCAGAGCCCAAAATGTGAAATTCCTATCAGCAAAATAACTAAAGCAAAAATGAAATAAAATAAAGTAAGGTTAAAGCTGGGTGCTGGTGGCTCACGCCTGAAATCCTAGCTACTCAGGGGGCTGAGATCTGAGGATCACCGTTCAAAGCCAGCCTGGGCAGGAACATTCATGAGACTCTTATCTCCAATAAACCACTAGAAAACCGGAAGTGGCGCTGTGGCTCAAGCAGTAGAGTGCTCGCCTTGAGCTGAAGAGCACAGGGACAGCACCCAGGCCCAGAGTTCAAGCCCCACGACCGACAAAAACAAAACAAAACAAAAGAATAAGGATAAAAGAGCTGGTTGGGTGTTAGTGGCTCATACCTGTACCTTAGCTATCAAGAAGCTGAGACCTGAGAATTGTTATTCAAAGCCAGCCTGGGCAGAAAAGTTTGTGAGATTCTTATCTCCAATTAACCAGCAAAAAACCCCAGAAGTGGTTCAAGTGGTAGAAAACAACCTTTTGAGAGAAAAAGCCAAGCATGAATGCAGAGCCCCAAGTTCAAGCCCCAGTACTAGCCGGAAAAAAAAGAAAAAAAAAAGAGCTAAGTGTGGCTCAAGTGGTAAGAGTGCCTGCCTAGCAAATCTGAGGCCCTAAGTTCAAAGCACAGGACCTCAAACATAAAACAACAAAAAGTAAACCAAACAATAAAAAAAACTCATATTATTTCTCAACCTAGACTATTTGTATTTTTCTGACTCACCTATAAGTACCCCTTGACTGCTTTATTTCTTATATCTCAAACTATGCTCTCTAATCAATTAACCACTAGAAAAGGACACTGCACCAATTGCAAATGTCAATTCTAATGTTCTACCTTCTAATTTACAAGCATCACTTAAATATCCCCTTAAAAGCAAGTTTTTCCGGGTCCATCAAACTAAAGTTTTCTTTTTTTTTTAATGTTTTCTTTCTTTTTTTTTGTTGGTCATGGGGCTTGAACTCTGGGCTTGGGCACTGTCCCTGTGCTCTTCAGCTCAAGGCGAGCGCTCTACCACTTGAGCCATAGTGCCACTTCTGGTTTTCTAGTCATTTATTGGAGAAAAGAATCTCACAGACTTTCCTTCCCAGGCTGGCTTTGAACCGTGACCCTCAGATCTCAGCCTCCTCAGTAGTTAGGATTACAGGCGTGAGCCACTGGTACCTAATGTTTTCTTTATATGGGGAATAGGAAGTCCTCTATCACTGAACCACATCCTCTGGAAAAGGGATTCAAGTCCACATTATATGAATGTATCCAGCAGATTTGGGTCTAGTAAGTGCCAAAATTCACCAGAGAATTAGATATAGTGTTGTAATAACAAAGGTGTCTGTCTTTGCTATTCTACTAAAAGTAATAAAACAAAGTTTATCATTCAGGCCTTACAAAAATAATTTAACATATATAATTAAATAATCTGTAGGACAGTGCTGAACCAGGATAACCTTAATGATATCTACAAGTGCTTATAAAAACACTAAAAACAAAGTTTTCACAATATAACCCCCACACGGCCCAAATCTCTCCAGAAAGCAAAGAGCTTACCAGCAGTGCACACAGCTGACTGCCCAGAGCACACAACACCTGACAGAGTCTCTTCAGGAAGACGTACTGCTTTTCTACCAAGCCTCCTCCATCGGCAGTTCTGTACAAGACACAACAATGGGATTAGCTGCACATCAAGACAAGTTGTGCAGTCCCATTAAATGGAACTGTCTTGTGTATTATGCTTTACTATTCAAATCTTCAGTGATTATTAAGATCTAAAACAAAACCCAACCACAAGAAACCAATGTGTCCTCTCTGTTCTCACTAGAAGAGTACAGCCAGGTAAAATCATTCTCAGAGGGGCTGGGAAGGTGGCTCAGTGGTAGAGCGCTTGCCTTGCATGCATGAGGCCCTGGGTTTGGTTCCTCAGCGCCACATAAGCAAAAAGAAAAAAAGCCGGAAGTGGCGCTGTGGCTCAAGTGGTAGAGCACTAGCCTTGAGCTGAAGAGCTAAGGGACAGCACCCAGGCCCAGAGTTCAGGCCCCACGACCGGACCCCAAAAAAAAAATCATTCTCAGAATTTTGGGATAATCTAAACTTTGTTTTTATGTGATGGCATCAAAGAATACTTAAGTGATCGGTGAACAGGGACCCTGGTGATACCCAAACTCACAGGGAGGGGTTCTTCGGGGACATGTAACAATTCCTTGTACCACTGGGTACTGGTGGCTCATGTCTGAAATCCTAGCTACTCAGGAGGCTGAGATCTGAGAATCACAGTTCAAAGACAGTAGAAAAGTAGAGCTGTGTCCAAAGATGTTAGAAGCAGTAAACTGGGCTTCAAGGAATAAAATCCTCAAACTTTAAGTGTCTGCCACATTCCACTGTGGCTCAAAGTGCTAACGTTGAGCAAAAGAGCTCAGGGATAGCACCCAGGCCTGAGTTCAAGCTCTATGAATGAGGGGGAAAAAGTTTCTTAGGAAAAAAGCAGTTTTCTTAGGAATGAAAATCATGATAAATCCCATATTAAAATGAGTAGAGACTTCAAGGGTTGGGAGTGTGACCTCAAGTGTTAGAATGCCTAACAAGTGTAAAAACCAAAATGAAAAAACGAGAGGGGGGAGAAGGGAGGAGGAGAGATTTTTAAGTAAGTAATATATGTGTCTCATAAAGTGAAGGGCTGGGAAGGCGGCTCAGTGGTAGAATGCTTGCCTTGTATGCATGAGGCCCTGGGTTCCATTCTTCGGCACCACATAAACAGAAAAAAAAGGGAAGTGGTGCTGTGGCTCAAGTGGTAGAGTCCTTGAGCTGAAGAGCTAAGGGACAGCACTCAGGCCCAGAGTTCAGGCCCCACAGTCAAAAAAAAAAAAGTTAAGCGAAGAGTATCAAAAAGAGGGTGTTGCTATGGCCTTAATCATCTACAATACAAGTTCTATATGACACAACTCAGGCCTAATCACCAACCAGAACAACCAAGCAAAGAACTGGAAGCACCCCTCTTCCCTGCAAATACCCACAAAGGTAGGCTACTCACTGTGCAGCAGAGAGAATATAATGCATGGCAACGTCTCCAAATAAGACCATCAAGGGCTTCCGGTCTTCCAATTTTCCCTAGACCCGATTTTAGGAGAAAACAGTCATATGACTATACTGACTTCCTTCTATACTTATACAGTAAAGTACAGTATTTTGTTAGTTTCTCAACTACCCCAGGATATACTGAACACTATAAAAAAAAAGCCAGCTCTTTAAAACCAAATCTGGGTAAGTTGTTTATTACCAAGATGTTAGGCAAGAAGGCTGATACAAGAATGCAATGCAACCAAGTAAATTACATCTGGAGATAATATTTCTAGATAGAAGAGAGGTACAGTTCTATTGTGAGCCAAGCCAAATAAAAAGCTAATGCAGCCACCATCTAAAATTCTTTGTAGAGAGAGTGAGCTTGAACCTTTCACATTACTTTTATCTAAGTGTGAAGTATCAAGACTCATGGTTGTCTCAAGAACCAAGCAGACTGACAAATCTGTACATATTCTGCCAATGGATCTGTTTCATAGAAGCAGTAAATTGGCTTCAAGGAATAAAATCCTCAAACTTTATTTAAGTGTCTACCACATGCCAGCAAACCCACACACAACACTAGCTCAGAGACTCAAGACAAGACAGTCTGAAGGGTAACTTACTTTTCTGCTGACTGCAATGAGTAGACACTCAGCTGCTCCCAACTGAAGTTCCTGTTCACTCAGAAGCAAGCATAGTACCTCCAGGAGCTTACAGTTTTCAGTGGTAATGTGAGTCATGGATACCCAGTCAATGTAGCCTGCAAGAGTACTCAGTGCTGCTGTTCCTACTCGACAGTGTGCTTGAGCCTGCATGAAACCACTTTTGATCATGAGGTACAAATCGACAAGGGAGTTGTTACAGCCAAACTTACATTTTCTAATCCTAAAAAGAAAATGGTTTCTAAAAACCTGTCCTCATCTAACAACTGCTGACAGAGAAGTCAAAAGATTTTCAGTGCATAACCATTTCCCAAAAAATGGCATTCTCAGCACCAATCATTCAGACTATACTGGTCGGGGCTTGGTGGTGCATGCCAATAATTAGAGCTGCTCAGAAAGCTTTCTTCCCTCAAGGAGAATCCTAAGTTCAAGGCCAGTCTAAGCAAAGGCAGGAAGATTCTGTCACAAAGCAAAATTTTAAAAAATGTGTAAGGCACAGCTCAAGTGTAGAGCTCTTGCTTAGAATGTCTGAGATCCTGGGTTTAATTCCTAGCATGGGAACAGGGTGGGTGTGGTGTAGATAGGGGACATAAACAATACAAACGAGTGTCATCAATATTATCATTTTATGCCTCTCTCACTATAGCTAAGTGGCCAAAAAGAAAAAACAAAACAAAACAATCCTGCTACCAAGGCTGAGCTATAGGTATAGCATCCAGCACCTAAAAGCCTCAGTCTTTTTCCAGTTCATGAGGCGTGCTTGTAGTGCTTACCTTGGACTCCTGAGAAGTATCAGTCTTCTGAAAGAAAAGTATAAAGATCCAGTGTTTTTATGTGCTATATCACTTTTTTTTTTTTTTGGGGGGGGGGGGGGGGTAGTGCTTGAACTCAGGACCCGGGCACTGTCCCTGAGCTCGTTTGCGCATGGCTAGTGCTCTACCACTTAGAGCCACAGCACTAGTAGTTTACTGAGTAGTTTACTGGAGAGAAGAGTCTCATGGGCTTTCCTGTCTGCGCTGGCTTCAGATCTCAGCCTCACAAGTAGCTAGGGTTCTGGCATGAGACACCAGTGCCCAGACACATTCAACTTTTAACCTTACTGAGAATACAAAAATAATGCCAGCTGGGCACTGGTGGCTCATGCCTGCAATCCTACTCAGGAGGCTGAGATGTGAGGATCGCAGTTCAAAGCCAGCCCAGGCAGGAAAATCTGTGAGACTTTTTTTTTTTTGTCGGTTGTGGGGCTTGAACTCTGGGCCTGGGCGTTGTCCCTCAGCTCTTCAGCTCAAGGCGAGTGCTCTACCACTTGAGCTACAGCGCCACTTCCGGTTTTCTGGTGGTTTATTGGAGATAGGAGTCTCACGGTCTCTCCTGCCCGGGCTGGCTTTGAACCGCGATCCTCAGATCTCAGCCTCCTGAGTAGCTAGGATTACAGGCGTGAGCCACCAGCGCCCGGTCAATCTGTGAGACTCTTATCTCCAATTAACCACCAGAAAACCTGAAGTGGTGCTGTGGCTCAAGTGGTAGAGTGTTTGCCTTGAGCTGAAGAGCTCAGGGACTGTGCCCAGGAAGAGCTCAAGCTCCATAACGGACCACCCTCCCAAAAAAAGATAATACCCAGGTATATAATACAACAGGTTAAAACAATAAATTAAATCCAATTTGTCACCATGTATGTATAGGTATATTCTAGGAGAATCCTGTATACCAAAACATTAGGTGCTGAAACTCAAAACAATGGCTGCTCAGAACAGACACATAAAAATGATTTTATTTTTATTTTTTTGTCAGTCATGGGGCCTAGGCACTGTCCCTCAGCTCTTCAGCTCAAGACTAGCACTCTACCACTTGAGCCACAGCACTACTTCTGGCCTTTTCTGCTTATGTGGTGCTGAGGAATCGAACCCAGGGCCTCATGCACGCAAGACAAGCATTCTACCACTGAGCCACTTTTCTAGCTTCATAAAAATGATATTTATCCTTATGTTTCAAAGTCTACAAAATACCACATAATTGTTATGAATCTTAAGCATATTAAAAAAAACAAAAAAACCAACATTTTTGAAAATGGAGGTATCCCTTAAATAGTAGGACACTAGCCTTGAGCAAAAAAGCTGACCAAGAGTATAAAGCCCAGAGTTCAAGCCTCAGTACCAGCACATTAAAGATAATAAATATACTTATACAAACATACTTATGTTTATGTAAACACACATCAACATTTTAAGGAACTTATGAAAATAAAACGAAGAATAACCTCTGCAAGCAATCACAGGAGACCTAAGTGGGAACACCCTCTAAAGTACCTGGAAGCTACCAGCACTGGGATCATGAAGCTTCAACAACAAGCTCTCCAATCCCAGGCTAGCACAGGAGGCAGCGAATGGGACTGGAGGAGGGAATCAATTTATTCCATTGTTGCTTATGTTCAAATGATTTCCCAACTGGGAAGGGATAGAAGTAGACAAGAAACTAAGAACAAAGTGAGAAGATCAAAGTACAAAAGATGGCTGTTTGTGCTCTGATCTTGGTGTAGCTGTGTAGATCCCACCTTTCCTGTGCTCATAACTAGAGCATAACTGTGTGACTCATATAAGTGATACTCAAAGAGATGCTATTCTGAAGGGTTGAAATACCTTTTTTTCCTGTGGAATGCAATTCTTTCCAAGCAAAAGAACTTTTCCCAAATAAGCCACAGGAGAGTAAGGGACTGGTAGCCCATGTCTGTAATCCTAGCTACTCAGGAGGCTGAGACGTGTAGATTTTGGTTCAAAACCAGATCAAACAAGAAAGTCAGTAATTAATTAATTAATTTCCAAAAAATTGTCAATTAATTTCCAAAAAGCCATAAGTAGAGGTGTGGCTCAAGTGGCAGAGTGTCAGCCTTAAGCAAAAAAACTAAGGGATAGCACCCAAGCCCTGAGTTCAAGCCCTAGTACCAGAAAAAGATACAGGGATCTCAAGTCCCATTTCCTTCAGGAAGAACAGAAAATGTTTCTCTCTTCTCCATTTCTCCCTACATTACACTTGTTATCTAACATAAATCTTAGCTAAAAGGGAGGAGGAGGAACAACTTTTTTTTTTCCTTAAAACATTTGTTTCAGGATAAACTGTCCTGAATCCTAAAGTCTAATAACTCAACCTAGGAATAAGACATACCACAGGTACATCCCATTTTCCCTAAGAATTACCCATGATATTGAAGTATGGGCAGGTCATCTCCATATAATTGTTTCTTTTCTTGTAGGGATTAAGTTTCCTAGGGAAAATGAAAATATACATAGGGATTGTGCCTGAGACAAGATCTCATTATATAACTCAAGCTGTCCTCAATCTTGTGATCTTTCTGCTTCTATAAACCAAATGCCAAGATTACAGGCATGTGCCACCATGCCCAGCACACAGATTTTTGAAGTAAGTATTTTCTCCTTGTTTTCTTTTGAAGAAATCTCAGGGATGTGCTTCAGGGAGAGTTCACTATAGTGAAAAAAATGAATATGAATTTCACTATGAATATTTATTAGAGAGAGGACCTTTCATAGTTATTCTTTGAACCTCTGAGACAATGCTTTCTAAATATAAGGCTGTTTTGATGATTAATATACAAAGTACAAGTGTGTTTTATATATATATGTATGTATACATATATATAGTATATTTTATTCACTGCGAATTCTTCCTTCCCCTACAGCTTCTAATACCTTCCCCTCATTATATGCAGAACTTCTCTACAAATAGACCCCATGACTGCAAAAAAAGACTCTTAAGCAGAGGCTGGGAAGGTGGTTCAGTGGTAGAGCACTTGCCTTGCATGCATGAGGCCCTGGGTTTGATTCCCCAGCAACACATAAGCAAAAAGAAAAAAAGCCAGAAGTGGTGCTGTGGCTCAAGTGGTAGAGCACTAGCCTTGAGCTGAAGAGCTGAGGGACAGCACCCAGGCCCAGAGTTCAGGCCCCACGACCAGGCGCCCCACCGCAAAAAAAAAAAGACTCTTAAGCTGGTCACTGGTAGCTCATACCTGTAATACTAAGGAGGCTGAGATCTGAGGATCATGGTTCAAAGCCAGCCAAAGCAGGAATGTCCATGAGACTCATTTCTAATTAACTACTAGAAAACCAGAATTGGCACTGTGGCTGAAGTGGTAGAGCATTTGCCTTGAGCTGAAGAGCTGAGGGACAGCACCCAGGCCCAGAGTTCAAGCCCCATGACCAAAAAAAAAAGGAAAAAATTCTATTTTATAAAATAGGTACATGAGAATTCTAAATCAAGTTTTATTTATATTAGCTATGTATGTACTTATTTTTACAGTATAAAGACTTGTGCTTTGTGTTTGCTTAACTGGGGGCTTTGCCACTTGAGCTATACTTCCAGTCTAGCTTTTGCTAATTAATGGAGAGAGTCTCGTGGACTTTTCTGGATAGCTTTGAACTGCCAATCTAGGCCTTCTGAGTAGCTAGGATTACAAGTGTAAACCACTGGTATTTGGCTTAAATCAGAGGTTTTACATTGTTGATATTTTCGAAAGAAAAATGTAAGTCAGTTAGAGTAAAAGACTGCATAGCATGCAAGAGAGGCCAGCAGCAAACAGAACAACACAATTTAACAGTTTTCAAGTATTAAGCAATAATCTCCACTTCCATTCTAAGAATTTCCTTAACTTAAAGGAATTTTGGGGGCTGAGAAGGTGGCATAGTGGTAGAGTACTTGCCTAGAATGCATGAAGCCCTAGGTCTATTCCTCAGTACCACATAAACAGAAAAGGCCTGGAAGTGGTATTGTGGTAGTAGAGTGCTCGTCTTGAGCAAAAGAAGCTCAGGGACAGTGCCCAGGCCCTGAGTTCAAGCCCCAGAACTGCCCCCTACCCTCCAAAAAAAAAAAAAAAAGGAATTTTCTTTTTTTTTAAATCTCCCTCTCCCCATCTTTGTTGGTCGTGGGCCTTGGCGCTGTCCCTGAGCTCTTTAGCTCAAGGCAAGCACTCTACCACTTGAGCCACAGTACCACTTCCAGTTTTCTGGTGGTTTATTGGAGATAAGAGACTCATGCTTTCTTGCCTGGGCTGCTTTGAACCACGATCCACATATCTCAGCTTCCTGAGTAGCTAAGATTATAGGTGTGAGCCACCTGCACCTGCTCCTTGTCTGTAGTTGTTTTTTTTTTTCTCCCCAGGGCTGAGGACCAAACCCAGAGCCTTGCACGCCGGGCGGGTGCCCTTCCCCTGCTCCTTGTCTAGTAGAGCGCTTGCCTTGCATGCATGAGGCCTTGGGTTCGATTCCTCAGCAACACATAAATAGAAAAAGCCAGAAGTGGCGCTGTGGCTCAAGTGGTAAAGCGCTAGCCTTGAGCTGAAGAGCTGAGGGACAGCACCCAGGCCAGAGTTTCAGGCCCCATGACCGACAAAAAAAAAAAAAAAACAAAAACACACAAAAACACAAAAAACAAACAACTCACTGAAGTGAATTTCTGAGAAAACCAATTCTAGTTTCTCCTGTTATTTACTAGTTTTTTCATGATCAAATAGCCTATCCTTTTGAAATAGATACTACATGGCAGAAAGAGCATTTTATTTATTTATTTATTTATTTTTGTCAGTCGTGGGGCTTGAACTCTGGGCCTGGGCGTTGTCCCTCAGCTCTTCAGCTCAAGGCAAGCGCTCTACCACTTGAGCTACAGCGCCACTTCCAGAAAGAGCATTTTAATGAAGAAGAAAAACAGAAACATTACTTATTAGAAAATTCCTTACCATTTGCTGGTATTTGTTGACATTTTCCTGGAGTGTGTTAAGCAAAAAGCTGAAGATCTTTTCCATGTTCTGAGTTAATGCTTGCTGAATATCCCTTCTTCTTTGAGGGGGAAGTGTCTGAAAGGTCACTACGTCCTCTGCCAGTCGCAGAAGGATGAACATCACTAATTCTGTCTGAGTTTCCTATGCCAACGGAAATAAGCTAGTTATACTAAACACCTTATTCATTCCAGGTGTGCACAAAGGGTATTTTCTGTTGATAAAGCAAATCCTAAAGTCTACATCAAGAACAAGCACATGGAGAAGCTGACAGAGCTGCACTACGTACCCCTTGCCTGGAGAGAGTATCCAACTCCACGAGCATGTCAGGCCAGTGCTGTGGCCACTCTCGCTTTATCATCTCTACCACAATTCGAGACAGGACATCTTTAATGTGGTTCTCCTCTTCCAAAATGCTCAATGTCCCCTAAGAAAGAGTAAGAGATTAGGAGGTCTGCAAGTCTGAATTTTAGGCATTAAAACTGAGCTGTACAAGTGTAAAATGCTCATCAGCAGGTCTGCTCTGAAATTAAACTGAACCAAAAAACCTGTTCTCCAGGCCTGACTCACAAGGCTCGTCCTGCCCTCTCTTAATTGCTTCCCACTTCAAACCAGCTACTAAACTGGCTGTCACAGAGCCAGGAAAACATCACTGTTGTATATATTGAAGAGATTTATGTATTACTTCATTTTTAGAGTGCCAGGAAGAGAATATAGAAAGAAGGTAGACAGAGTTGGGAAGGTGGCTCAGTGGTAGAGCACTTGCCTTGCATGCCTGAGGCCCTGGGTTTGATTCCTCAGCACCACATAAGCAAAAAGAAAAAAGCAGGAAGTGGCGCTGTGGTTCAAGTGGTAGAGCACTAGCCTTGAGCTGAAGAGCTGAGGGACAGTGCCCAGGCCCAGAGTTCAGGCCCCACGACCGGACCCAAAACAAAAAACAAACAAACAAACAAAAAACCAGAAAGTAGGTACAGTAAAAGGCTGGCAAATTAGAATGGGCTGGAGCACAGTGAACTATTTTACTAATGATGCCAGTATTAAAAAATACGGAAAAACTGCTGGGAATTGGTGGCTCATGTCTGTGACGCTAGCTACTCAGGAGGCTGAGATCTGAGGATCGAGGTCCAAGTCAGCCCAGGTGATTCTTATCTCCAATTAACCATCAGAAGACTGGAAATGTGCTGTGGCTCAAAATGATAGAGCACTAGCTAGCCTTGAAAAAAAAGAGCTCAGGGACAGTGCCCAGGCTCTAAGTTCAAGTGCCATGACTGAGCAAGACAAAACAAACAAAAGCACTAGTAAGAGATGTGATGAATCCAGTGGGTCTTTTTAGATCATTAACATTATACTTTGGCCTATACATTATACATTGGTCTACACAGAAATCTGTTTCTTACACAAACGTTCCATACAGAAGAAACCAGATTTTATCTTGAAAACACTCATCTTCTAACCACCCCTCTCTTACATTTGTAATCAGCTCCATGACACTGTTCTTCAGGTAGACCTTCTCCAATCGAGACATGGTATTCCACCGAAACCTGGCAATCGACACACAGAAAATCATCAGAACCATCTTCTAAGTCTCTCTTCACAAGAGAATTGCTTTGATTCCTGATCTACCTTATTAAAAATTTGTGGGCTAGGAATGTGGCTTAGTGGTAGAGTTCTTGCCTAGCATGCATGAAGCCCTGGGTTCAATCCTCAGTACCACATAAACGTAGAAAGCCAGAAGTGGTGCTGTGGGTCAAGTGATAGAGTGCCTGCCTTGAACAAAAGAAACTCAGGGACAATGCCCAGGCTCTGAGTTCAAGTCCCAGGACTGGCAAAAAAAAAAAAAAAAGAAAAGAAAAATATATATGGACAAATTGGTCCTTGTTCAACCAAATTACTAACAATAGAAAAATTCAGGACTTCTGAGCACCAGTGGCTTACGCCTGCAATCCTAGCTACTCATGAGACTACTGAGGATCACAGTTTGAAGCCAGCCTGGGCAGGAAAGCCCATGAGACTTATTTCCAATTAATTGCCAAAAAGATTGAAGTTGAGCTGTGACTAACATTGAGCAAAAAACAAAAACACTCCGGGTCAGTGCCCAGGCTTTGAGTTCAAGTCTTAGGACCAGAGAAAGAAAGGAAGAAACAAAGACAGACAGGAAGGAAGGAAGGAGGGAGGGAGGGAGGGAGAGAGGGAGGGAGGGAGGGAGAGAGGGAGGGAGGGGAGAGAAACTGGGAAGGAGGAAGTGAGGGAGGGGGGGAAAGGCAAAGAGAAGGGGAGATTAGATAGATTGGGCATGGCACAAGTGGGAGAGTGCCAGCCATGAGTGGGAAATCTTAGAGCATGAAGTCCTCAGTTCATGTTCCAGTACTAGAACAAAAAAAAACCCCACAATTCTTAGAGCAAGAGTACATACATACTAGGGGCTATTAATTGGAATTTACAGAGGACTTGTGTCAAATACCAGCTTCTTCTCATGATCGTAAGACTAGTAACAAATGTCCATCTAGTACAATTCCAACAATGTAGTGCCTTCTCAGAAAACATCTTGATACTACCAACTCTTTTTCTGTGCTGGCTTACAAAATTACAGAACAATTCCAGAAAAATTGTGGCTAAGTTTTAAAGGCTGATCTTCTAACAGTGAGTATGTAAGACTCAAGTTAGGAGAGGTTCTCATTTATTCTCATGGAATCCTTCTTTGGATTCCAAAATACACATACAGCTGGGTACTGGTGGCTCACGCCTGTAATCCTAGCTACTCAGGAAGCTGAGATCTCAGGATCACAGTTCAAAGCTAGCCCAGGCAGGAAAGTCCGTGAGACTCTTATCTCCAATAAACCACTAGAAAACTGGAAGTGGTGCTGTGGCTCAAGCGGTAGAGTACTAGCCTTGAGCTGAAGAACTGAGGGATAGCGCCCAAACCCAGAGTTCAAACCCCACAACCCCCCCCCCCGCCCCCGCCAAAAAAAAGAGAAAAAAAGAAAGGCACAGTACCTCAGGCAGAAGTTCATCTATTTCTATACTCATTATGCTTCAAAGGCGTTGAGGTCTGCTAACATCTACTAGGAGTCCAGTAATGCTGGATAAGCTGACTAGCAGCTATGAGTTAATATATTTGGTAAATACTTGGTATGTATACACAAGTATTTTTGTGTACATCTATATGTATATACATGTATATATAACCCACCGTGTACTACACGAACAAGAGTAAGATTTAAGGTCCCATATGAGCACTCTTGTGAGGTTCAGCTAACATCTTGGGGATCATTTCTTTCTTCTTGGTGCACCTCTATCAGTTACACAGAATTGAAGATTCAGATGGGCCACTGACTTACAACTGTAATACTATCGACTGGGAGGCTGAGATCTGAGGATCATGGTTCAAAATCAAGTGGAGCAGGAATACCCATGAGACTTTAACTTCCAGTAAACCACCAAAAAGCCAGAAGTGGAAGTGGCTCAAGTGATAGTACTGAGAAAAACTACGGGGCAATGCCCAGGCTCTGAGTTCAAGCTCCACACCTACACAAAGAAAAACAAACAAAAACCCACAAGGAATCATTTACTTTCTTAGACTTCAGTAGTAATGCACAAAAGATCCTTACTTGACAACATGTTCCAGGATCTGAAGACCAAAATGTCTGACAATGGCAATCTGAGTTTTCTCAGCCAGCTTCAAGCCACAGGGAACACAGATAGGACACTTTTCTTTAAATTCTTCACAAAACTAAAAAGAAGACATTAGTATTCCTTACAGAGCCAAGAGACAGTGGTTCCCCAAAAAACCCAAAGAAATCCCAACCTTAGCTACATTTTTAAGTTGCAAATAGAACAATACTATGTGAATATGAACTAATAACCCTTCCACTAGGATAGTTCCAGATTTCACTATGCTGTAGGCAATAATACCCTAACAGAAAAAAGAAGGGGGGAAATCTGAAGGAGTCAAATTATTTGTTACATAAACCCCTATGGAAGGATGGTCAAGTTCTTAGATTGTTTTTAAAAACTTATGAGCAGGAGTAAGGCTGAAGAAACTGTAGGAAAATCTGCTCACTAGTTGATTTTAGGTGACAAACATATAAAGGATCATTGTAGCATTTTTCACTTCTGTGTCTTTTAAGTATTTCACTAAAAAATAAGAGCCCAACTGTGCATATTCCAAACCCTGTGACATATACATCCTTACATTATAAAGTTTCCACCAAGTGGCACTCAAGCGGTATACTTTATGAAGTTATACAACTTAAAATATGTACGGTCCGGAGTGTTTTCTCCCAGAAATATTTTTCACAGCCTACATAAACATTGTTTATTAGAATAATAAACTGTATTGCTTTCAGTATCCCCATCAGTTTTAGCTTTCCTAAACTGCAACTTTCGAAGCCCAGAGCAGGGCATCCGGAATTCAAGAAAACTACTTTCAGGAAACCAAAGTGTCCTTGGTTTAAAAAAAAAAAAAAAAAATGCAAAGCAAGCGTTAGAAGTTCACATTCGCGCGAAACAGTCGAAGAATATCATACACTGAACAGCGGCCAAAGGCAAGAAAGAGTCAGAGAATGACCACCACCCGCACCCCCACCCCCGAAAGGCCCCCAAGACGCCCACGAGCGAGCGGCCAGGGTCGCTCTGGGACCTGGGCGGTCGGTTAGGACGTGTGTAGTCTGGGTCGGCGGAGAAGATCGTGAAGAATGAGGCTGGCCATGGGGGTAGGAGCCGCACGTGCACCAGGGCAGGCCGGGGGGTGCGGGGCTGGGGAGGTCGGGGGGGGGGGGGCTGAGAACTCGTGCACATCGGGAAGGAGCGCATCGTGGCGCCGGCGACAGTGGAAAACAAGTGGGAAAGGAAGAGCAAAGATGGTGGGAAGCGGTGGCGGCGAGGATGGGAAGCAGCCGGCGAGCGCAGGGTCCGTGCGAAGAGCCGGAGCGCGAGCAAAGCCCTGGGAGTGGGAAAAGGCGCGGAGGGCCGCGAGGGAAAGCCGCCCGCCGGCCGGGGTCCGCAGGACGATCCAGGGCCGCGCGGGCCGCAGCCGGCCGGAGTGGGGGCACGCCGGGGGGCAGGACGGGGTGAAGGGTCCCGGAGCGGGCCCGGGGCGCCGGGACCCCAGCTACCTTGAGGGCTTCCAGCCGGTAGCGCTGGGTGGAGGTGGGGTCCATCATGACCGTCACCGCTTTCACCAGCTCCTCGCACAGCGCATTCACTTGATCCGTCGCCATGGCTAAAGCACGTGCTTCGAGTACACACTCCGCCCGCCCGGGGAGCGTGGGGCATGGACGGCCCTGTTGGAGGACCCACCGGTTGGTACCGGGCCGCGGCGGGCAGAAGGAGAACCGGAGGAGGAGCGAGAGCAGCCCAAGCCCGTGCGACGGAGGATCCGGCGCTGCGCACGCGCCCGACCCGCTACGGCGCACGCGCCTGACCGGCCACGGCGCACGCGGAAGTGGCGGCTTCCCCCCCCCTCTCCCGTGACGTCTGCCCCTGAGTGGGCGGGGCGGAGACGGAAGGGCCTCGGTGCGCAGGCGCAACACCCGCCTCCTCTCTCCCCATCCTGTGTGCTTCGCGCGCAAGCGCGCAAGCGCGCGCGGCCAAATCTAAGTCGGTCGGAAGCACTCTGTGGAGAGAGGATCTCTTGGCTGGATCTCCGTGCGACTGGCGGGCCTTGCCTCGGTGGGATTTTCTGCGGTGCCCGCTGGCGTTCTTCGCTGTCAGGAAGAGTAAATCTGTTTGGAACCCTCCCGGCCTGCTTTGAAAGGCGACAAGATCCTGGAGACGCCTTCAAGCCCGCGGCGTCCGCTGTCGCCCGGCAGTGCTGACAGGTAAGTGCGTCGCCCTGCTGAGAAGATTGCAGCCGTTCCGCCGCGCTCTGGTCAGACTTGCCGTATTTCCTCCCCGCACGGCTCTAGAGACTGGAGACACTTGCGCCAAAACCCGGGAGAAAACGCGCTGAGAGAGTTACGGCCCTGGCCGCCGGGGACTGCTTTTTTCTTCTTCACACTTGCGTTTGTTTTCTTGGATATATTGCTACCCGATGGACTCCAAAGTTGCTTAGCGCACATGGGGATAAATCGAGATATTTGAAGATGAATAGATGTAGTTACTGAAGTTTTGTGTCGTTTGGACCGTTTGCGTGTACGATTTCAAAGTAGATGTAATCTTTATCTGAAAGCAGAGTTTTGGCAGAAAATATGGCCACTTTCCCACTTCATAAAATACTTGGGGATATTTTGTTTATATATAAAAATAGAACAGTGAAATCTGCTGAAATCGTGGGAGGTTGTTTTGTTTTTTGGGGGGAGCTCAGTATATTGTATATTGAATGCATGTATGAAAATGTTGTTATTTCCCCAATGAAGTAACAAGGGAAGTAAAAAGAGAATAAACATGTGATTGTTATGGTGTCCCAAAATCACCTAATTTTTTTTTTCTATGAAGATACTCCTAGTAAATAATTTAGGCCTTGAAGACTACAAAGCCTTTGCTATGGCTGTTCAACTCTGCAATGGTAGTGCAAAGCAGCCAAAGACAGTATGGTTATGTTTAAGTAAAACTTTAATGGCCCCTGAAAAATAGCAAAACTCTTGCCCGAATACTTAAGTACAAATTACAGAATACTTCAGTAATTTGTCTGTTATGCTTGCAAATCTATTATTATAATTCCGGACTTATAAATCCATTACTGGTGTTAAATCACAGCTTCCTATCTCATTTTTGGCTTTTGTATCTCACATGTAATTTCTCTGGTTTGTTGTTTGTGACAACAAATTTGCCATTTTTTTGTTATTACCTTTTGCAGTGCTATTGAAAAGCCACTTTAAAGAGAGTTGTAACATGTTTTGAATTATAGAAAAGCCACTTCAAGGGAAGGGTAACATTGTCCAAAAAGAAATGTACTCATTACCTGACTTCTGTAACTGTAACCCCTCCGTACATCACCTTTTTAACAACAACTAAAAAATAAAAATTAAAGAAAAGCCGTTTTTTCTGACAAATGTTTAAAATATCACATTCTGCATGTTTTCGGTGAGTGATTAATCTTTATAAAGAACTCATGCCTCTAATATTTTTACTTAATTTTTTTTCACTCATCTTTCAGCTTTGTAGTTGCTTGACACTTTCTTGATGATGAATGTTAATATTTGAAAACTTTTTTAGAATACAGTTAGGTGCTCGCTCAACTGTATAACCTGTGATTTTCATATTTAAATCATGAGTTTCTGCTGTTTTCCTATCTTATTTACAACAGGCCAATGGTTCTCCAATTCTTTACATGTTGGAATTGCCTGGACAGTCTTTAAAAAGTCATAGTTGTTGGGGCTGGGAATGTGGCTTAATGGTAGAGTGCTTGCCTAGAATGCAGGAAGCCCTGGATTCAATTCCTTAGTACCACATAAACAGAAAAAGCTGCAAGTGGTGCTGTGGCTCAAGGGGCAGAGTGCTAACCTTAGGCAAAAGCAGCTCAGGAACAGTGCCCTGAGTTCAAGCCCTAGGACTACCAAAAAATAATCAAATAAAATCATAGTGTTCAAGGTCACATGGGCATCAATTAAATTCGGATATCTGGTGGTAGAAGTTTGGGAGCCACTGCTTTATGTTCTTTGTTCCAAATTACTAATTGTGTTATTTAATCCACTGTCAAGCCTGTAAGGTTTGTCTTTGCCTATTCATGAATAGAATATCAGAATGCTATAAAGCAGTTGTTACAGGAAAAGATCCACTGATAAATTGCTTAGTAATGGAAAATCTGAAGACAATAGGATATTTACATCATCTCAAAGTATACTCTCAAGATATTAATTACAAAAGGAAAAATAGTAATTTCACAGTGAGAAATTCAGTAAACACTATCATAACTAACTGATCATAGTTAATATCACTGGTAATATACTGACATCATGACCCTTCACCCATATGGTAGTGCTGAGAAAAGTACTATTTTCATGATCTTTTTGCCAAAAATGCTAAGTCTCTATCTACGAGGAATCATCAGAGACATCAGAGACAGAAATTAAGAGACATTCTCAAGATTAAAGAAAGAGAAAGGGTTATAGATAGAAGACTTAGGAGATGTGGTGACTAAATAAGCTCTAGGATCCTACTCTGGGTCCTGGAACAGAAAGAGGATATTACTGGAAAACCAGTGAAATGCAAATCAAGTATGTAGTTACTGCTTTATTTGTGCTCATTTTTAAATTTTGATAGTTGTGTTTTGTAAAATTTTAGCAGGAGTGCAGGAGAACACCACATTATAATTTTCTGAAAGTCTAAAAGTATCTGAAAATAAATATATACTAATACTTTGATGTTATTTAGTTGCCCCTTCAAATATGTGTGTATGTGTGTATATATGTGTGTGTATACACGTATATTTTGGGGGGGGTCAATGCTGGGGATTGAACCCAGGGCCTTAAGAATAGTAGGCAAGCACTTTACTGCTGAACAATAACCCTAATCTGTAGATTACTTATAATACCTAACACAATGCAAGTACTAAGGCAATAGTTGTAATACTGTATTGTTTAGAGAATGACATGAACAACTTCTGTTATGTGATCAGTACACACTTTTTTCTGAGTACACATTTCAATCTGATGTTGGTTGATGTGGACCTTTTTTTTTTTTTTTTTTTGGGTCCGGTCGTGGAGCCTAAACTCTGGGCCTGGGCGCTGTCCCTCAGCTCTTCAGTTCAAGGCTAGCGCTCTACCACTTGAGCCATAGCGCCACTTCCGGCTTTTTTCTTTTTGCTTATGTGGTGCTGAGGAATCAAACCCAGGGCCTCATGCATGCAAGGCAAGTGCTCTACCACTGAGCCACCTTCCCAGCCCCGTAATGTGGACTTTTTGGATATGGAGTGTTGGCTATTATTTTTCTACTTCTCTTTTCTCTTACACTGGAGATCTGTTTGTCAACTGGATTACAGTTGGCCCCTTCCTCTACTGATGTACATTGTGGTTTTAATTTGCATTTCCTCATTGCTAATGATGCTGAGCTCATTTGTATGCACCTGTTGGCTATTTATATATCTTCTTTTGTGAGTGTTCAGTTTTTCTGAGGGTGAGTATTTTTAATGCTTTTACTACTTAATACTTTCATAAAATCATACTAGTTATCCTGGCAGTTGTATATAAAAATGTCTCTCTTTTTTTTTTTAATGCCAGTACTGAGGCTTGAATTTAGGATCTGGTTGCTGTCCCTGGGCTTTTTTGCTCAAGGCTAGTACTCTACCATTTGAACCATAGCTCCACTTTAACTTTTTGGTGATTAATTAGAGGTAAGACTCTCATGGACTTTTTTCCCAGAGTTGGGTTTGAACCATGGTCCTCAGATCCTCAACCTCTTGAGTAGCTAGGATTACAGGCATGAGCCACCATTTCACAGTGATTAGGTGTATTTCTAATTGTCTGTAAAAACATTGTCTTCCAGAAAAAAATGGCTACTGGACAGGATCGAGTGGTTGCTCTGGTGGACATGGACTGTTTTTTTGTTCAAGTAGAGCAACGGCAAAATCCTCATTTGAGGAACAAACCTTGTGCAGTGGTACAGTACAAATCATGGAAAGGTGGTGGGTATGTATCATTATTATTGTTACAACTACCAAGGTTTAATCTATGGAAATACAATCCTGTGCTAAGCATCTTTTATATGTTTATAGCTTGCTCATGTTAAATTTTGGTTGTTTTTGCTTGTGATCATGTAATACTTCTCCCTCTTTATTTTTCTAACCTTAGAATTATTGCAGTGAGTTATGAAGCTCGTGCATTTGGGGTCACTAGAAACATGTGGGCAGATGATGCTAAGAAATTATGTCCAGATCTTCTACTGGCACAAGTTCGTGAGTGCCGTGGAAAAGCTAATCTCACCAAGTAAGAAAACCAATTGTTTAAAGGGACGTGGAGGTGTTGGAAATAATAGTCATGAGGGGTGGAACTACTCTTGCAGATTTTGTTTTGTGGGCTTGGGTGTGGCACAGAGGTAAAGTGTTTGCCTTCACGAGATCCTGGGTTCAATCCCCAGCACCAAAGAAGGAAAAAGAAAGGCAAATTAACATCTAAAGAGGTTCCCTTTGGTCAGTATGTTGTCTCTGAAATGAAAACAGATGTTAACATCTAGTTTAGTAACAGTTTGGAACCACTATTATAATGGCTGCTGTCTTTGACACACATTCATTTCCTTAATTGTATAAAAATTGGTTGTTATAATTGAAACAGTATCTATTGCAAAAAAGTACCTGTGACTCAAAGGCAGCTTGGGAGGGAGGGGATGGGAGGGAAAGAGGAAATAGCTTACACTAAGCAAAAGCAATGTAAATATCACCTGATGTGGAAGAAATAGTTGTTTTGTCAAAGCTCATAGAATTCACAAACTTTATAGACCATGATAATGACAGTTTGCCTTGTGAAGGTTAAAATGTGTTTGTGACTAAGTATCACTATATGTGAAATTTATATAACTACCTAATCTCAATAAAAAAATTATTTTTTTTTTTTTAAAAGTACCTGTGAGACTCTTATCTCCAATTAACCACTCAAAAAGCGGAAGTGAAGCTGTGGCTCAAGGTGGTAGAGTGCTAGTCTTAAGCAAAAGAGCTCAGGGATAGCACCCAGGCCCTGAGTTCAAGCCTTACAACCACCACCAACAACAAAAGCTCAGGAAAACACCCAAGCCCTGACTTCAAGCCCCAGGGCCCAAACAAAAAGAAAAAAAAACATTAATAGTCTTCCAAGGAAGGCTGTGTCAGACTTTTAGTGAATATCTAGAATTTTTTGCTAGAGTTAAAAGAAAGAGTGGGGCAGGGGCTGGGAATGTGGCTTAGTGATAGGGTGCTAGCATGCAGGAAGTCCTGGGGTCCATTCCTCAGTACCACAGACACAGAAAAAGCCAGAGGTGGCGCTGTGGCTCAAGTGGTAGAGTGCTAGCCTTAAGCTAGCTCAGGGACAGTGCCTAGGTCCTGAGGTCAAGGGCTGGCAAAAAATATAAAAATTTTAAAAATAAAAAAGAGAGAGACAAGGAGAAAGAGACAGAATTATTTGCCAAAGTTGAATAACCTTAAAGATTGCCTTGTGAATTTAACTGCCTCTTAGTTTTATTAGTTGAGCCTTAGAGGGCTTGAAAAGTGGCTCAGTGGTAGAGTGCTTACCTCATATGCATGAGGGCCCTGGGTTCGATTTCTCTGCACCACATAAGCAGAAAAAGCCGGAAGAGGTGCTATGGCTCAAGTGGTAGAGCACTAGCCTAGAGCTGAAGAGCTGAAGGACAGTGCGCAGGCCCAGAGTTAAGGCCTCATGACCGACAAAAAAAAAAAAGTTGAGCCTTAGAATGAGAGACACGTAGAGAGGTAGGCACAGGCCCCACCCATCTGACAATCCCAGTAGCTAATATACTGAGTACTGAGCATAAATTCTAGGTGCTGTGTTAAGCTCTTCATAAGCTTTCATACCTTTTAAATTATTTTAAGTATTATTTCCCCCTTCATAGGAAGGTTAAGTAATATAAATTCACACAGCAGGCAGATGACTGAGGATTTACATGTTTTTTTAGAGTCCATTATCCACAGTCTCACAGAACATTATTTTGTGTAGTATGGCGTGGGGACCATCCTTTGGCTTGGGACCTGAGGGGTTTGTGTGTGTGCCCATACATCCGTGCCAGTGTGCCAGTGCCAGTACTGGAGCTTGAGCTCAGGGTCTTCCACTCTTTCTTGAATTTTTCAGTCAGTGCTTTTTCATTCCTACCAATTGAACCACATTTCCACTTCCAACATTTTGGTAGTAATTGGAGATGTCTCACAGATTTGTCTTCCTGAGTTGGCTTCAAACTGTGATCCTCAGATCTCAACCTTATGAATAGTTCAGATTATAGATGTGAGCTACCAGTGCCAGGCTATTTTCTTCCTTTTTAGAGAGATCTTTGCTATAGAGACACGTTAAAGATCTGGGTGGTTTTTGCCTTGGTAATGCTAGCATTTCACTCAAATTTTTGGCACTGCTTCTTCCCTGCTTTTTTTTTTGGGGGGGGGGTTATATCAGTTATATAGGTATTGCCCTGTATCATTGGTCCTGACGATCTGCTCGTTCAATTATGTAACTAGTCTTTGTTAAATTGCTTGTTTCTTGATTATGGAAGTTATTGCTCATTATAAGAGGGTGCTGACAACCTTAAGGTTACCTCTGTCGACTATATATGTGATCCCTATCCTTAGGTACCGAGAAGCCAGTGTTGAAGTAATGCAGGTAATGTCTCATTTTGCTATCATTGAACGTGCCAGCATCGATGAGGCTTACATAGATCTGACGAGTGCTGTACAAGAGAGACTACAGAAGCTGCAGGGTCAACCCATCTTGGCAGACTGGTTGCCAAGCACTTACATTGAAGGATTGCCTAAAGATCCAACAACAGCAGAAGAGGCTGTTCAGAAAGGTATTTCCATACCATTGCTTCTGCTTCCTGCCTTTGGAACCTGCTTTGCTTGGTCAAGCTGATTCTTCATGGAATGGTTCAAAGGAATCTTAAATTACAACCTGAAAGAATTCCAAAGACTCATGTCAGAGGATATACAATCCGTTATCATTCCAGGTATATGTATGTTGAGAAGCTATGAAAATTGTATAAAAGTAAATATCTCTTTGGATACAACTAGGTAGCCAGGTGTGGTGCCTCATGCCTATAATCTCAAGAGGCAGAGTTTGGGAGGATTGCAATTTGAGGCCAAGAAAACAGGCAGGATGATCAATCATGTAACCACAGGTAATATAGGTATGGAGGATCGTGCTCTAAGGCCAGCCTAAAAGCATAAGACCCTATTTGAAAAATAATGAAAGGAATAAAGAACTGAAGTTGGGAAAATAAATGTAGTTCCTTTGGTTGGTTGGGTTTTAAACTACACAGCTAGAACTAGCTTCTAAAAATATATAAATTTAAGTTTAGATTAAGTCTTGAGTTAATTATGAATATTTTCTTTTTCTTTTGCCCATTCTGGGACTAAACTCAGGCCTGGGCACTGACCCTGAGCTTTTTTAATTAAGGCTAGTGCTCTACCACTTGAGCCACAGCACCACTTCCAGCTTTTTCTTTTCTTTTTTTTTTTGGTCGGTCATGGGGCTTGAACTCTGGGCCTGGGCTCTGACCCTCAGCTCATTAGCTCAAGGTGAGTGCTCTACCACTTGAGCCACACCGCCACTTCCAGTTTTCTAGTGGTTTATTGGAGATAAGAGTCTCATGGACTTTCCTGCCTGGGCTGGCTTTGAACCGTGATCCTGAGATCTCAGCCTCCTGAGTAGCTAGGATTACAGGCGTGAGCCACCAGCCCGGCACTTCCAGCTTTTTCTGAATAGTTTTTTGAGATAAGAGTCTTAGAGCTGAGCCTAGGTGGCTCACGCCTATAATCCTAGCTACTCAGGAGGCTGAGATCTCAGGATCATGGTTCAAAGACAGCCCAGACAGGAAAGTCCATGAAACTTTTTTTGGAGGGGGAGGGAGGGTCCGGTTGTGGGGCCTGTACTCTGGGCCTGGGCGCTGTCCCTCAGCTCTTCAGCTCAAGGCTAGCACTCTACCACTTGAGCCACAGCGCCACTTTCGGCTTTTTTTTTTTCTGCTTATGTGGTGCAGAGGAATCGAACCCAGGGCCTCAAGCATGCAAGGCAAGCGCTCTACCACTGAGCAACCTTCCCAGCCCCCATGAAACTTTTTTTTTTTTTTTTTTTTTTTATTGTAAAGCTACTATACAGAGGGTTACAGTTACATGAGTGAGGTTATGAGTACACTTCCTCTTGAACATTGTTACCCCCTCCATTGTTTTCCCCCTACCATCCCCTCCCTCCCTCCCTTCCCCGAGGTTCTTTTTTTTTTTTTTTTTGATTGTGATTAAATGATTACATAATTTCAAAGTCACAAGTTCATTCTAACTTCCCTGGAGCAAATTGTCTACCACAGTCTGTAATATATAACAGTGTTCACATGTTATATACCATATTTGTGATCAGCAGCATGAGGATATTTAGTAGTGGTTCAACCAGATGAGCGGGAGTTCTTTGTTTCTTAAGTCCTGTTAGTTTTGTCGTATCACTAACCTTTTGGATTTAGCATCCACTTATGAGGGAGACCATGTACCGTTTGTCTCTTCGTTCTTGGCTTACCTCGCTCAACATGATTCCTTCTAGCTCCATCCATTTCCCTGCAAATGCCATTATTTTGTCATTTCTAATGGCTGCATAATATTCCATTGTGTATAGATACCACAGTTTTTGGATCCATTCATCTGTGGTGGGGCACCTAGGTTGTTTCCATATCCTAGCTATTGCGAACAGTGCTGCAATAAACATGGAGGTGCACGTGTCCTTGTATATTGGTTCCTGTTGTTCAGGGTAGATGCCTAGAAGTGGTATGACTGGGTCGTAAGGGAGGTCAATCTTTAGCTTTCTAAGGACCCTCCAGACTGCTTTCCAAAGTGGTTGTATAAGTGTACATTCCCACCAGCAGTGTAATAGGGTTCCTCTTTCTCCACATCCCCTCCAGCATTTGTCGTTGGCTGATTTGTGGATGTGGGACATTCTGACTGGGGTAAGGTGGTATCTCAGGGTTGTCTTTATTTGCATTTCCTTCACCACCAGGGATGATGAACATTTCCTCATGTGTTTCTTTGCCATTTTTATTTCTTCATTTGAGAAGTCCCTCTTTAGTTCCCTTGTTAGGTTTGGGAGGGATTAGTTTCTTGAGTTCCCTGTATATACAGGATGTTAACCCCTTGTCTGATATATTACTGGTAAATATTTTTCCCAATTAGTTGGTTGTCTTTCTAGCTTAGTTGCGATAGATTTAGCTGTGCAGAAGCTTTTTATTTTAAGGTAGTCCCATTTGTCGAGTCTCTCTCCAACTTGTTGTGCCCATGAAACTTTTATCTCCAGTAAACCACCAGAAAACTGGAATTGGCACTGTGGCTCAAGTGGTAGAGTGCTTGCCTTGAGCTGAAGAGCTGAGGGACAGTGCCCAAGCCCAGAGTTCAAACCACGACTGACCAAAAAAAAAAAAAATAGTCTCACAGACTTTTTTGCTTGGGCTGGCTTTGAACTGTGATCCTCAGATCTCAGCCTCCTGAGTAGCTAGGATTACAGGTATGAGCCACCAGCACCTGGCTTGAATATTTTCTAACTAGGGCAGATGTTCAAGAGGAAACTGAAGAAAATTTAAGGGAGCAAGGGAAAAAATATGCTTTTTAAATCATTGCTCATAGATTGAGGATGAAGCTCAGTAGTAGAGCACTTGCCTAGCACCTGTAAGGCTCTTAAGTTTTTCTCCCTAGCACCACCATCAAAAAAAAATCCTTGCTCACGAAAGATGTTACTAATATAAAATATGTGTTGCGCATAAGCACTGCAATAAGTTTAAAGAAGAAATCAATCTCTTTGTCAGTATTGAGGTTGAACTCAGAGACTGGTGCTTACTAGGCAGATACTCATCACTTGAGCCAACTCTGCCAACCTGAAATTAATCTCATTTAGTTAATGAACTTAAACTGGCTGCCATTTTGTTTTATGAAAACCTACATATCTGAAATAGTTGAAATCCAAGGATTTCTATACCTAGAAAATATAGCATGAAGACAAGTACATTCTGGAAAATGTGTCATGCATGATTTCATCATTGTGCAAACATACAGTCCAATCACACACATAGACTTCTAATAGTATACACTGTCATATCTGTAGTCTGTCATTAATCAAATGTCATTATTTGGCACATGACTGGAAAAGCTAATTTTTTTAATAGTCAATGTGACACGACTCTTTTTTTTCTTTCAGAGGAAGTGCGAAAACAAGGCTTACTTGAGTGGCTTGATTCCCTTCAGATGGATAACAGCAGCTCTCCAGACCTGCAGCTCACTGTGGGGGCAGTGATTGTGGAGGAAATGAGAGCAGCCATAGAGAGGCAGACCGGTTTCCAGTGCTCCGCTGGAATTTCGCACAACAAGGTGAAGGCTCATCATGGATATATTTAGTTAAATAAAGCAAGGATACAAATGAATGAGGGATTCAAATGATTACTATGGACCTTGAGATGAGTCTTTATTTAGAATTCACATTGAGATCTAAATGAAAGTGTTATGTAAAGTTTTAACATGGGACTTGGCATTGCATATGTACCTTCCTCAGAGGCACGATGGAAATTTACAGGAAATGTTCTTTGTATATGTTAAGATCAACACATAAATTCCTTGATGACTGATAAGAAAAATCAGCTTGGGATTTTCATATATTACCCTGCTTTAAAATTTTTTGCAGTGTTAAGGATCAAACTCAGGTCCTTTCTCATGCTGGACAAGAACTCACCACTGACCTACACCCCTAGACCTTGGCTTTTTTGAGACAATTCTCACTATGTAAATCAGGCTGGCCTAAAATTTGTGCTCCTACTCCTTCCACCTCTGAGTGCTGCCATTACAGGTGTGCATTACCAGGCCTCCTTAACCTGTTTCTTTTATTTTTATTTTATTTTTTGGGAGGGGTCCGGTCATGGGCCTGAACTCTGGGCCTGGGCACTGTCTCTCAGCTCTTCAGCTCAAGGCTAGCGCTCTACCACTTGAGCCACAGCGTCACTTTGGGCTTTTTTTTTTCTGCTTATGTGGTGCCGAGGAATTGAACCCAGGACCTCATGCATGCAAGGCAAGCACTCTACCACTGAGCCACCTTCCCAGCCCCTCTTTTATTTTTCATTTGAATTATTTATATGTTTGTTTTTTTTGCCATATTGGAGTTTGAACATAGGGCTTTGCTCCTGCTAAGCAGGTGCTTTACCACTTGAACCACATACCCAGCCTATAATCCTAGATACTCAGGAGGCTGAGATCTGATGATTGTGATTCAAAGCCAGCCTGGGAGAAAAATCTGTGAGACCCTTATCTCCATTACACACTAGAAAACAGGAAGTGGTGCTGTGGCACCAGTGGTAGACCACTCACCTTGAGCTGAAGAGCTGAGGGACAGTGCCCAGGCCGAGTTCAGGCCCCACGACTACTACCACCAACAAAAAAGCAGTAGTAAAATGTTACTAATTTGGACCACTTTCAGTTTAGGAGATACAAACACTCCTCTTTAACTCAGGCACAGAATAACTAATAATCTGATTAATGGTAAGTAAAGTACATTGAGTTTGGGGCCTTCATCACCTTCTAAGGGTCAGTAGAGAAAAGTTGCCAAACTGCCGAGGAAAGTTTTTGTTTTTCAGGGAGGAAGAAGAAACAATAGTTCCACAATAAAATTTAAACCAGACTAATTAATACTGCCTAGTAGAAGTTTCTACAACATCTCTAATGAATTCAGGAATGATTTTAATACTTTTTTTTTTTTTTTTTTTTTGTCGGTTGTGGGGCTTGAACTCTGGGCCTAGGCACTGTCCCACTTGAGCCACAGGGCCACTTCCAGCTTTCTGGTGGTTTATTGGAAATAAGACTTTCATGGACTTTCCTGCCTTGGGTGGCTTTGAACCATGATCCTTAGATCTCAGCCTCCTGAGTAGTTAGGATTACAGGTGTGAGCCACTGGCTTCTGGCTCCCCCCCCCCCCAAGAGACTTATCTTCAGTTAACCAGCAAAAATTGGGATATGGAGGCATGGCTTAAATTGGAGAGCACCATTTGAGCAAAAAAAGGCCTTGTGAGAGTTTGAGGCCCTGAGTTCAAGCCCCAGTACAAGCAAAAAAAAAGCAAAAAGAAAAAAAATGTAACAGGGTAGTAAAACAAATTTGTTTCAGCATGTTCACATGGACACACTAAGAAATGCATTTTAAGTTTTTTTTTTTTCAAAGTTCCACAGTGTTTTGAACCTATCAAAGTGGAAAGGCCTCAAGGAATAGATGGGAAAGGAAAAAACTGACTAGAGGAAATGAGAATGGAACTATAGGAGGAACAGTTAGGATCATCACAACCAGATCGTGTTTTCCGTTGAAGATGTATGGAATATAAAGTCCAAGAGCTGGACTTATTTTCTGGATCTATTTTGTTTCTAAGTGGAAACCATTAGTTACAACCCTTAAGCTGAGTCGTGTGTGTGTGTGTGTGTGTGTGTGTGTGTGTGTGTTATTTACCAACCCCATAGGAGGGTTTAGTAGTACTGAGGTTTTGTGTGTGTGTGTGATATTTACCAACCCCATAGGAGGGTTTAGTAGTACTGAGGTTTTGTGTGTGTGTGTGTTATTTACCAACCCCATAGGAGGGTTTAGTAGTACTGAGGTTTTTATACTTTCCGTGTTTCTAGGTCCTGGCAAAGCTAGCCTGTAGTCTAAACAAGCCAAACCGCCAGACTCTGGTCTCACATGGGTCAGTGCCGAAGCTCTTCAGCCAAATGCCAATTCACAAAATGTAAGTATTCAGGAAGAGTTCCTTCGAAGTCATGCAAAGACGCTTTCTGCTTGTAGTGTCTTTTGTTCCTTAAAAAGGATTGGAGCAAGGAATATAGGAGAGAGGCAACACAGATAATTTTGAAAAGCATAAAACGTTTTAATGAATTTTCAGTTTAGGATAGTACATTGAATATATTAATCCTGAATTTTAAAGAAATGAGCTACGTGTTGAATATATGTTCCCTTTTTATTCGTCAGTCAATCTAAGTCATGGGACTTGAACTCTGGGCCTGGGCGCCGTCCCTGAGCTCTTCAGCTCAAGGCAGGCACTCTACCACTTGAGCCACAGCACCACTTCTGGTTTTCTGGTGGTTCATTGGAGGTCAGAGTCTCATGGACTTTCCTTCCTGGGCTGGTTTTGAACCGTGATCCTCAGATCTCAGCCTCCTAAGATTTAGGATTACAAGCGTGAGCCACCAGCACCTGGCCTTGAATTTTATTTTTTTACTCTCAAATCAAGGTGTTCAAAACTGCTGACTTGCTCTCAAACTAGGTATAAAAGCAGCCAAATCGCCGGGCGCCAGTGGCTCACGCCTGTAATCCTAGCTTCTTGGGAGGCTGAGATCTGAGGATCACGGTTCAAAGCCAGCCTGGGCAGGAAATTCCGTGAAACTCTTATCTCCAATAAACCGTCAGAAAACCAGAAGTGGCGCTGTGGCTCAAGTGGTAGAGCTCTAGTGCTAGTCTTGAGCTGAAGAGCTGAGGGACAGCACTCAAGCCCAGAGTTCAAGCCCCACGACCGACAAAAAAAAAAAAGCAGCCAAATCAAATAAATAACTAAATTATGCCCACAGATTGTTCCATGACAATTCAGAAAGTGATAAAGATGCTATGACGTACCTGAGTAGGAGTATTTGCTAAATGAATTGTGTAGTTACCAAAATTTACACACAAACCAAGGTGCCGCTGGCACATACCTGTAATCCTACTCTGGAGGATTCAGGTTTGAAGAGTGTCAAGGCAGGAAAGTCTTATGACACAGCTCCACTTAACTAGCAAAAAACCAGACAGAAGTGGAGGTATGGCTCAAGTGGTAGAGCACTAGCCTTGAGTGAGAAAGCTAAGGGCCAGTGCCCAGGCCTTGAGTTCAAGCCCCAGTTACCAGCACAGAAAAAGAAAGGGGAAAAAGTTCCCCACACAAAGATAGTAATCTGAGAAAGATTTGTGAAAGGGGTGAGATTTTGTGGTGAGGTTTGGCATAATGTAAACAGTCAACCAAAAGCAGTAAGGCAGCACTGGGGAATTATTTTGCAAAAAGAAGGGAAAGTCAGCTGGGTGCTTGGTGGCTCACGCCTATAATCCTAGCTACTCAGGAGGCTGAGATCTGAGGATCACAGTTCAAAGCCAGCCTGGACAGGAAAGTCCATGAGATTCTATCTCCAATAAACCACTTAGAAGACTGGAAGTGGCACAGTGGCTCAAGTAGTATAGCTCTAGCCTTGAGCTGAAGAGCTAAGAGACAGTGTTCAGGCCCAGAGTTCAAGCCCCATGACTGACAAAAAAAAAAAAAAGGGAATGAGCTAGTTTACATTCATGAAGCAAGTAATGGAAGATGCTGAACATTGGTAAAGAACACACGATGGTGCCTCAAAAACCAGTTAAAAAAATATTTATTCTGTGCACAAATGGCTCATGCCTGTAATCCTAGCTGCTCAGGAAGCTGAGATCTAAAGATTGCAGTTCAAAGCCAGCTCAGGCAGAAAAGTCCATGTGAGACTCTTAACTCCATAAACCACTCCAAAACCAGAAGTGGCGCTGTGGCTCAAGTGGGAGAGCGCTAACATTGAGCATAAAGAGGCTCAGAGGTAGCACTAAGAGGCCCTGAGTTCAAGCCCCACAACCAACAATAAAAAATAAAATTACACACACACACATATACACATATATACATATATATAAACCATATGAAGCATAAAAAGTGGGAGCCAAGGAAAAGATTTGTTTGGGGTTTGGAATTTAAATCCTCAAATGGAATGAATAGGTATTACACAATTAGTATTTTATGACTTAATAGTAATGAATGACTAATATTTTCTTACGGTATTATTAATTTTTCCCAAGTCCTAAAATTCTGAGAGTATCCGAAGTTCTGTAATCACTTAGCCTCACACTGGAAAACTTCTGAATATTCAGGACTAAACATGCTCTTGTTCTCCTGGATCTTTTGGATAGCAGCACAATGTCCTGTGTTTGCTATTAATTAGATACTTAGGTTGTGACCTGTAAATTCTTTGTGTCTGTTATCAGCCGTAGTCTTGGAGGAAAGCTTGGGGCCTCCGTCATTGAAATCCTAGGGGTAGAATACATGGGTGAACTAACCCAGTTCACGGAATCCCAGCTCCAGAATCATTTTGGAGAGAAGAATGGGTAAGTGATTCATACTCTCTTCCAATCATAACCTTTATGGATACTCTAAACTCAAATGTAGACAAAAGCAGCAAATAAAATCTACCTTTAGATCCAGGTAATTTCACTAGTTGGTTCTTGCTTTAAAATATATTCTGTGTTCTGGGGCTGGGAAGGTAGCTCAGGGTTAGAGCGCTTGCCTTGCATGCCAGAGGCCCTGGGTTTGATTCCTCAGCACTATATAAGCAAAAAAAAAAGCTGGAAGTGGCGCTGTGGCTCAAGTGGTAGAGCGCTATCCTTGAACTGAAGAGCTGAGGGACAGCGCCCAGGCCCAGAGTTCAGGCCCCATGACCGGACCCAAAAATATATATATATATATATATTCTGTGTTCTATCAGTGTAGATTTTTCATATGCCTTGGTGGTTGACTGATAGGAATTTTTAGTTTGAAGCTTAAGTATATACTAGTTTATCATTTTTGTGATACAATATTATTAAGATATTATTATTACTAAGATTCTTACATTTCAGTCCTGGGGGATATGAGGCCAGGGTTGGTGATGCATACTTGTAATCCTAGCACTTGGGAGGTAGGGGCAAGAGGATAACAAGTTTGAGGCCAGCCTCAAATTTGAACTAAACCAAAAAATTGGGAATAGGTGGCTGGGAAGGTGGCTCAGTGGTAGAGCACTTGCCTTGCATGCATGAAGCCCTGGGTTCGATTCTTCAGCACCACATAAGCAGAAAAAGCCAGAAGTGGCACTGTGGCTCAAGTGGTAGAGCGCTAGCCTTGAACTGAAGAGCTGAGGGACAGCGCCCAGGCCCAGAGTTCAGGCCCACAACTAACAAAAAAAAAAAAAATTGAGAATAGGAATTTTGTGGCTTTGCTTACTGGCACTTTGCCAAAATGCAAATGATGACTTGGCCTCCCAAAACAGAGTAGATATTCCCCTTGCTAATATTTTCATCGTGCTGGAATTGAGAAGGACGGGAGTTCTGTCAGAGATCAAGTATACTTAATTTTGTCACGTTTGTTTTATAAGATAAATGAGTAATATAGGTATTAGTTTTGTCTACATAATAGTATTTATTTTCACCTTGAAGTTGTCTACTGGTTTTCTTAGGTCTTGGTTGTATGCCATGTGCCGAGGAATTGAACATGATCCAGTTAAACCCAGGCAGCTACCCAAAACCATTGGCTGTAGCAAGAATTTCCCAGGAAAAACAGCTCTGGCTACACGGGAACAGGTAAGCGGGCACTCTTGGCAGAACATTGTCTCTTTTACAGAAGGTGTAGTGTGTACGTGTTGGTATCTGTGGAAGCTTCACTAGGTTAGATGGAATTCAGTAATGTCAGAAGGGAAGTTTCTTTTTAGGTGTTGAAATTGACTGATTCATTTTTCTTTTTTCTTTCTTCCACCTAAAATCTACTGAAACTCAAAATGGAGTTTCTTTTCAGTAGATGGAAACTTGGAAAGCCTACTGAGTTCTGTCTCAGTTGTTGTCACCCTACTGGTCCTGGCGCTTGATATCAGGGCCTGGGAGCTATCCCTGAGCCTCTTTGCGCTCAAAGCTAGCACTCTACCACTTGAGCCACAGCTCCACTTCCGCCTTTTTTTTTTTTTTTAGTAATTTATTGAATATCAGAGTGTCATGGGGACTTTTCTGCCTGGGCTAGCTTCGAACTACAGTCCTCAGATCTCAACCTTCTGAGTAACTAGGATTATAGGCATGAGCCACCAGTGCCCGGCCACTTGTCTTTTTATACCAGAACTGGAACATACCTGAGATTTATCTGCTATGCCAACGGTAAAGAGAAATAAGAACAATTTTAAAAAAAAATTTTGGTCAGGGTCTTGCTTTCCTAGCTCAATCTGGCCTCAAACTTGAGATCATTCTGCCTCAACGTTCCTGACACTGAAATTATGTGTGCCTAGGTGAAAATAAACATTTTGAACTAGAGCAAGACAGAATACTGAGATTTCTATGATCTAGTTACAGGAAGCCATTAGGCACACAATTTTATGTGGGTTAAATTCAAACAAATCTACTGTCTAGTTCTGTGTCTCGAGTAGCTAAATGAAAAATTAAAAGTTTTGATACTTTTTTAGGTGCAGTGGTGGCTCCTACAATTAGCCCAAGAACTAGAGGAGAGATTGACCAAAGACCGAATTGATGTAAGATTTTTTTTTTAATTTAATTTTATTTTATTTGTGAACATACTGTACAGAGGGGTTACAATTACATGGGCAGGATAATGCGTACATTTCTTACCAAGCATTGCAGCCTCCTCCTTTGGTTTACCCTTCACATCCCTTCCCAGCCTCCCCCCTCTGATGTAAGATTTTCTTGATGCCTAGGGCGAGCTTTGGGATGTAAATACTAACTGCTCTTACTTTATTGAGGAGGAACAAAGATAGGAAAAAGAATTCTGGGTGCATCATCTACAAGTCTACTGTAATGATCAATACTATTGCTGGAGTAGGCCTTCATTGTTCCTTCAGTTGGCAGTTGTGTTATGAGTATATTCAACTTTGTCCACTAGATGTCGCTCAGTTTTCATTTCATCACTCTGTAAAAGTCCCAGGGGCTTCTTGTCCTTGTATGTGGTACACAGAATGTAGATCCTTGACAATTCATCTGCTTTTAAGCTTCAAAGGACTTTGTGGCTGAAAGAATTCAAGACACAGGTGATCCTGTCATTTTGCTGTTTAGAAACTCCAGTAGCTTCCCTTCATACCTAAGTCATAGTAAGGATTTCTTTTAATTCTACAATTTTTTTTTTTTTGGGTCCGGTCGTGGGGCCTGAACTCTGGGCCTGGGCGCTGTCCCTCAGCTCTTCAGCTCAAGGCTAGTGCTCTACGACTTGAGCCACAGCGCCACTTGCGGCTTTTTTCTTTTGGCTTATGTGGTGCTGAGGAATTGAACCCAGGGCCTCGAGCATGCAAGGCAAACGCTCTACCACTGAGCCACCTTCCCAGCCCAATTCTACAATTTTTTATCAGTCCTGGGACTGCTTGGGCAGCTTGCTTGGGCACTGTCCCTGAGCTTCTTTTGCTCAAGGCTAGCACTCTACCATTTGAGCCACAGCGTCACTTCTGGCTTTTTCTGTTTATATGGTACTGAGAAATCGAACCCAGGGCTTCATGCATGCTAGGCAAGCACTCTTAACAGTAAGACACATTCTCAGCCCTTAATTCTACAATGATTTAAGCACCTGCTCTTGATCTCTTCTCCCCCTTGATTACTATGTGTTCTCCGTTGCCTTTTTTATTTTATTTTTTATGCCATTTCTGAGGCTCTACTTTAGCTTTTTTTTTTTTGCCAGTCTTGGGACTTGAACTAAGGGGCTAGGCACTGTCCCTGAGCCTCTTTGTGTTCAAGAGTAGTACAATACCACTTGAGGCACAGTGCCACTTTTGTGTTTTTCTGAGTAGTTTATTGGAGAGAAGTCTCTTACAGATTTTCCTGCCTGTTCTGGCTTCGAACCGTGATCCTCAGATCTCTACTTTCTGAGTAGTTACGATTACAAGGCAAGAGCCACTGGTGCCGTGTTTATTTTTTATTTTGTCAGTAATGGGGCTTGAGCGTGGGGCCTGGATGCTATCCCTAAGCTTTTTTACTCAAGGCTAGTGCTCTACCACTTGGAGCCACACAGCACCACTTCCAGTTTTCTGCTGGTTCACTAAAGAGAAGAGTCTTGTGGACTTTTCCTGCTCCAGCTGGCTTTGAACAATGATCCTCAGATCTCAGCCACCTTGGTAGTTAGGATTACAGACATAACCCACTGGTGCCTAGCTCACTTCCCACTCTTTTGGGGGAAGACAGTTAATTGGAGATAAGTCTTACGGACTTTCAGCTGGCTGGCTTTGAACCATGATCCTCAGATCTTAGCCTCCTGAGTAGGTAGGATTTATAGGAATGAGCCACCACAGCTATAACTTAGAGAGGGAAGCCTCTCTTTTATTTAACACACATAGTAAGCTTTCACTTTGGCCTCTTTGGATTTGATCCTTTTTTTCTTCTTTTTGAAGGGAAGGTTGAAGCAGGGTCTCACTACATAGCCTAGACTGGTCTCAACTTATTGATTCTTCTATATGAACAACCTAAGTGCTGGTATTAACATGCCTGAACCACTGGGTCCTTGCTAACTTGCTGTTCCCTTTGCTCATTGAAATTTGCTTGCTCACTTTATTCAGGTCCACTACCGTTTCACCTTCTCACGAGGCCTTCCCAGTCGCCCTCTCACATCAGCCTCCATCAGACTCTGCAGATAATGAGAAGGCTAAAACTGTGGTCATTTCTAGTTTAAGCCTTCTCATTGATTATCTGCACAGACACAAATAGATACTCAGTTATGTCTGTGGTTTTCATCAAATTCCTTCATAATTGATTTGTATTCTCATAAGATACAAATTTCTAAAATTTATTTTCTTCAAAAAAAAATTTTAGCCAGGTGCCGGTGGCTCATGCCTATAATCCTAGCTACTCAGGAGGCTGAGATCTCAGGATCCCAGTTCAAAGACAGCCTCAGCAGGAAAGTCTGTGAGACTCATCTCCAATTAACCATCAGAAAACCAGAAGTGGCACTGTGGCTTAAGTGGTAGAGTGCTAGCCTTGAGCTGAGGAACTCAGGGACAGCACCCAGGCCCAGAATTCAAGCCCCACGACTGAACAAAAAATAATAATTTTGTTCTTGGCTCATTTGCCTTTTGGGTATTCTTTTCACTAGAATCTTTGATTGAGGGATTTCTTTTGCCTTCCTGTTTTTCTGCTTCTTGACCTGTTAGTTGGTCAACACTAACAAAATTCTGGCCTGACTTCACTCAAGTGAGCCAGTGCCATCTTTCTCTCTAGCAGCTGTGACTCTACAATGTCTTCTATAAGGGACAGAAACTTCACTTTTTCAAGCATAAGAGCATAAAGGCAGAGAAAATTAAAACTTAATTGAAGACTACATGTATTATCCTTTTTTTTTTGGTCAGTCGTGGGGCCTGAACTCTGGGCTGTCCCTCAGCTCTTTAGCTCAAGGCTAGCACTCTACCACTTGAGCCACAGCGCCACTTCCGGCTTTTTCTGCTTATGTGGTGCTGAGGAATCAAACCCAGGGCCTCATGCATGCGAGTGAGCACTCTACCATTGAGCCACCTTCCCAGCCTCTATTATCCAGTTTTGATGTTACTTTTTTGAACTGTTTTCAGAAATTAGAATATAGTACAATAGGTTTGGGTTAGAATCTTCTTGCCTGGACACCATGCAGTCTCTTTAGGAAGGTCTCATTTTCACATATTTTGTCCCATTCCCATAGCCGTTCAGAATATCCTATTCTTCCAAACATTCTATCACCCAAATTATGTCCTGTCCAATTGCTTTCCTATCCAGAAAAAACACAAGTTTTTATAGAATTGTGTAATATTTTTGTTCAGAAAGTAGGATTGTAACATATAGAATCTGCACTATTAGCATGTAAGCATGAAAACAGGAAACGTCTTTGTAACTATCACAGTGTCAAACCCAGTGTCTTGTGCATAATAATGTGTATTTGTAGTTTATACAAGTGGCACTGGACTAAACAGCCTGATTCTTGTCTTGCTGACTTGATATTCTTGGCTTTTTCACTGTTTCCAAACCATTCTATCCCTCTTTCTGTAGTTCAGTATATAGAACCACAATGCTCCCAGTAATGGTTCACAAGGCCTCCATCATTGTCCACCCACAGAATGACAGAGTGGCCACCCAGCTGTGTGTGAGCGTTCGTGTGCAAGGAGACAAGCGTCTCAGCAGCCTACGCCGTTGCTGTGCCCTGACCCACTACAACGCTCACAAGATGAGCCAGGATGCACTTGCTGTCCTCAGGAACTGTAATACTGCTGGAACCCATACTGAATGGTGAGATTTCTTTCTAGTTCATCTTTTCAACCAAAATGTATCCCATCTTCTCTAAAATGTGTAGGCTCTCAGTGACTGACTCTAACACTAACTACAGAGGGGATGACCCTGCATTAAGGGAGAGAACACAAAGTCTAGGCAGTGCAGTTGCTGCTGCTCTACCTGTATTTGGTGCAGTCTCACTCCCAGGGCTAGGTGTAAAGCAAGGTAAACCAATACTGTCCCTGCCTATATCAGCTGCTCTTTTCAGGAAATGACTACTTCCCCTTGGAGAGTACAACTCAAGTTTCAAGAATATTCCTGGAAACTTCTTTCTCACCTCTATGACTACTTTATCTTAAGAGCATTTTTCTTTTTTTTTTTTTTTAGTCGATTGTGAGGCTTGAACTCTGGGGCCTGGGCACTGTCCCTCAGCTCTTCAGCTTAAGGCTAGTGCTCTACTACTTAAGTCAAAGCACCACTTCTGGTTTTCTAGTGGTTTATTAGAGATAGGAATCTCACAGATGTTCCTGCCAGGGCTGTCTTTGAGCCACGATCCTCAGATCTCAGCCTCCTGAGTAGATAGGATTACAGAAGTGAGCCACCAGTGCCCAGCGAAGAGCATTTTTCATACTTAGGAAAGTGATTTTTTTTTTTTCTCAGTGTGTGGTATTGAAGAGAGGACCCAGGGCCTCTTGCATGGCAGCAAAGTGCTTTACATGTGAGATCAGCCCCTCTAATGTGACCATTCACTGATAAGCCCTAACATTCCAACTCAGTTCTAAGCTTAGAGTAATAGTCATTAATAAATTTCACTTCTGTTGGTCATGAAATACAAAAAAATATAACAGAACCTTTTTTCTTGGTTTTAAATCTCATGTTCATTTTCTGTCCATATAGTGATTTTTTAGAAACAGAATCCTTTGTGTGTTTTTGCTTTAGTTACTTTTCAGATAGGGTCATGGATTTTAGCTCAGGGCTACCCTCAAATTGCTTTCCTTCTACCTACACCTCCCACATAGCTGGGATAACAGCTATGTGTTATCATGCCTAACTTGTTGAGATATGAGCTTCTCATTGCCAAGATTAGCCTCAAACCACAATCCTCCCAAGTGGCTGGAGTTACTTTTAATTACTCAAAATTATAATTATGAGGGGCTGGAAAGGTGGCTCAGTGGTAGAGCGCTTGCCTTGCATGTATGAGGCCCTGGGTTCAATTCCTCAGCACCACATAATCAGAAAAAGCCAGAAGTGGTGCTGTGGCTCAAGTGTAGAGTGCTCCCCTTGAGTTGAAGAGCTGAGGGACAGCGCCCAGGCCCAAAGTTCAGGCCCCATGACCAAAGGGGAAAAAATTATAATTATGAGAGAAAAAGGTAAAAATGTTCAACTCATCTAAGTTATTGCTTATCTGTAATCCCAGCATTTAGGAGGTAGAAGCAGGAGAATCTCTAGTTGAATGCTAGTTCTTTACATCATCGAAACTATCTCAAAAAACAATACCAAAAATACAACATATGTTTTCACAAACATTTTACAGGATCAAATGATAATTTTGGTACTATGTTCACATAAAACCTTACTTGAAAACTTTGATGCTGATAAGCATTCGTATTCCTCTTAGTAACATGAAATTTATTGACAGGGAAACACCAAGATTATGATTTTTTTTTTTAGTTTAGTTACCATCAGTTTATTATAAAAGGGAGATATGGAAATTATTTACATGATGAAAGATCTCAGAACTTGCATGGAATGGGCAGCTTCACAGGATGCCATTTTAGTGTATTCACTCTACATAATTCCCAAGAATATCACCATCCCTATATAAGAAATAATCCTTGTCATCTAGAACTACTTTGGTGCCTCCATATTCTGGGAGAAGAACTTTATCACCCACATTCACACTAACTGGCTGAATCTCTCCACTCTTTCCTTTAGAGCCCGATCCCATGACCACTACTGTGGCTTACTTTTCCTTGAGACTTTTCTGGAAGCATAATGCCTCCTTTGGTTACAGTTTCAGCTGCATTCCTTTTGACCAACACTCGGTCAAACAGAGGAATGGAACTTCCTAAATGCTTGTCCTGCCATGACACTTCACGGTCACCACTCAGACTCTTTTTTTTTAACTGGTTGTGGACCTGAACTCTGGGTCTGGGCGCTGTCCCTCAGCTCTTCAGCTCAAGGCTAGCACTCTACCACTTGAGCCACAGCGCCACTTCCGGCTTTTTCTGCTTATGTGGTGCTGAGGAATTGAACCCAGGGCCTCATGCTTGCAAGGCATGCACTCTACCGCTGAGCCACCTTCCCAGCCCCTGGTATTTTAATTTTAAAAAAATCAAAAAAAATTCTAGAGTAGAAAGTCTGTTAGGGCTGGGGTTAGGTATCCAGTGTAAAAACAAAAGAGTGGTTAAGAGGTTCTTTATGTCTCAAATATTTCCAACTGAAATATTGGTCAGCCGGGTGCTTGTGGCTCACACCTGTAACCTTAGTTACTAAAGAGGCTAGGAGCTGAGGATCACAGTTCAAAGCCAGCCCGGGCAGGAAAGCCTATGAGACTCTTATCTCCAATAAACCACTCAGAAAACCAGAAGTCACACTGTGGCTTAGGTGGTAGAACACTAGCCTTGAGCTAAAGAGCTGAGGGACAGCACCCAGGCCCAGAGTTCAGGCCCCACAACCAACAACTACTCTCTCTCTCTCTCTATATATATATATATAAAATAAAGCTTTTGTTTTTCTTGAATAAAATCTCGTGCCCCAATCCTGAATTGCAGCCACTTGTGCAGTGGTACCCCGCCTATCAGGAGGTGCAGCCACACTAGGGATTCCCAAAGCGGCTCCATACAACCAACATCACCTGGAAAAATGTTGCAAACTCAGATTTTCTGGCTATCCCAGGCCTGTTTTCTCTGTACTAATGTGATACAAACGAAGGTCTGAGAAACACTGCAGTAAAACTAGTTTTGCATGGGAGAGCCAGAAATCTGTGAATGTAGTCTGAGCTCTGAAACACCCTGTAGCTGATCTCCTATTCCTTTACTTTATACACAGGTCCCCACCCCTCACAATGCTCTTCCTCTGCGCTTCCAAATTCTCTGCCTCTGCCCCTTCAGCTTGCAAAGACATCACCGTCTTCTTGAGCAGTGATTCAGCTTCTGTGCCAAAAGTGCCAACTAGCAGCTCAGAAGCGAAGACCCACACAAGTAGCCACACAGTGCCAGCCATTAAGAAAACAACTGCCTCTCTGGAATCGTTCTTCCAGAGAGCTGCAGAAAAGCAGAGAGTCATCAAAGAAGCTTCGCTTTCACCTCTAACAGCTACCCCAACCACCACGGGAAGTTCACCTTCCAAGCCCTCCGTAGGTTTCAAAAGCAGTCGAACTTTAGGAACTGAGTCCTTCTTTAAGCAGAAAAGTCAGCTTTTAAAGCAGAAACAGCTTATCAATTCTGCAGCTCCTGACCACCCACAAGATCCCCAGTCCAATTCTGAAGGGTTGCCAAACCATTTTCCAGCAGAGTGTTCAGGCGATACCTCTGGTGTTTGCAAAGGAGCCTTGATGCCAGAATCTTCCAAAGCAGCTCCTGCAGGGGTGAATTTGGCCCTAAACAGCCCAGATATGCTTGTTTTCTCACCTTCCAAATTGCCAGAGGTGACCCCAAAGGCAATTGCTACCCCTAGTTTTATAGCTGCAGAGGATCAGGTCCCCTGTGAGAAGTGTGGCTCCTCCGTACTGGTGTGGGAGATGCCCGAACACATGGACTACCATTTTGCATTAGAATTGCAAAAGTCCTTTTTGCAGTCTCATTCCTCAAGATGCCAGGTTGCTCCTGTTCTGTCTCCTCAAAGCAAAAGAAATCCCAAGAGTCCCATGGCCTCCAGCAATAAACGCACCAGGCTTGAGGGCATGCAGACACTGGAATCATTTTTTAAGCCAGTAGCACATTAGTGCTGCCCTCAGGATTGCTGTAGGGTTTTTATATTTTATAACATCAGGGAGATGAGGCTATGTTCATTTCTCAAGGAAATCCCTATCTATGAATTTTTTAATACAGAAAAAAAAAATAAGGCTGGGACATGGCTTAGTGGTAGAGTGCTTGCCTAGCATGCATGAAGCCCTGGGTTCAATTTCTCAGTACCATATACACAGAAAAGGCTGGAAGTAGCACTGTGGCTCAAGTGGTAGAGTGCTAGCCTTGAGCAAAAGAAGCTCAGGGACAGTGCCCAGGCCCTGAGTTCAAGCCCCAGGACTGGGGGGAAAAAAAATCACTGAAGGCCAGGCTGGTGACCCACCAAGAAGGCCAAGGCACGGGATACAGAATTTGAGGTCAATCTGAGCTACATATTGAGAACTAAAAAAGAAAAAAGAAATCTGGTAGGTGCTAGGCTTCCACTTCTCCCTGTGCCATTGTAAATTAAAAACCTGTCCTTAGTCTAATCTTTAGAATTTAGGGGAAGCAGTGCCATATATAGTAAAAATAGGGTGAGGCCATGCAGCCTAAGGAAATGAGTTCTAAACTCTTACAGTGCCTGGCTTTGAGCAAGGCAGCTATAAAAATAAGATTATTACCCTATTACCCTACCGACCATCTAAGATAGAAAGTGATGTGCTTAGGGGCTGGGGAGATAGATCAGTTGTAGAGTACCTGCATAGCACATTTAAGGTTCTAGATTCAGTCATCACCACAGCTGGGGTGGCGGTGGGGATGACTTATTTCAGGTCCCTAACTTGGAAGCTTTTTTTGTTTTTGTTTTTTTAATGTTATACCAATCCTGGGGCTAGAACTCAGGGCCTGGGTGCTGTCCCTGAGTTTTGATCAATGGTAACACTCTACCACTGCAACCACAGCTCCTCTTTAGCTTTTTGGTGGTTAACTGGAAAGAAGAATCCCATGGACTTTCCTGCCCCAGCTGGCTTCAAATGATCTCAGCCTCCTGTCTGTCTAGGATTACAAGCATGGTGCCTCACCCAACTTAGTCTTTTAACCCCTTTTTCCTGCTTGGAGAGCAGAAAGTGTTTTTTTTCCTCTCTATTTTCCCCTACTTTTTCATGTTATCCTAAAATCCTTGCTAAAACAAAGTACCCAACCAAGTTGGCACAGAAAAAAAAAAAAAGTTTAAAACTAAATGACTTGGGCTGGCAAGGTGGCTCAGTGGTAGAGCGCTTGCCTTGCATGCCTGAGGCCCTGGGTTCGATTCCTCAGCACCACATAAGCAAAAAGAAAAAAGCCGGAAGTGGCGCTGTGGCTCAAGTGGTAGAGCGCTAGCCTTGAGCTGAAGAGCTGAGGGACAGCGCCCAGGCCCAGAGTTCAGGCCCCACGACTAGACCCCTCCCCCCCCCCCCCCAAAAAAAATTAAATGACTTGGGGCTGGGAAGGTGGCTCAGTGGTAAGAGTGCTTGCCTGGCATACATGAGGCCCTGGGTTCTATTCTTCAGTACCACATAAGCAGAAAAAGCTGGAAGTGGGGCTGAGGCTCAAGTGGTAGAGCGCTAGTCAGCAGCTGAAGAGCTGAAGGACAGCGCCCAGGTCCAGAGTTCAGGCCCCACAACCGACCAAAAAATAAACAAAACTAAATGACTTAAAATTCTTTTTTATTCCTAGCTTTATAAAATGGGCAGTTCGGATAGTGCTTTAACCAGAAAGTTTTTGGAGAGTGGTAGTGGTGATATTAGAATTTGAACTGACTAGGTAGGTGTTCGACCACTTGAGCCATACCCCCAGGCTTATCTGCTCTAGCTAATTTTTGGGTAGAGCTTGCATGAACTGCAATCCTCCCAATCTGTCTTCCTATGTATCTGGAATTGCATCATGGGACAGTATGCTTACCCGGGTACTGTATTATTAACCTTTACTTTTACGTATGGGAAATGGGCTCTTTGGGCTCAAAGTATTGGTGCGATGAGGTATAAGTTAAGTGACTGAGTATCTGCCCAGTGTGAGACTATTTAATCCCCAGTTCCACAAAAGAATGTGAAATGAGACATGGAATCAACTGGAAATGGACTGAGCTAGGAAGTGACAGGTGAAATTGGTAGGGAGAACAATGGATACAAATCAACCTAGGCAAAAAAAAATAAAAATAAATCAACCTAGGCTTTTTAGTTTATAAATTGGGGCTCTGATTTTAACTTGAAGAGGGAAAAATTGAAATTCACTGAGTCTAGCAGAAACTATCCTTTGATGGTATTTACTTCTATGACTAACCTCCTATGTATACTATACTTACAGCTTCTTAAAGGCAAGAATTCTTCAAAGTGCCAAACCCATATGTAACATGTTCCTGATATTCCTTGAATGTATGTATGTATGTATAAAAACAATGTTTAGATATCTGTATCTGTCTTTGAGAGGTTAGGGAGAGGCACAGAAATGGGTGAACAAATGCAGCAATGATACTCAATAGATAATATGCTGAAAATGAATTATACAACTGTGAGTGGGTATGGAAGGGAAAAAAAACAGCAGAGAGCAAAGGAAGAGGTAACATTGCCCAAAAATAAATGTACTCATTACCTAACTTGTGAAATGGTAAATCCCTCTGAATATCACCTTTATAAATTTTAGATGTGACTGCCAAACCGGGACAATAAAAATGTACAAGCTTGGGGCTGGGAAGGTGGCTCAGTGGTAGAGCGCTTGCCTTGCATGCACAAGGCCCTGGGTTCGATTCCTCAGCACCACATAAGCAAAAGGAAAAAAGCCAGAAGTGGCGCTGTGGCTCAAGTGGTAGAGCGCTAGCCTTGAGCTGAAGAGCTGAGGGATGGCACCCAGGCCCAGCATTCAGGCCCCACGACCGGACCCCCCAAAAAAAGTACAAGCTTTGTGCAGGCCTGTCTCACATTCTCCCTCCGTGCCTCCCTCTCCCCCCCCCCCCCCTCGGAATGTTCCATTAATGTAGCAAAGTTGCTCACTACTTCCTGGAGGTGTCCCAAGTACTGAGATGTGATTTTCCAACATTATACACACACACACACCAATGTACAGTACCCTTTTTTCTCTAAGACAGGCTCACTGTGTCTAAGTTGGCCTTGAACTAATGATCCCATTGCCTCAGCCGCTGGCATGCTGGGATTCCAGGCATGTCCTACTACTTCTAGCTCTTTTTTGTGTGCCAGTCCCAGGGCTTGAACTCAGGGTCTGGGCACCGCCTTGAGCTTTTGTGCTTAAGTCTAGCACTCTACCACTTGGGCCAGTTTCACTTCTGGCTTTTTAGTGGTTAATTGGAGATAAGAGTGTGGTTGGTTTTCCTGCCCAGGCTGGCTTCAAACCTCGATTCTTAGATCTCAGACTCATGAGTAGCTAGGGATATAGGCCTGAGCGATTGGCACCAGCTTCAGCTTTTTCTTAATCTATGTTAGAGATAACAAAAATGATATCTGAAGGATCCATCTCTTTTGGCTGTTCTGCAGACCAAGTTAAATACTTTTTGGCAGGCTGGCTTGCATGAAGGAGCCATAGACAAAAGTGGTATGGTAGAGGTCTCATTGGACTTGTAGAGGCCCTGACTAATAGGGTATAAGCAGACCACTAGGGGCAGTATTAGCAGCACACCTGTTTTCTCGGGAATGCCAGCTTTGTTCCAGCACAATGGCAATGAGCCTGGCTGGCAGGCAGAAGTGTAAAGGTCATTGCTGGGGGAAAGCTATAGGGCCATCTGGTTGCACAATAGCAGCTTGCATAAAGAAGTAAACATATAACTCCTAAGAAGGAAGTAAATGCTCCTAGCTCCTAATACAGTAAGTTTTTTAATCATAGGCTTCTTAGTAGCAAGACAAACTAGTAGTGTTTTAAGTGGTAGCTGGTCCTGAGCGGAGGGACACTATCACTTTAATACTCTCAAGGCAGACAGGCACATAAGACCTTAAACCACATTATTTCTTTTTCCAGGACCAGAGCTTACAGTGGCAATCAGATAGTCTGAACATGGAAAAAGGAAGAGGGGCTGATATTCTACAGATGGTCCTCAAAATTCTAAATCTAGGTTATAACAGACCTGTGAAACGCAGGGCATTGGCGACTTGGACCTATAAATCCTAGCTACTCAGGAGGCTGAGACCTGAGGATTGCAATTCAAAGCTAGCCCAGGCAGAAATGTCAGAGTTTTATCTCCAGTTAATCAACAAAAAAGTCAGAAGTGCGGGTGTAGTTCAAATGCTAGAATGCCAGCTTTGAGCAAAAAAGCCAAGCAAGAGTGTAAGGCCCTAAATTCAAGCCTCAGTTACAAGCACCAGGAAAAAAAAGTCAAATGTAAGGACCAGATTACATAATATTACATTCATATCTTAATTTCTTCCTGATCTCTGACAGGCAGAGGAGAGGGCTCCTCCTTAAATACAGGGTAACTACCTATTAGAGCCAAAAAGGCCTTGGTTTTAGCTGGGCACCAGTGGCTCAAGCCTGTCATCCTAGCTACTCAGGAAGCTGAGATATGAGGATAGCAGCTCAAAGCCAGCCTGAGCAGGAAAGTCCCTGAGTCTTATCTCCAATAAACCACCAGAAGATGAAGTGGTGCTGTGGTTCAAGTGGTAGAACGCTAGCCTTGAGCTGAAGAGCTCAGGGACACCGCCCAGGCCCAGAGTTCAAGCCCCATAACTGACCAAAAAAAAAAAGGCCTTGGTTTTGTTTGCTTTCTAACTCTGCTCACTCAAGAATGATGCAAAACAGACCAGAACACACAGCTAGAGCATTGGACACTGTTCCTGTGGGGGAGTACAAAAGAAATGAGAAAAGGGACCTTTTGGGAGGTCAGGAATGGTGTGGATTCACTCACCTCTAATTCTGGAGAGGAATCTAACTCTGCAAGCTGAGCCTGTGTCTTAAGCATAAGCACAGTGTGTTCAATAAAACATTTTATTCTGTACAATATATATGTGTATTTAAATATATATACATGTACATTTATATATGTATATATGCAGAGAAATCTCAACCAACAAATCCCTGAGCCCACGGGAACCCAGGACGCTAACGAAGGGAAAGGAAAGTCCATGCCTAAGAGTAGGAAATATGGCACCATCTTTCCCTTTCCTCCTGGTTCCCTGCTACCGAGGGAAGGGGATGATCACTACAAATTACTAAAAGTTTATGTCAGAGCAGAAAATGGGGTGGAGAGGGTAAGATGCAGAACCGTGAGGGGTCAGGTCCCCCAGCCACCAGCCAACCTAGAGGAGCAAAGCGTACGATTTGATCCAGCATGAAAGCCAACAGGTGACTGCAGAGAGAGAGGAGGAGGTGATTTACATGCAGCTGGCCTCTGGCACGGCAAGCTTTAGCTCGGCAGCCCCACACTGGGGCCAGCACAACAAATAGCACCTATGGGGCCTGTGAGAAGAGCTAGGGGTCCGGCCCGTGAGAGAAGGGGGAACGAAGCTGAGGGGTAGGTAGGCCTTAGGTCTCAGCACAAGGTGGGAACACTGTCGCTCACTGGCCCTCTATCCTGTTCTTCAGACTCTGGGGCCACCAAGATGGCCAGGAGCAATGGTTTTTGTCCAGTCAGGTAGAGATGGGCAATGGTCTTGAGAAGAGGTATAGAAAAAGGAGTGCTTCTGAGGGCCACCCCCAGTTGTACGATTCCTGAAGGGCAGGGACCACACTGGTCATGCCCAGTCCTGATGGTGGGCCACAGTGGCGGTAGTCTGCTCCCTCCAGTAGATGGGCCACAGGTCTGCAGGGTTGATGGGCCAGCCAGGTAGGCTCGCAGCTGCTGAGCACTCCCCTGAAATGTCTTCCCCTCAGTCAGTTCTGCCCCTCCCTGGTGGCCACACCAAGCTTCACACTTCTCCTGAAAGCTGTCAGGAAGCGAGTGGCAGAGAGCGTCCCTCTCCCTAGCCTATGAACACACACAGCCGCCAACAGCGGGCAGCAGGGCCGGAAGTCACCTTATATTGTAGCGACAGCAATAGAGCTATCCTGCTGGGAAGACTCAGAAGCCCATGTTGGCCTGTGCTCCTGCTGAAATGGCTTGCACATCGGTGACATGGCCGATGCCCTTGGTGACACCCTCCCGGAACAGCAGTTTGGCGCCCACCTTCAGGTACTCTGGGTGTTTCAGGAAGCGGAAACGCACCACTGCCTTCTCCCCTGTCCGTAGCTTGTCCTGCAGCAGATGAGTGGTTACTGCCCTGGCCACTGCCTCCCATCTCCCACCTCCACCAGCCTTGGCTACCCCTGGGGCCTCCAGGTGGGCTGTTTCCCATCCTACATAGGCTTCTGTTCCCATTGCGGGATCAGAGAATGCCACCATGTCCAAGGTGAGGCCTTCCTCCCTTCTGGAGGCAGTCTGCCTTTTCCCCAGAGCAATCGAGGCCTGGCAGGGCCCCACTCACCTTCGCATGGATCTTTTCCACCACTGCTGTCTGGCGAACATTGCCCACGTGTACTGTCACCTGGAATCCTCGCCGGAAGGTAGTGGCATGGAACAGTAGGACTATCTCTGCCTCAAACACTGAGCAGATGGTGGGGTTCATCTCAGGGCTCACCATCACCATGCCCTGGGGAAGGCGCAGCACAGGCCCACGAGGGGCACACCTGGCTTTAGACGACCCCCCCCCAGCCACCCTACACCCCGCCTGACCCTGCTTCTCTATGTAACTCCAGAGGCCTTGGCTGACAATTGTCTCAATTCTCCTCTTCAAGGGTAATTTCTTTGCCCATCTCCCATGTCCTCTTCACCTTTTCAAAACAGTATCTTTAGAATCCTGGACATGCAGCTTATACTGTACTGACTCACACTAAAGTGCTCTTCCCCTTGGTGAGTATTCTAAGTCACTTTATACAGGCTCTGTATGCAGGCCTATGCTGCTGGGTGACAGAAGCACCTCAGACCACAGTGCTCCTTGGCCAAGAGTCACTCACTCACTCATGCTCTCTCTCCAACCCCTGCACCCACCTCACCTTTCGAAGCAATGCACGGTCAAAGTCCCCAAGGGCCAGTGTAGCAGCCTGACCAGCTCGCAGCACTCGACAGGCAGAGCGGTTGCGCTGGATGCTGCATACTTTCAGCTCCAGGAAGCGGCCATCGTCCGTAGGGCCCACCACCAGCTGGTCGCCCTCACGGCAAATCCCACTGCAGCCCAGAGGGCAGGTGGTACAGTGTCAGCCTAGGTCCCCTGGCCGACTGCGAGCGTCATACAGAGCACTCTCCCTTCTGGGATTGAGACCCTCAAGTAGGGGAAAGGAAGTCTAAATTCGGATTTGAAGGTAGGGAAAGGACTGCCTTGCCAGTCTGCTGAGACTGAAGTCCAATACCAGGGAAGACCCGCGGCAACGGTTGGCACAAAGGCGCCTTCTGGTTTGATAACAGTGAACACCTGACCCCTGGAGAAGCAAGTGATCCCCTTGGGTTTCACCCTCTGCTTTGAAAAGTCTACTATTCCCCACTCTGACCTGAGTTGATAAGCCCACACTTCTTCCCAGCAAGCCGCCATACTATTTCTTCCCTCACAAGCCAATTGAGTGGCGTCCTACAGCTCTTTTAGACATGAAAGCCAATGAACAAACAAGTGCATCCTTGGGCTCTGCGCAACTCCAGGACCAGGGTGTGAGGGCCAAATAGGGTGGAGAGCAAACAAGACAATTCACCTGGCAAGTGTCCCGCCAACAACAGTCCCCACTTCTGGTACTGTGTAGATCTCATCTACCTGGAGCCAAAGAAAACTCCATCAATGTCCTGCCAGCCAGGGCTCGACAATCTCCCAACGGGCTCTGGCGTGAAAAGAACTGGCCCTTCCCCATCCCCAGCCTTCTACCTGTTTTTGAGCCAACTACCTGGAATTCTGTCAACTGCTGCATGAGTTCCTCCTGCTCTTTGCTGTTGGTGAGCGGTGGCAGGATGTTCAAGAAGACTTTGAGAAGGTCCAGACTCTCCCCCGACACACTGGACAGTGTGAAGATAGGGGTGACACTGTGGAAGAAGGTATGAAATGGAGATGAGGGAAATCCTGCCAGGAAGTAGAGGCCTACACATGGCAGGTGAGCTTTTCTATGGGCAGGAAAGGGTCCCTCTTTCCAAGCCAAGGAATGTGGTGCATGAAGTCCATCCCCAGGCCCGAGAGACAGCAAATATCCCCAGGGTCCCAGGCATCAGCAAAGCTCCAGGGGAAGGGCCAAGCCCTTCAGAGACCAATTCCCCAGCCCCATCCTAAGCTGAAAGAGCCAAGGCCAGAATCTGAGTCAGAAAGCATCTAACCCTGAAGACAGGACACCAAGCTCCTGGGCACTCTGGAACCTTCCCTGTGGACCAGGGCTTTAGGGTGAGAGTCAGGCTCACTTGGGTGACTGGGCAAACTGCTGGGCAGCAGTGACAGCATCGTCCTCAGAGGTGACCAACATGGGGACCTTGTGGCAGCCAGGCTGCTTGAGGACCCGCTCCAGCTGGCGTACTGTCCTCTCCACTGTGGTCTTGGCACAGAGGTCCACTTTACTGACCACGATGAAGAAGGGCACTTTCAGGGCCAGGGCCAGCCCCAGATGTTCCCTTGTAGTGCCAGCTACCTCAGAGAGAAGTGGCAGCAGCAGGAGAGAAGAATGTGGGAGGGAGGAAAGGAAGAGGAGAGTTGGTGTGACTCTCAACTTTGAGGAAGCCCAGGGTAGGAGAGTCAGCACCTCCCTTCAGCCCTGCCCCCTGCCCGGTGCTTCGTACCAATCCCCGTGTTAGCACTGACGAGGAGCAGGGCGCAGTCTGGGCAGTAGGAGGTGAGGCCGAAGATGGTGGTGTGCAGGTACTTATGGTGGCCTGCCAGGTCGATGAAGGTGATCATCTTGGAGCTGCTCTCGCAGATCTCTTCTGCCGTCCGTGAGTCGCTGTAATTCACCACCTAGCCCAGAGCCCAGGCTCTCAGTGCCCCCTGCAAGCCACCCCAACCCTTTAGGAGTTGCCAGGACCTAAGTCAGTCCCTAGTGACCCTGCCTCGAAACTGAGCCCCACTTTCTACTTAGTCCAGTTGATTTCCATGTGCTTCCTAAAAGGTAGAGCATCTGTTGGCAGCGCCCAGGGGACCTTCATCTACACCACTCCAAAGACTCCACACTTGGCCCCCAGCCTCTGTCCTTCGCCTCTACCATCCCATCCATCCTTAGAGGTTGGCCCTACTGGGTCCCAGTGATCCCATGCACCTCTCCCTTGCTGTTAAAGCCCAGGATCTCGAAGCTGATGCTGGAGGTTCGACCAGACTGAATCTCGTGCAGGTGGCGGAAAAGGTTGAGTCGAGCCCGGCCCCGCCCATTGTCCAGCTCTCCTTGGGTCAGGACCCCAAGCAGGGTTGATTTTCCTGAGTCCACATTCCCCAAGACAGCCACACGGAGGTCCAGGAACTGTAAACAAATTGCCAGAGGTAAGGGCTCTAATCAATTACCTACCACTGAAAGTCAAGAGAGAATCTGGAGCCTGGCACTAGTGGCTCACGCCTGTTATCTTAGCTACTTAGGCTGAGATCTGAGGATCATGGTTCAAAGCCAGCTCGGGCAGGAAAGTCTGTGAGACGCTTATCTCCAGTTAACCACCAGAAAACCAGAAGTGGCGCTGTGGCTCAAGTGCTAGAGTGCTTGTCTTGAGCTGAAGAGCTCAAGGACAGAGCCCAGACCCAGAGTTCAAGTCCCACAACTGACAAAAAAAGAAAAAAGAAAAGAAAGAGAGAGAGAGAGAGAGAATCTGGATACCACAATAAGGACTAGGTTGCATCAGCATGGGGGCTGGGAAGGGCTGGTACTCACCTGCTGGTTGTCAGGGACCTTTCGTACCAGCACCTCAGTGATCTTCCGGGGCATGTCACTGTCATAATCCACTTCTCGCTCCCGAAGAACAGTGATGTCTGCCCCAACCCTGTCATTGCAAGGCCACAGCTGTCATATTGCATTGTACTCCCTCCGTTACAACCTGGCTCTGGACCAATGACCTTTCTGCACCACCCACAGAGCTCCCAAAACCTATTCCTTACCCCTCTTCGTCATCAATCCCCACCCACAGCCCCTCTAAAGGAAACAAGTAAGCCAGCACATCTTACGGAAAACAGCGTATGCTCAATGAAGAGAGTAGGACACCAGGGCCCCCACTTTGGCCCCCTGTCAAGAAACTACAGAAGCTCCCCCGCACCCCATCCCGGCCTTGACTCTAGAGCCCTGGGTGACTGGGAATGCCAGGGGTCACCGCCAGAGCTAGGGAAGGACTGAGGGAGAGGGAAAGCATACTTCTCTGCCATTCGGTGCAGGGTCTTGAGAGAGGCCCGCATCTCCTCCTCAGCCAGGCCCACCAGCAGCCCATTGTCCTCTACCCCAATCTGGTAGACAGCCTCTCCACGCCCCTCCTGAAGTCGCCACTTCATTTGTGTCACCAGGTGCTCAAAGCGGTACTGGGACGGATTCACCAGCTTCAGCTTAGGGCAGGCAGAGTATCAGGAGTTGAAATCAGGGGTGCTCCTCCTAAACCCACATAGTCCCCCAATCTGTCTTGCTGCAAGGACAAGACCCTTCCTTTCCTCTTCTGGCCCCCCAGCTCCCCTAACAGTATGTTCCCCTTCCAGAGTGAGGTTCAGAGGCATTACCCCTGTACCACAGCCTCAATTATCATAGACCACAAAACTGGAAAGACCTTAGAGAAATCACCCCATGCTGGCAAGGGCAATCTAGCCCATCCCCTACTTTTCCCAGCCTAAGACTCACTTTATATTCAATGTTTCCATCTTCAGCCTGAAAAGAAACAGGAAGCAGTCACCATCTACTGTCCAGACCCAACCCCTACTTTCCCTCAACTTCCATTGAGTCCAAGCAGAGAGCAGGGCTCTCAATCACCTGTCTCGCCCAGTGAATGCCAAGGGCCAATGCTAGCCCTAGTGTGACCTCTCTAAGGAGACAATAAATCAACTTAAGCCAGGAATGGAACCTCAAGTCCCTCCTTTATTCAGGGGAGTTCTGTTTTTCCCAGGTGCAGATCACCCCTAAACCAGCCTAAAACTGTGGTCCTCAGATGTCTATGTGTCCTCTGCACCCTGACTGTTAAGGCTTTTCTTTGCCCTGATCTTTCCTTCCTGCCTGCCCCTCTCAGCTGATGCCATCAAGTGTAAGAAGCTACAAGTGGATCTGGATGGAGGCCAAAAGGTGAGCTCAGCACTGGTCACTATAAGCTCAGTGAGGGAAGAGCAGAGAGCTCCAAAGTTGGAACTGATAAGAACAAAAGAAACTCAGAAAATGTGAAAAGGAGGTAGAATCCATAAGCCAGACCCACAATGCTTTTACCTTCTGTCCCCTAATCCTCATGCCTCTGTTGTGCTAAAATCCTCAATCTACCTCAGGATCTCTTTCTGTCTTCCAGAGGGGGATTCCCCTTCTTGAGTGTACAAGACTATATGTAACTGCCATTCTGTATTTCCCTCCTCTGCTCTGGCCATTTTACTTTTCCTCTTCCCACCCAGCCCATCATATCATCCTACAAAGTCCTGACAGGTGGTCTTCACTCATAATCTCCACCCTACAAAGCTGATGGGCTCTCTTCCCCCCCCCCCAACAATGCCTTATTTATCATTTAGTTGGGAATGGGCATATTAGAATGGAGGGCTTCAGAAATATGGTACAAGGGTAACAATCTAGGCAGATAATTATCCCAGTGTGTTCCCAGACTCCACAGCATTAGCAAGACATGGGAACTTGTAAGAAATGCATATTCTCGGACCCACCCCTCACCTACTGAATCAGAAAAGTTCTAGAAACTGGGGCCAGCAATCCTGACCATTCTGGCACACAAGTTTGATAATCACTGGTTTAGGTTCTTCCCCTGGGTCTCCCTATCTTAAGGAGAGACTAAGTGGGAGTTGTTCCCTGGTCCCACTCCCTCACAGGGCAGGCAGAGGGCAGAGGGCTAAGTCTAACTGTTCTCTGGCTGTATGTGTGTGAGGATCTGGGGACCGGGAGGGACCGTGTTGCTCTTTTCACGGGTACCCTTCTCTTCCTCGTGGAGCAAGTTTAGAAAAAGTAGTATTTACTCTGAATATTCTGTTCGCCCCAAAATAGATGAGAGCCCCTCTTCCCACGTCTTCTTCCCAAATAAGGGGTAAGCCCTGCCCCTGAGGTCCGGACACCCGCGGGGAGGTCCAGCCCCTCCGCTCTTCCGTCCTGAGATGAGGCTCCCCGGGCACAAGCGCAGGTTCTCCTCCTGCGCCCCTCCTTCCCGGGGTCTCGACACCGGAAGGGGGGTTCTCTCGGTCCCGCCTCCCGGGGGTCCTGGGACCGGAAGGAGTGGTTTCCTTCGGCCCCACCGCTTTTTAGGTGCTCACCTCGGGGGGGAGGTACGGGGGGTTGTTGGCTTTGCCCCCTCTGTTCCTTCCGTTCTTCTTCTTCCCCTTCTGGCCCCCGCAGCCACTACCGCCGCTGCCGACTGCCCTAGCTTTGAGGGTCCCGCCCATGGCCGGACCCGCTCCGGGCCGGCAGCAGCCGCCGAACAGCTCCGATACCCGCGAGTCCATCCGCCGCGGCCACCAGGCCCCCCCCGCCCGACCCCTCCCCCCCACCGCCGCCGCCGCTGCCGCCGCCGCCGCCGCCGCCGCCGCCGCCGCCGCCGCTGCCGCCCTCTGCTACCGCCGCGTCCGGCCAGCCGGAGGAGAGCGGGGTGGGGCCCGGCACTGGCCACGCCTCCACCTCCCCTGGCCTCCGGGTCGCGTCAGAAACAGTCGCGGGGCACGACGGGATATGGAGTCCGTAGGCCTGGGACTTGGCCCCAAAGAACGCGCCGCCATCCTACAGCTCCCAGGAGGCATCGCGGCACCAGGACCGCGGGAGGCTTCGCGGCGGGGACTGGGGGCGCGCTTGGCGCGCAAAGGCCGAAGGGAGCGGTAGTCTGGAGCCGGATCCCCCCGGTCCCCGCGCCCCTTTTCCTAGGGCCTGGGGCGCGCGGCGGTTGATTGCCCGCGGTCTGAGGAAGGGCGCTGCGGCCGGGGTCGGAGGGCTTACATCAGAATCGAGCTTTGTGAGCGCCTTCGCGCGGATCCCGGACAACAGATTTTGGACCTGGAGAGCTGAAAAATTCTGGGCAACTGGTCGCTCCAGCCTGCTGGCTTCAGCTCTGCCTCAGTTTCCTCCCCGATGGCTGGCGTGCCGTCGGGGTGAGTCAGGGGCCAAGCCAGGGCGGGGCCAGACCGTAGTTAGCCTAATTACGGCTGTTATTGTGTCGATGGTTGTGCCACCTTTACACCGTAGTCACTACTTTATTACTAGCTTGGCACCGTCCGGGGGCTGGTTTTAGCAGCCTCGGGCACCCTAGAAGCTCAGACACGGGGCCCAAGCCCATAAACCAACCTGCTGCCGAAGGGGTGCCGGACACCCTCCACGAGCATCTCCCCTCCCCTTTGTTTTGAAGCCGAACCAATCTGGATGAACCAAGTTTGGTTTAAAATAGCCCCAGCTGTCGGAAGGACCTGCCCCCCGCTTGGGGCGGGGCCCGGGCTCCAGCTACGTCAACCGCCCTCCGAGAAGTGGCCCGGAATAGAAACTTGACCTGTGGCCCTCCTAGGTTGTTGACTTTTGACTTTCTGGCCAAGCCCATCTCTTACGCTCTTTTAGAGTTCTAGAGCTCTTGCAGTCAGCAGGGAGTAAACACACCAGCGACGTAAACTAGTGTACAAGATACCAGAAAGGCAGGGTGGAGAAGCAGTAAGAATTGCTGGGCTGGGAGTCAGGACGCCAGGGTTCAATTCTTAACCCCATGGCTGTCTCATGACTCACTCCTTCCCTCTTCACAAACAATGAAATGTTCATAAACAGCCAAGAAACTAAACACCTTTTTTGCCTGCAGACTTCAGTTTTCCTTGGAAAACTAGAATCAGCAACGGTGACTTACCTCTGGTGCTCCTTGAAGGGGTTCAGACCCAGTGAAGTCCAGGCTTCCCAAGTCCACCTGGAGAGAGGGCAGATCTATTGGCCATGCAGTTCCTGTCCACATGGTCTAACTCCTCACAGCAGGAGTGCAGAACCAAAGTCTGAAAGAAGGCCAAGCAGGTCCAGCCAATGTTGTGGGTCTTCAAAGGCACAGATGACTTTTCTCTTTGCAATCCTGAGTGGTTGAGAGGAAAGTTACACTGCACAGAACAACCCAGACAGAGCATAGACCCCAGGAAAATTATTGTTAAAAACTGAGTCTAGAGAATAAGAGATCTCTAAAAAGAATGAGGAATTGGAAGAAAAGATATAACTCTATAACAGGACAACCTTTTCTGGCCCTTCCTGATTTAAAAAAAAAAAAAAAATGAGGGCCTGCTGCACTTGACTGATAGCAGCTATCTTCAGCTTCATGGTTTCTTTCAACCAATCCTAACACAATTTCAGTCTGAGTGGAGAACTTTTAAGAGATGGCAGGGGGCAGGCCAATCTAACATGCCTGGCCTACCACAGACAGAAGTGCAGCTGGCAGAGGAGTAGGACAGTGACTCCTGTCCAGGAGAAGATGAGGGTCCTGGGTGATGGAAGGTGGTGTATGTGATTAGTTCCTTGGAGGAGTTGCTTATGAGGTGGTTGGTGATGGAATCCGTTCATATATATGCATTGTGGGCACACACATGTCACATGCAAACATTTTTCCCTGGCTTGTAATTAGTCACTTGTGTATAATGCCTCTTCCTATGTTTTAAACTCAAACTAAGCAATCTTTTATGTTTTCGGGGGCAGGGGAGGCTTGATCACCTCTAAGCCAAGCCCACTCTTAAATTATGTCATTCCCTAATATGTCTTCCAGAAGTCTTTGCTTTTTAATCTGGTGCTGAGGAATGAACCCAGGGCCTTAATGCATGCTAAGCATACACTGTTACTACTAAATTATACCTCCCTCAACCTTTCTTCTAGGAATTTTAAGATTTATTTTTATGCTTTAATCTGGGTCTTCCCTTTGTGTGATATTTGCTTTGTCACAATTATTAAATATGAACACACACACACACACACACACACACACACACACACACACATATAGTATACCCATGGATCTGTTTCTAGACTTTCTTCTGTATTTTGTTATTTTTTGCATTGCTAGAGATGGAACCTACAAAGATCTCATTTATGCTAAGTACTCAACCACTCTCTCATACACCCACACCTGTCCCAACACCATAGTACTTAATTTAATTTAATCTTGAGTTTTATAAGACAGTATGTTAGGGGCTAGAATGTGGCTTAGTGGTAGGTTCCTTGTCTAACATGTATGAAGCCCTGGGTTCGATTCCTCAGTACCACATAAATAGAAAAAGCTAGAAGTGGTGTTGTGGCTCAAAGTGGTAGAGTGCTAGCCTTGAACAAAAGAAGCTCAGGGACAATGCCTAGGTCCTGAGTTCATCTCAGGACTGGCAAGAAAAAAGACAGTATGTTAAAGATTGTACTATTTTGGTATGTTTTGATTTCTGTCCCTACTTCCTGAAACACACCCTATTTTTTACCTCCATGACCTGACACTTGTTTTTCTTCATATTTCTGAGTACTTCTCCTTTTTTGTTTTTTTTTTTTCTCTCTCTCTCTCCCCTGTTATACCACACACACTGGTGTCTTCAGGATCCTAGCCCATTCACATTCTTCACATCCTTCCTGGGTATCATCTACTCCATGTTGAGGACTCTCAAATACCCATCCCTATTCCAAATGTGTTTCTAAAATTATCAATTCACTGTCTAACAGAGACGTCAAACAGCCTATAAAAACCTAAACTTCTGGCTAGGTGCTGGTGGCTCATGCCTGTAATCCTAGCTACTCCAGAGGCTGAGATCTGAGGATTGTGGTTCAAAGGTAGCCTGGGCAGGAAAGTCCATGAGATACTTATCTCCAATAAATCACCAGAAAACTGGAAGTGGTGCTGTGGCTCAAGAGGTAGAGCGCAAGCCTTGAGTTGAAGAGCTGAGGGACATCACCCAGGCCCAGAGACCAATGACCAACAAAACAAACAAAAAATCTTTCTTTTTTTTTTTTTGGGTCCAGTCGTGGGGCCTGAACTCTGGGCCTGGGCGCTGTCCCTCAGCTCTTCAGCTCAAGGCTAGTGCTCTACCACTTGAGCCACAGCACCACTTCCAGCTTTTTTCTTTTTGCTTATGTGGTGCTGAGGAATCGAACCCAGGGCCTCAGGCATGCAAGGCAAGTGCTCTACCACTGAGCCAACTTCCCAGCCCACAAAAAATCTTTCTACACACTCTCCTAGTATTCCTTCCTTCATTGTCTAGCACAGCTACCATACGGTTACTGAAGTCAAAAACCTGTTTGTCTTTTTGGAAGGTCCTTCCTTCCTTCCTTCTTTCCTTCCTTTTTTTTTTTTGCTGGGCTTGAACTCAGGGCCTGGGCATTGTCCCTGAACTTCTCGGCCCAAAGCTAGCACTCTACCACTTGAGTAAGAGCTTCACTTCTGGCATTTTTGGTAGTTAATTGAAGGTAAGAGCCTCATAAACTTTCATACTTGGGCTGGCTTTGAACTACAATCCTCAGAACTCAGCCTCCTGAGTAATTAGAAGTATAGACATGAGCCAGCATTGGAAGTCTCTTCTTATATCTTCTCTCCTTTAGGTCCAAATATTAAATTATGCTCAATAGAGTTTTTTTTTTTTGATGTACTCATACTTGCTAGGCTTACACTCACAACTTGAGTCACAACTCTAGCTGCCTTTTGCTGGTTATTTTGGAGATGGAATCTAGTGGACAATTCTGCCAGAGCTGGCTTTGAACTGTAATCCTCTAGATCTCAGCCTTCTGAGTAGCTAAATGATTAAGATGTGAGACACTGTTGCCCAGCTAAACTCATTTCTGAATATCTCTAAGGTTCACCTAATTTTCTCCACCCACTGGGACTACCCTAGTAGAGCCTCTTTAACCATACACTGTGTCCTGTACTTGTTACTTCTAACTGGTATCCCTGTCCTTGCTCATTCTCACTGTTATAATATCCAATGTCTACACTCTAGGTCCTGTAGAGATTAACTTTATTTTATTTTGCCAGTCCTGGGGCTTGAACTCTGTCCCTAGGCACTGTCTCTGAGCTTTTGTGCTCAAGACTAATGCTCTACCACGTGAGCCACAGCTCCGTGTGTGTGTGTGTGTGTGTGTGAGTGTGTGTGTGTGTGATTAATTGGAGGAAGAGTCTCACAGACTTTCCTGCAAAGGCTGGCTTCATTGACATCAGTAAGTCCTATTATGATCTGGCTTCTATGTTCCACTACAACAGCCTTAACCCTTTATCATATGAACTTATGGGGGCTGGGAAGGTGGCTCAGTGGTAGAGCACTTGCCTTGCATGCATGAGGCCCTGGATTCGATTCCTCAGCAACACATAAGCAAAAAAAAAAAAAAAAAAAAAAGCCGGAAGTGGTGCTGTGGCTTAAGTGGTAGAGCGCTACCCTTGAGCTGAAGAGCTGAGGAACAGCACCCAGGCCCAGAGTTTAGGCCCCACCACCGGACCCCAAAAAAAAAACATGCCAGAAGTGGAAGTGTCGATCAAGTGGTAGAGAGTCAGCCTTGAGCTGAAAAGCCAAGTGAGAGCCTTCTTCTCCCCTGGTTCCAGCCCCAGTACCAGTACACAAGCACACACACACACACACACACACACACACACACACACACACACACACACGTATGAGTTTATTTCATTCCGTGAATAGAGAACACTACAGAGATTGTAGTCTTCGTTGTCCTGCTGTCTTCCAGTCACACAGCTTCTTCACAAGTTTCTTCTGGGAACTCCCACTTTCCCTGCCCCAACACCAAAAAGTCAGGCCCCCTGTTTTTCACAGCCCTTGTTACCCACCCCCACCGTATAATTATTGTATCATCTATCCACAGCGAATCCCTGTGCAGACAGTGTCTGCACTCCGCTTATTGGAGGTATTGTCTCCAGCACCTAGGACAGGGCCTGGCAAGAAGTGGGCACCCAGTGACCAGTGAACGAAGGTGCATGGGTGCCTGAGCCCAGGAATGCTCTGGAAGGCTTCGCCCAGCGGCTCAGAGCACTCGGGTTCCGAGATACGGAAGGGCCGCCGTCTGGGAGGAAACCGAAGCCTCAAGTGCAGACCTCGCCCAGCCAGTCTCCGCTTCACCGCGCCCCGCCCCCTCGGCCCCTCGGGCCCGCCCAGCCTGCCTCCGCCTCACTGAGCCCCGCCCCCGGACCCGCCCAGCCAGTCTCCGCTTCACCGCGCCCCGCCCCCTCGGTCCCTCGGCCCCTCGGGCCCCGCCCAGCCTGCCTCCGCCTCACTGAGCCCCGCCCCTCGGGCCCCGCCCAGCCAGTTTTTGCTTCACTGAGCCCCGCCCCCGGCCCCGCCCAGCCAGCCTCCGCTTCACCGCCCCTCCCACTGCTCCCTCGGGCCCCGCCCAGCCAGCCTCCACCGCGCCCCGCGCCCCGCCCCCCCCGGAGACCGCCCAGACAAGTGGGGGCGTGGACTTCCCAGGATGCTCCGAGCGGCCCCGGTGCCAACCGCTGGGAGAGGAGGGAGGAGGAGGCCGTGATGGCGACGCCGGAGCCGGAAGTGCAGTGTGCTGCTGCAGTCCCTGGTAAGGTGTGGGGTTCCGAGCTTGAGGGGCTTTGGAGACCTGCTTCCCTGCTTCCCTCTCCTACCGCCGCCTCCCTTAAGTCATGTAGCCTCCGGTCTGACCCCAGTGTGCCTCCCCCCGCGCTGGCTCCGCCCGGGACTCCCGCACCCTGACTGGAGTTGGTCCTCGAGCTGTCGACCTCAGGGTCGGGGACCCCCGCTTTCTGAGCGAACTCCCCCCACTGCCCTGCTGTCAGCGTAGGCGGGGATCGGGAATCGCCGCCGGTCCTAGAGGTTGCCGAGGGTCTGGTGGCTGGTGTGGCGGCCACAGGCCACAGGAAGGCTGACTTTGCCCTCTCACTTTATCTACTTCATCCCTGTCTTCACGCCCTAGATTTGGAATGGTATGAGAACCCGGAAGAAACTCATAGTCCCCTAGATCTGCTGGAAACCAACTCTGCCCAGGAACCTTCCAATCCTCCCGAGGCCTTTCCCCCAAGAGACTGCTTGGTGCCCGTGGTGTTTCCTGGGCCAGTGAGCCAGGAGGGCTGCTGTCAGTTTACTTGTGAACTGCTAAAGCATATCATGTACCAACGCCAGCAACTCCCGCTGCCCTATGAACAGCTAAAGCACTTCTACCGGAAACCCCAGGTATGTGCCGGCTTTGGGAGGAAGTCATTGGGGAGACTCTTAGATGGTAGTTATGCAGGTAGAAGAGGGTCTAAGAAACCTTCAGGGCCTCTGCCTTTCCCACACCGACAAACACTTTTTCTCTCTGGTTGTCTTTTTTGTTTTTTTGTCGGTTGTAGTGCTTGAACTCAGGGCCTGGGAACTGTCCCTTGAGACCTTCTGCTCAAGGTTAGCACCCTACCACTTTGAGCCATAGCCTTACTTCGTTATTTTTGTGTGTGTGTGTGTGAGTGTGTGTGTGTGTGTGTGTATGTATGTATGTATGTGTTTACATAGGGCTTGAACTCTGGGCCTGGGCGCTGTTCATGAGTTCTTTAGCCCAAGGCTAGGGCTCTACCACCTAAGCCACAGCACCACTTCCGGTTTTCTGGAGGTTAATTGGAGATAAGATTCTCACGGACTCTGCCCAGGCTAGCTTTGAACCACGATCCTCAGATCTCAGCCTCCAGAGCAGCTAGGATTACAGGCAGGAGCCACGAGTGTCCAGCTTAGTTTTGAGGCTTTTTTCCTGTTCCTTTCAGTGTCTCTGTTTCTTCCAGAATCTTTTCCATATTTGTTTCTTTTGGTATCTGTGTTTCATGTTGGAGGCTTTTATTGGGCTGGTGAAGGTTTCAGAATAACTGGCAGAAAAACGAAGTAGTCGGTAACAATCGATAAGAAATGTACTCATTACCTTACTCGTAACCCCTCTGTATAGCATCTTCACAATAAACAAAAAACACCAAAATAATAGTTAAAAAAAGATTTCAGAATAAATGATTGCAAGCTATCTCTGGGCCTCTGCAGTGATAAACTTCACTGTGGAAGGAAAATGGGTGGGGGACCAAGTGGTCTTTTGTTTTTCGGGGGGGGGGGGGCCCTCACCAAACATGGTATTGGAAATATTCTCTGCAGAAGGTGGGGATTTGCAGATGATCTAAGCATCCTCTTACAAGCTTTTATTCAACCCTGTTGTGTCCACTCTTGCCATCTGAGGTGCCTGTACTGTCGGTTTCCTGGGTATTTCCAATTCTTGACTTTTCTTGGATTCCTAAGTATGGCTGTGTTTCTTAGGGGTGCCCCCGTTTGCCACAGTTGCTATTCACCATTCCTGAATTCTTTTTTTTTTTTTTTTTTGGGGGGGGGTCCGGTCGTGGGGCCTGAACTCTGGGCCTGAGCGCTGTCCCTCAGCACTTCAGCTCAAGGCTAGCACTCTACCACTTGAGCCACAGCGCCACTTCCAGCTTTTTTCTTTTTGCTTATGTGGTGCTGAGGAATTGAACCCAGGGCCTCATGCATGCAAGGCAAGTGCTCTACCACTGAGCCACCTTCCCAGCCCCCATTCCTGAATTCTTAACTCTTCCAGCTGCTTTCTTTCATTTCCCAAAACTTTGACCAATGTCATCTATTCTCCAGTTTTCCACTCTCTCCGGAGTTCTCTTTTACTCTTTCTATTCCTTTTGTGGGGGAAGGTGAGAAGGGACAGTACTGGGGTTTGATCTCAGAGCCTCACAGTTAGTAGGCAGGCACCATACCACTGAAGCCATATCCTCCACCTTTTCCTTTCTGACTTTTTTTTCTCTTGTATTTTAGGGGGGAGCATGTGATAAAAGAGATGTATTCTATTGGCTATATTTAGTTAGAAAACCTACTCTGGAATTACCTTTATTAGCCCAAATAGTCTTCTTTCTTGTGTATTCCCTGTATAACAAAAATAATCCTCAGTCTGTATTCCGTGAGTAACAAAGCTTTGCTACCTTCAGCCGCGCCAGGAACACTCCCTGACTTTTCACTGCTTTTATCATCATGCCTTCCGCTTCAGCGGAAGCATGGGAGAATTATAGTTTCCTTTTTAATAGAATGCTGTCTGTCTGATAAAACCCAAAATCTTGGTTTGGAGACTTCCTTGGGCTTGTGGTCCAATGCTGTTAAGTCTAGTTACACATCCCAAAGAGTTTTTTCAGCTGCCACCGGCTTACCTTACCTCCTTTTCTCCCATCATTCATTGTCCTTACAGGCAGAGGATGTGGTGAGGAAGAAACCTCTGGCCCCCACTGAGGCAAACAGCAGGAAATGCCAACAAGCCCTGGCAGAACTGGAGAGTGTCCTCAGTCACCTAGAGGACCTTTTCTCGAGGACGCTAGTACCACGAGTGTTGATCCTCCTTGGGGGCAGTGCCCTGAGCCCCAAAGAGTTCTATGAACTCGACTTGTCCCGGCTGGCCCCCTTCAGCGTGGACCAGAGCCTGAGCACAGCAGCTTGTTTGCGTCGTCTCTTTCGAGCCATTTTCCTGGCTGATGCCTTTAATGAGCTGCAGGCTCCTCCGCTTATGGGCACCATTGTCATGGCACAGGGGCACCGGGACTGTGGAGAAGATTGGTTTCGGCCTAAGCTCAACTACAGAGTACCCAGCCGGGGCCACAAACTCACCGTGACCCTGTCCTGCGGTCGGTCTTCCATCCCAGCCATGCATCTGGAGGATTACGTTTGGTTCCAGGCACCAGTGACACTTAAAGGCTTCCATGAGTGAAGGAGGGGCTTCCTAATCTATGAAGACACAGCAGCTGAATTCTCTCTCTGGTATCAACTTACCCATCTGTTCCTTGGAATTGGAGTTGCTTCTGGTGAGGGAGGAAGGAAGGTTCTGCCTTGGCCACCTGGCCTCCCCGCCTCAGGCCTCCTGAGAGGGCTGATGGCTGTGAATGTTGATAATCATCGTTGAATGAAAGGTCAACTTTACGGAGGCTGCTGGGGTCAGTTCGGGGTTGAAAAGCAGAGATGGTCCATGGAGTCTCACACGGAGGTGGTCCTTCGCTGCTCTTGCTCTATCCTTTCAGAATTGTTAGCAGTCATATGTGGGTGTGACTCATGAATTTTAATAGAAAATGAACAATCATATTAAATTTTCCTGAAAGTTTGGATATGTAGATACTTCTCAGCCTTGAGGTTATTTTGTTTTTCTCTTGGGCCTCTTCTCTCGGGCTTCTAGAATTTTTTTCACTAATTTTATTTTCTCTCATCCACAGCTCAGGCTAGTCGGCGTGTTATATGGCTTGGTCAAGGTTCTATAAGTAACATCTGGTAAGAACAGACATGAGGGCTGGGAAGGTGGCTCAGTGGTAGAGCGCTTGCCTTGCATGCATGAGGCCCTAGGTTTGTTCCTCAGTACCACATAAGCAAAAAGAAAAAAGCCGGAAGTAGCGCTGTGGCTCAAATGGTAGAGCGCTAGCCTTGAGCTGAAGAGCTGAGGGACAGCGCCCAGGCCCAGAGTTCAGGCCCCACGACCCGACCCCCCCCAAAAAAAAAAAACAGACATGAAACTAGAGTCCCTGTCAGTTAACATCTAGCCCATCACTCCTTGCCACATAGTGGCCTTTGTGACCCTAAAGTTCTGTGTGTCCAGAGCAGAAGTCACCTTTGATCTGGGCAAATCCTGGTAAGAAACTTAATTTTTTTTGTTTTTGTTTTTGTTTTAGTCCGGTCGTGGGGCCTGAACTCTGGGCCTGGGCGCTGTCCCTCAGCTCTTCAGCTCAAGGCTAGCGCTCTACCACTTGAACCACAGCGCTACTTCCGGCTTTTTTCTTTTTGCTTATGTGGTGCTGAGGAATCGAACCCAGGGCCTCAGGCATGCAAGGCAAGCGCTCTACCACTGAGCCACCTTCCCAGTCCCAAGAAACTTAATTTTCCTTGGCCACTGCATGAGAGTCAGGGATGAAGGGACCAGTCTGGGCTGGTGCTTGGTTTCAGCAAACTCTAAGCAGGTTTGCTGAAACAATGACAAAGGGAGGAGCTCCTCCTAAGATTTTTCTGTGACCTTAAAGAGGAGGAACTGAACCCTGTCTCCACTTAGGGAGGTAGGCTGAATGTCAAATCTGCTGTTGCTGGCCTCTGAGGACAGAGGAAGCTACAGCTTGTCAGTTTTCATTAAGTCAACCATCAATTGGACATATGCCGTATGCCAGGCTTGAGAAGCTAAAGCTGGATAGAGGCCCTGCAGTCTTTCACTGCTATTCTGGGCTCTTAATGGGTCTGGTAAACCTGTCTTTCAGATCTAAGAAGAAAATGTCAAGAGAGGAGGGTTGAGACACTACACTGTACAAAGGAAATAAGCTCTTTAAAAAGCCTGGTTGAACCATAGGCCAAGGCCCCCACAATTGCTATAGAATCTTGTAGGATTCAGGGCTGGGAAGGTGGCTCAGTGGTAGAGCACTTGCCTTGCATGCATGAGGCCCTGGGTTCGATAGATCAGCACCACATAAGCAAAAAGAAAAAAGCCGGAAGTAGCGCTGTGGCTCAAGTGGTAGAGCGCTCGCCTTGAGCTGAAGAGCTGAGGGACAGCGCCCAGGCCCAGAGTTCAGACCCCACGACTGGACCCAAAAAACAAACAACAGAATCTTGTAGGATTCATTCCTTCTGGCCAGATGTTCCTTCTGGTGATTGGCCCAACCTGTCTCCACTACAGCTGTTTGATGGCTGCTGTGATTGCTGTTGGCACAACCCTGCCCTCCTGCTTGTGGCAGTTCATCTTCATCAACATCAGACTTGGCCGTCACTGTCTTGGCTTCACTCTGTCCTGTCCATTTGAGGCTTAGAGTTCTTTGTCCCTGGGGAAGGCAATCCTTCACATTCCTGGAAGCAACCTGAGGACAGACTCCTCCCTGCTAGTTTTTGTTGGAGACAGGCGTATTCATGTGTGTATGTGTGTAGTGGGACAATAGTACACACATTGCAAGTAAAGTGCTTGAAACATGGTATATGACATATACACTGTGAGGTTTTTTTTGTTTTTCTCCTTTCCGTAGAGTTTTATTTGGCTCACAGTTTTGGAGGCTGAAAGTCCAGCCTTGTGCAGGCTCAGGCTCAGGCTCAGGTTGGTGCCTATCCTTTGAGGTCATTGAAGCTTGGTGATAACCAGGACTTGTTTTTTTAAAATAATAATTTAAAAAATAATTTTATTGAGCTAAGTGGCAGTGATGCATGCCTATAATCTTATGGTTTAGGAGGCTGAAATCTGAGGATTGCAGTTTGTAGCTAGCTGGGGCAGCAAAGTCTATGAGTATCTTTTCTCCAGTTAACTACTAAAAAGTTGGGAGCAGAGCTGTGATTCAAGTGGTAGAGCACCAACGTTAGGTGCAGAAGTAAGGGAGAGAGCCCAGACCCTGAATTCAAGCCCCAATAATAGCACACACACACACACACATACACACACACACACACACACACACACACACACACACACACAATTTGAATTCAACCTCCAGAGACTGTTGAATTTCCATTCTCCATTCTTCAGGATGCACTGGCTCCAGTGCCAGGCTGGAGCCCACCGTGCCTGGGACACAGCTCCCTGTGCCTGGACACTGTGTTTTAGGCACTTCTAAGCATTATCTAATCCTACCAATTCTGCAGCATAAGTAGTATTTTATAGGTGAGGTTGGGATGATTAACTTTCTTAGGTTCTACAGCATGGATTTGAACCTGGTGCACCTGGCTGTAGAGGTGATAGGTGCTCCTCAGTGCTGCATCATATGTGGTTTTCAGTTGAAATCACAGCTTGTGCTACCCAGGATGTCAGTATTGTGAAGTTTCAAGACTCACCTCTATCACTTCAGGCTCTGGTACATGGAACCAGAGTTAATGGGGAAATCCATAATTCAGTGAAGGCGAAACATTTGGGTTCTTTTCTCTGTGTGACCACTTGCATATGCCACCAGTCAGCATTAGCATTTTGCTGATTTTTCTGTCCTATATGACCTTATAGAAGCAGAACTGAGCCATATTTCCCACTTAGGGAGGGGACAAAGTGAAGGGTTCTGACCAATGGGAGTGAGGGAACTTGTGAATAAGGGGTTATAGTCATTTTGAGGTGAAAGATGGGTATATTAACCTAAGTCAACTCCCACAAATGCTGTGTGTGTGGTGTGGCGTGGTGGTCCTGAGGATTGAATTCAGGACCTAGACACTCTCCCTGAGCTTTTTTGCTCAAAGCTAACATTCTACCACTTGAGCCACAGTTCTGCTTCTAGCTTTTTGGTAGTTAATTAGAGATGAGAACCATGAACTAACTGGGTGGCTTCAAACCACAATCCTCAGACCTCAGCCTCCTGACATTATAGCTAGGATTATATGCGTGAGCCACAGGTGCCCAGCTCAAATACTTGTTTTAAATGCCTTCATAAACAATGCCTAAACAGTCAAAACAAAGTAATTATCTAGGTAATTTAGGCTCATTTCTCCATGGGTTTGGCATTGGGGCTTAGGTCATTAGGATTTTATGAGTCTTCCCCAAAGGAACCCAGACAGAAAAAATTAACACTGACAAAGCTGTTTTCCTCAGCAGCAAGCTTGCTGAGAAACCGGTTTGTGTTTCACATTGGCTGGGGGGCTCCAGAGGTGACTATGAAGCAGGTAGTTTTTAGCTGCAATGGGTCTACCACTGGGCCTAAACGCACCAGTTTTGGGCCCCAAGGTAAGTGTAGTCTAAGCATCAAGCTCTGTACCCTCAACATCCTTTATCAAGGAGTGGCCCTCTGGTCCCTGGTGGGATAGCCCTTGGAAGGAGTTGATGAGGGAACAGCTGGTGGACACACAGTGGACAGGGCGGGGCCTGTAAGACTTGGACTCACCTACAGGGTGAGTGTGTGCGTGCGTGAGTGTGAGTGAAGGGGCGTGTCTGGGCCTTGGCTGTTGGAGCCAGGAGGTGGTTTAGGCGCGTTTCTTCACATACTGAGGCCCAATGTAACCAGCCGCGCTGAGGTCTGAAAGCTGAGGGCGCGGGTTCCCTGGCGGGAGGGCGGGGCGGGGCGGGGCGCGGCGGGCGGAGCCCGGCTTCCGGCCTGGCGGGGGCGGGCCTCCGGGTCTCCATGGAGACGGCTTCCAGACACCCGCCGGGCGTTGGGAGCCGGTGGCGGCATGGACGCGGACAGCCTCCTGCTGTCGCTGGAGCTGGCTTCGGGCAGCGGGCAGGGCCTGAGCCCGGACCGTCGGGCCTCGCTGCTCACGTCGCTCCTGCTGGTGAAGCGCGACTACCGCTACGACCGCGTCCTCTTCTGGGGCCGCATCCTCGGCCTGGTCGCCGACTACTACATCGCGCAGGGCCTGAGCGAGGACCAGCTGGCCCCGCGCAAGACGCTCTACAGGTGGCCGCGGGGCGGCGGGGCGCGGGGCGGCCTGCGCCTGCGCGGGGTGGGACGGGCAGCGGGCGGCCCGGGGCCGCGGCTCGGGGGCTGGGCCGCGCCACCCCGGGGTGAAAGGGAACCTCGGGGCGGGGTCTGAGGGCGGGGCCGGGGGTGGTGCGCGCGTGCGCGTGCGCACACACTCTTGGGGCTGACACCTGTAACCCTAGCTACTCCAGAGGCTGAGATCTGAGGATCGCTGTTCGAAGCCAGCCTGGGCTGGAGAGTGTATGGAACCACTAAAAGCCGAAAAGTCGGGCAGTGGCTCAAGTAATAGTGCTACTAGCCAACGCCCAGGGACGACAGCACCTAGGATCTAAGTTCAAGCTCCAGAACCAGCACAAAGCAAACAAAAAACTGGAGACTATTCCCTGGAGTCTGCCATAGGGAGCATCTAGCTTCCTCCTGTCCGGCGATGGTGGGGAGCTAACCACTCCTTGAAGCACCTCATTCAAGCTGCATCTGTCCAGCACTGACCAGATGAAGATTTAAGTAGGGGAGTGGAGGGTGGGGCCAAATCAGCACTGGCTCCGCCCTCCTGGGAAGAGGCGGAGTTGGGTGAAGTGCTGAAGGCAAAATAGGAGGTTTTAAGTATAGACCTGGAGTCTCAAGGACAGTTTGGATGGACGAAGGGAGATTTGAGGTTCATTTCTTCTTACCATGTAAGTATTTGCTGAGCACTTACTATATGCTAAGCTTTGGTTTAGGTTAGGTACAGGAATTCATGGTAAATAAGACCAAGACTTGTCTTCGTGGAGCTCATGTTGTAGTGTGTTTTGATGGTCAGATAATAGAAAAGGGAGACCGAAAAGTACGTTACATATCAGGTAGTGTTAAGAACAGGAACTAGAGTGAGCAAGGTATCCTCTCTGATCAGTTCAGACTTGAGAACAGACCCAAAGTGAGTAGTACCTGTGGGCCAGTGTGAGGGGGAGTAGGGGTGGGATCCCCTGCAGTTCCCAGGCCAGAGGGGATTGAGGACATCCACTGAGTGTGGATGGTCCAGTGTTGCTAAGCTGTCAGATTTGTTAGTGTGTTAAAATGCATTTTTGTTTCATTCATTTATTCATTTTAGACAGTCTCACTTTGTAGCCCAGGCTGGCTTTGGAATAATTGCAGAGCTCAGGTTGGCCCTAAATTCCCAATCCTCCTGCTTCAACACATGGAATGCTGGGAATTACAGGCATACACCACTATGCTTGCCTTGCATTTTTGACTTGACAAGATTTTCTGTGTGTATGTGTGTGTGTGTTTGTGTGTGAGTGTGCCAGTGCTGGGGCTTGAACTCAGAGCTTAGGTACTGTCCCTTAGGTTTTTTGCTCAAGGCTAGTGCTCTACAACTTGAGCTACAGCTTTACTTCCAGCGTTTTGGTGATGAATTGGAGATGAATTTTACAGACTTTCCTAGCTGGGCTGACTCCAACCATGATCATCAGCTTTCAGCCTCCTGAATCACTGGGATTATAAGGATGAGCCACTGAGGAAAGCTGGCTTGGCATTTTCAGCTTATCAAGCAGGATATAACTCATTGAAGTTGAGAAGCATTTGAATCTGTGTCAGAGGAGGGTGGGCTGCACACCGTACGCACTTACAGATCCTAAGGGTCCCTAGGGAGGCAAGGTCTCTGGAGGTCGGATCCTAGGGATGAGGAGGGAAGGTGGCAAGAAACCTGGTATGAGAGGAGTTGGAATCTAGTGACCTCAGTGTTGTGTTGTCTGCAGCCTGAACTGCACAGAATGGAGCCTCTTACCCCCGGCCACAGAGGAGATGGTGACACAGACAGATGTGGTGAAGGGCCGCTTCATGGGGGACCCCTCACATGAGTATGAGCACACAGAGCTCCAGAAGGTGACCGAGGGCGAGAAGTCTTTCGATGAAGAAGTCGTGGTGAGTGAAGGTCCGGGAGATGGGGTGTATCAATGGCTCCTCCTAGTGGCCATTCCCAGTCAGCCTATTAGCGTTGGGCTGTGGCTCAGAGGTAGAGGGCATGGGCATGGGCATTATATGCGTGTGAGGCCCTCGGTTCCATCCCCAGCACCAAACCAGATCAGTCAATCACCACTAACAAAAGCTACCCCTAGAGCAATTAGGACATTACTGTTCCATTACTTCCACTCCTGCCTGGCTGCGTACTGAGTACCTAGGTACCTCGCCACTGCTCCTCTGTGGTACTCTCTGAGGCATCTGTTGTCTCTGTCCAGGGCTGCTATTTCCAGGCATCCCTACGAACACAGACATTCATTCATGGGTGTTCCTGGTGTCCACTATAAGTGGATTTCTTCAGTGTAAAAAGGTCATAATAAGCAGGACACTCGTGGTTTATGCCTGTAATCCTACTGTAATCCTAGCTGCTCAGGAGACTGAGATCTGAGAATCCTTGTTCAAAGCCAGTCCAGGCAGGAAAGCCTGTGAGACTCTTTTTTTTTTTTTTTGTCAGTTGTGGGGCTTGAACTCTGGGCCTGGGCGCTGTCCCTTAGCTCTTCAGCTCAAGGCGAGTGCTCTACTGCTTGAGCCACAGCACTACTTCGGTTTTCTGAGTGGTTTATTGGAGATAAGAGTCTCACGGACTTTCTTGCCTGGGCTGGCTTTGAACCGTGACCCTCAGATCTCAGCCTCCTGAGTAGCTAGGATTACAGGCATGAGCCACCAGCACCCGGCTGATACAGTGCTTGTCTTGAGCTGAAGAGTGAGGGACAGCACCAAGACCCAGAGTTCAAGCCCCACGACTGACATAAAAAAAATAAGATCATAATATGGGAAATGTTAGTAATAATGTTAAGCTACCAAGATCAGGATATAAAACTATATAAATGGTTACTCTGTTTTTTTTTTTTTTTGTCAGTTATGGGGCTTGAACTCGGCCTGGGCACTGTCCCTGAGCTCTTCAGCTCAAGGCTAGTGTTCTACCACTTTAAGCCACAGCACCACTTTGGTTTTTTGGTGGTTATTGGAGATAAGAGTCTCATGGAGGGGTTGGGAAGGTGGCTCAGTGGTAGAGCACTTGCCTTGTATGCCTGAGGCCCTGGGTTTGATTCCTCAGCACCACATAAGCAAAAAGAAAAAAGCCGGAAGTGGCGCTGTGGCTCAAGTGGTAGAGCACTAGCCTTGAACTGAAAAGCTGAGGGACAGCGCCCAGGCCCAGAGTTCAGGCCCCACGACCGGACCCAAAAAAAAAAAAAAAAAAAAAGAGTCTCATGGATGGGGCTGGGAAGGTAGCTCAGTGGCAGAGCACTTGCCTTGCATGCATGAGGCCATGGGTTCGATTCCTCAGCACCACATAAGCAAAAAGAAAAAAAGCCGGAAGTGGCACTATGGCTCAAGTGGTAGAGCGCTAGCCCTGAGCTGAAGTGCTGAGGGACAGCACCCAGGCCCAGAGTTCAGGCCCCACGACCGGCCCCCCCCCACAAAAAAAAAAAAAAAAAAGTCTCATGGACTTTCCTGCCCAGGCTGGCTTTGAACCGCAATCCTCAGATCTCAGCTTCCTGAGTAGCTAGGATTATAGGCATGAGCCACCGGTGCCCAGCTCACTAGTTTGTGTGTGTATGTGGTTTTGTTGATTTTTGGTTGTGGGGCTTGAACTCAGAGCCTGAGCACTGTCCCTTAGATTTTTTGCTCAAGGCTAATACTTGAAGACTAGTGCTCTAGCACTCTGAGTCACAGCTCTACTTCCAGTGTTTTGCTGATTAATTGGATATAAGAGTCTCATGGACTTTCCTCCCTGGGCTGGCTTCAAACTGTGATCCTGAGATTCAGCCTCTGAGTCACTAGGATTACAGGAGTGAGCCACAGTGTCCATCTATAATTTGAATATTATATCACATGTATGCATTATCATTTCCAGGAAGGAAGGCTAAGGAAGTGAAGCTGCAGCCCAAGTGGTAGTGTGCCAGCCTTGAACCAAAAAGCCAAGTAGGAGTGTGAAGCCCTAAGTTCAATCCTCACTACCAGTACACACACAGAAGGAAGGAAGGGCCAGGTGCCAGTGGCTCACACTGGTAATTCTAGCTACTCAGAAGACTGAGATCTGAGGATCATAGTTTGAAGCCAGCCCCAGCAAAGAAGCCCATGAAACTCATCTCCAATTAAGCACCCCCCCCCAAAAAAAATTCCAGAAGTGGAGTTTGTGGCTCAAGTGGTAGAGCGGTAAGCACTACCCTTGAGAACAAAAGCTCAAGGACAGCATATAGGCCCTGAGTTCAAGTCCAAGGACTGGCAACTAGCCCACAAAAAAAGGAAGGTTGGGAAAGGGAAAGGGGAGAAAGGAAGAGAGAGAAAGAAGGAAAGAGAAGGGAAGGAGGGAGAGAAGGAAGGGAAGGGGAAAAGGAAGAGAGGGAAGAAAGGCATGGATTGAGGAGGGAATCGAGGTAAGGACCTGACTGGTGTGGTCTGTGTGCTTGAACACTGGTGGTTCAGACAGGTGGCAGTGCCACGGTCCTGTGCCAGGCTGAATGAATGCTCTTCTCCTGTCTCCTCAGGTCCAGATCAAGGAGGAGACCCGCTTGGTGTCTATCATTGACCAGATTGACAGGGCTGTGGCCATTGTTCCCCGAGGTGCCCTCTTCAAGACCCCTTTTGGGTCTACTCATGTCAATCGGACCTTTGAAGGTAGATTCTCCGGGGTTCCCATCCAGGGCGGGAAGGTGTCTATACCCGAGCTGAGGTGTAAATGGCTGGGAGACAGAGGTGCTCCTCTGGTGCTACAGTTAGCAGGGGTCACTGCACTCTGAGTCTCTTTCCAAGTCCTTCCCTGCCATCCTAATGTGGAGAGAAAAGGCCTGTGGGCTTTGGGCCCACCATCCTCCCTGTTTGCCTCATTCTAGGACTCTCCATGTCTGAGGTCAAGAAGCTCAGTTCCTACTTCCACTTCAGGGAGGCTGTGGACCTGAAGAACAAGACCTTGCTTGAGAAGGCTAACCTGGACCCCTCCCTGGACTTCCTGGATTCCCTGGAGTATGACATCCCCAAAGGTAACAGTTCAGAGGCTCAGCTCAGGGCAGTGGGCCATGCCTCCTGCCATTCTCTCTGGGGTTGGGGCCAAGGGCCTGAATGGCACTGTGGGTTTAGTGGGAGTTGTCGTGGGTAGGGCTTTCCCAGAGCTCTGCTGTGACAGACGCTTGGTTAATGGTCTTCAGTAACAAAAGGGAGAACTGTTGGCATATGCTCTCACAGATGTGTGGTATCTCTGTGTCTCTTGGTTTTCAGAGCAGCCTCTGTGTGTGCACATACGAGCATGTGTGTACATGCATGCCAGTTCTGGGGCTTGAATTCAGGGCCTCAAACTCTCATTCATACATTCTCATTCTCAAAGATGGTGCTCTACCACTTGAGCCACATCTCCACTTTTGACTCTTTGCTCTTCCAAGCAGCCCTGGAAGTCCTAGAGATGTAACACATGTCTCAACTTTTAGTTTGGCAATTCTGCAGCATGCTGGGCACAGGCTGGGCCGTATAGGTGAGCAGACCACCCATTAAGAGAATGAGCTCCAAATGTTTTGCCTCCTGCTGTGTGTAGTGCTTTTTTCATCTTAGACAGCTCTGGAGGCCAGTAGTTTTTTTTGGCAGGGCCACTGGACTCCCTTTCTATGCCCTGAACATTACCAGTACAGAAGAGCAGGTGTGCAACCAAGACAGGTGCCAGGTCGATGTAGTGCCCTGCTTCTTCCCTCGTGTGATTGGTGTTCTGAGAATGGTGACAATGACACTAACAATAACTCATTAGTGCATGGATGCTGTTTACTGTATGCCAGGCCCTGTGTGCAGTCCTATCCCACTGCAGTCCCCACAGTCAGCTGGGGGGGGAAGAAACAGAGAGTCCAAGAGTTCACCCTAGTGACAGTAAGCATCAGAGTTAGACTTCAGGGCCCCAGCCTTAACTGTCAAGCAGATGCGGTGTCCTGTTAAGTGACTGTGGGAAGGACAGAACAATAGTCACCCCCAGCCCTAGAGGAAACACTTCTTTTTTAGTTTTCTTGAGATGATATTTTTAATTGTTATGAAAAGTCAGGTTATAGCCGGGTGCCTGTGGCTCACACCTGTAATCCTAGCTACTCAGGAGGTTGAGATCTGAGGATCATGGTTCAAAGCCAGCCCAGGCAGTAAAGTCCAAGAGATGCTTATCTCCAATAAACTACTCAAAAAGGCTGGAAGTGGAGCTGTGGCTCAAGTGTTGGAGTGCTATCCTTAATACAGAGAGGCTCAGGAATGTACCCAGGCCCTAAGTTCAAGCCCCAGGATGGGCCAAAAAAAGAAGTCAGGTTATGAGTACAGTGTGTCTTGAGCAATGTCACCCTCCCTTCATTCTCGCTCATTTCCCGCCTTCTGTCTCTGCCTGTACAAGTTGAGTAGCTCATTTTTTTTTTTTTGTTGTTGGTCATGGGGCTTGAACTCAAGGCATGAGCTTTTACTCTCAAGGCTACTGCTCTACCATTTTTAGCCACAGCACCACTTCCAGTTTTTGGTGGTTAATTGAAGATAAGACTCTCACAGACTTTCCTGCCTGGATTGGCTTTGAACTGTGATCCTCAGATCTCAGCCTCCTGAGTAGCTAGGATTACAGATGTGAGCCGCCAGTGTCCCAGTAGCAAGCATAGTGTTTCTAAGGGAACATCATCTGCTCTGCTGGGCTGTAGCTGGTGACATGGATGGAGCAGTAGGCCAGGGGCCAGACTTTTAGATGGTATTCTGCCATCCAGCGCCCCATAACTTTTTTTGGTCTGTTAGCAGGAAGCCACAGAGTAGCTGCTGAGCGAGTGTGGGAACAAGATAGACACCTCATCCTCTCAAGGAGGTTTGGGAAGATGAAATGAGACAAGCTATAGAACTCTCGGCAGCAATGCTCAGTTTGGGCAGCAGAGGGCAGCAAGGGACCTGCTGCCTGGAAAGCAGAGCTACAGGGGAAAGACAGGAGAGGATGAATGAGACAATGGCTTGGGGAGGGGTGGAAACAAGGCACTGGACCAGCCTTATAGGGGTGTGTGTGTGTGTGTGTGTGTGTGTGTGTGTGTGTTCCTTTGGAAGTTCCTTGGAAGCCTGGCTGGCAAATCTTGCCCTGGATCAGGGGACCCCACCACCCATCAGTTAGACTGGTGGCTGCACTGGGGTGTTACCGAATTCCTCCTCTGTCCCCAGGGTATTAGGGGCTTGCCTCTATCTTATGTCCTTGCTGGGGAAGGAGGTGGCTGTTTTTTTTAAGGTGACACAATTTAGGGAGCTGTAATCTGAGGAGAGCAGATGCCATTCTCCTCTGATCTCGCATGGCCCCTCTGACCTGGCGCGTACCCATGGTGGCCTCGGTGCTTGGGGCTGCAGCAGTGGCGGTCAGCAGGCAGGATGGGAGGGCAGGGGCTATGGAGCAGAGCACGAGGCGTCTCCCCGTCCCTAAGGAGGGGTGATGGCAACTGGCTGGGCCTGGGCATTTGCACCAAGGAAGAGGTTGAGGATGACAGCAAGCACTGGTTGCTCAGGTAGACGCTACGTGACTCCTGGCATGTGGAGAGTCTGTTTCCCAGACAACCAGCCGAGCCCGGAACTGAGAAGGCAGGAGTGTGACAGGAATGCAAGGGAGGGAGGCAGGCTCCTCACAGGCTGATACTTCAGTGGGCACCCCTGGGCCTGTTCCACACAGCCCTCTGGCCCTGCTGGGGGTGCTGTATTGCTCACTTGCCGTCCTGCCAGCGTCTCCCCACTATCCAGGTGGGAGCCCCTGATGATGGCCTAGGGGGCATTTTGAGCCCTACTTACATTACCTACTAGAGGCAAGAGGTGGGTGAAGGGAGGCAGGGTCTAGCCTAGCACTGGCCTGGGTGGGCCAGCATCTGGTGAGATAAGGGGCTCTCTGGGGTGGGGGATTTCCAGGGCTGTCTTCTCCAGGGCATTTGCTCAGAGGGCTACAGGCTGTCTAGGCAGGCAGAGAGCAATGAGCAGTCTGGCTTTTCTTAGTTCAGAGGGGCTGTAGTCTCCCAGGGCAGGGAGGGACCAGGCCTCTTGTAGGACTGTGGTTTCAGAGGATGCTCAAGGCAGGCCCTGGTGGGATGGTGAGGCTAGGGAATGGTACCTTCTGGGCTGGGGCTTGCCACGCACCATGCACTGAGAACACTGTGTTGCCATCTGGCACCCTCATCTCCCCTGGGCAATGCTTTCTGGAGATGCGATTAAAAGCAACAGGCTGAGGCCTCTTGACCTGTGAAGGGGCCAGCCTGGACAGACCTGCCAGTGCCCAGAGAGAAGGCGGGAGAGCTCCTGCCAGAGCCTGGGCAACACGGCACAGACATGCCCTACATTTTGTGTATGTGGTGCTGGTCCTTAAACAAGGCCTGAGCATTGTTTGTTTTTTTGCTCAAAGCTAGTGTTCTAATGCTTGAGCCACAGTTCTACATCCAGCCTTTTGGTGGTTAATTGTAGTTAAAGAGTCGCGTAGGCTGGGCACCAGTGGCTCATGCCTGTAATCCTAGCTACTCAGGAGGCTGAGATCTGAGCATCATTTCTTTTTTTTTTTTTTTGGTCGGTCGTGGAGCTTGAACTCTGGGCCTGGGCGCTCTCCCTGTACTCTTCAGCTCAAGGCACGCACTCTACCCCTTGAGCCACAGCACCACTTCCCTGAGGATCTCATTTCAAAGCCAGCCTGGGTAGGAAAGTACATGAGACTAATCTGCAATGAACCACCAGAAAACGGGAAGTGACGCTGTGGTAGAGCTGAAGAGCTCAAGGACAGCGCCCAGGTCCACAGTTCAAGCCCCAGGATGGGGGGGTGGGAGGGAGAGGAAGAGAGAGAGAGAAAAAAAAAAACTAAAAAGAAAGTCTCATAGACTTGCCTGCCTGAAATGTTTTCGACCATGATCCTCAGGTCTCAGATCTCATCTTCCTGAGGAGGATTATAGGCATGAGTCACTGGTGCCTGGCTTTCTTTTCTTTTCTTAAGATAGAATCTCACTTGAACTGGCCTTGGACCAAGATCCTCCTATCTCTGCCTCCCAAGTAGTTGGGATTACAGGCATGTACCATCATGCCTAGCCCTCCTAATTTTTCTTGATGTTGTGTGGCAGGCTCCTGGGTCAGGGAGTTGATAAATCCATCTTTTGGCTCTACCACATGGGGTGGTGGTGCTTAGTGACAGTTACTGCATTACTAAGGCAAACTCGGAGGGCCATGGTCAGCAGACCTCTGTGCTCTCAGAAAGCTCTGGTTTGGCCTGGGCAGGCATCTCCCTGCTGTGCTGACACCAGGCTGTCCCTGGCAGTCAGGTCTTTTAGATACAGGGTGGCCCCAGTGGGTGGGGACTGAGTTGAGGCTGCTGGGTGTGGAGTGACCAGGGTGGGCTGTGGCTGGAGGTGGGCTGTGGGAAGCTGGGGTGTTGGGAGCCAAGCAGCAGAGCTGAGCTGGCAGTGGATGAAGGCCTGGGAGCAGCTCGCAGTGCATGGCTGGTTGGTCCAGCACCAAAACCTTCAAAGCATTTGCCTTTCTGGCAGGGCCCTGAGCAGGGCTGTGGCTGGTTTGGGGGAGAGGCCTCAGTGCACAAGGGAATAGAAGCCCAGATCTGCATCCAGAGGCGATTTTCCCAGGCTCCTTCCTCCCACACAGCGGCTCCCTCCCTTGGATCTAGAGCTGGAGCAAGCCCGTTCAGCCAAGTCCTCATGGCTGGAGCACTCAGCCTGGGCCGGCTCGCTGCTGCCTGGAAGGTACAAAGCAGGGCAGAACTCAGCACTGACAACCACCAATTAGCAACCCAAGCCCCCTCCCAGTCCACTAGCAGGAGGTCCACTGAGCCCAGATGCCTGAAGGGGAGCCCCTAGTTAGAGGTCTAATCCATCTGAGGCTTCTGGGACCTGGGAAGAGAACCTATGTTAAGCAGGAGGCAAACTATACTAGGACTAGTGACAGGAAGGGAACGTGACCAGTCCTGGTATGGGGTAGAGTGGGGCGGGGGGCGGGGGCGGGGCGAAGCCTGGAGCCCTACTGAGCTGTGCTGAGCAGTCCTGTCTTGCTGAGCATTGTTTCCTCACCTTCCTGGAAGGTGAAGGCAATCGGCACAGTGTCTGGTGGAAACACAGGGTCTGGTGGAAAGGCCTCCCATTCCACCAGACCCTCAGTAGCAGGTCTGGCTGCCCAAAGCAGGGGGCCTCTGCCCTGCAGGCAGAGCTGGGGCTCCACAGCCCCAGGCCTCACCTCCCGCCTGTCCTCTCAGGGTCTTGGAGCATCCAGATGGAGAGGGGCAACGCTCTGGTGGTGCTACGCAGCCTGCTCTGGCCAGGCCTCACCTTCTACCATGCTCCTCGTACCAAAAACTATGGCTACATCTACGTGGGCACCGGTGAGAAGAACTTGGACTTGCCCTTCATGCTGTAGGATGGCGCCAGGCTGGGGATTTTAATCAGTTATAAATGTCATTGAACTTAGGGCCTATTCTGCCTTTCTTCATTCCCCCCTCCCTCTGGGGTCCAGCTCCGAGAGGTCTACCAGGCCAGGAAACCCAGTCCAAAGCACTGGCCTCTGGAAAACTGGAATGTGCGACTGCAGGAGACACTAGAACACGACTGCTGGCAACAGCTGGAGGTGACAACCTCCAACCTTCCTTTGAGGAAGACAAATGAAATGGACAAATGTGGGCTACCCGCGGGCCAGGTACCCCAACCCACCTCTTCACAGCCCCCATGCAAAAGCACCAACTGCCAATAGAGTAGGAACCTGTCTCGCATGGCATTCGTGTGGCCCATCCTTTGAGGTGAGTGACAGTGTGTAGTGGCTAGAAATGTGCCAGGTCCCATCCCCCTTCCCAAGCAATGAGTGCACACCTGGAGGGCAGGTAAACTTCCAGCCTGCTTTATGGTTCCTTCAGTTAAATTCCAGCCTCCACCCATGGGGGGAGCTGGGGGGGGGGGGGGGGGGGAGGAAATGAACAGGGCCCAAGTCAGTCGTGAGACCACAGCAGTTGCTGAGCGACTCAGCCACTCTGCCGGTACTGCAGCCAGTCCTGCCGCCGGAGGCCTCTACCCACAGCCAGGCGCAGGAGGCCCCGGAGGCCTTGCCCTAGTGGTACAGGCACAGAGGCTTTTTTGAGTAGCAGATGTTGTCCCTCAGGAGTGGTGAGCCAACGGGCATGCGCACCTTGTTCCAACGGTGGCCTTTTTTGTAGATGGGCTTGACAGAGCGGGTAGACCAGCGGGTGAGGTAGCTGTGGAGGGAGCACAAGGTCAGCGTGAGCGGCAGGGCCACACTGGGACAGGGAGAGCAGGGTGCGGCCTCAGACCAGGCCACCGTGGGCCAAACACTCTCCTTTGCCAGTTCTCCCTCTGTAAGGGCAGCTTTTCCTGAGAGTCACTGCCGAGTGTCCTGGAAACAGATGGGGCCGGGCTCTGTGCTGCAAGTGTGTGTGGTCAGGGTCAGGCGGCGTAGCCCGCTCCCTTGATCTTTATGAGTGCTGGGGAGAAGGCACAGGGAGGCTGCAGGGCGAGCACACTCCTCTCTGAGCTCAGCCTCGGGATAAGAATGACGTAAGGAACACAGAGGAACCCTGCACTCTTCCCCACTTGGCTTTCTCTGCACCCCAGCTTTCAGGGGACTTTCCAGGACACTCCAACTGGCACAGGACCTCTGCCCTTCACCCAACCTCTGGTGGGAACTGAGGGGCGCAGGCCAGTGACTTCAGCCTTGACCCAGGAAGCTTCCTGCATGTGGAGGGAAACAGCACCACAGCTCTCTAGTCTCCTTCGGAGATGGCGAGGCCCTGACAGTTCTTGGAAAAGTGGCTCATACTGCTGGGATTGGGGTTTTCTCGCTCTGGATGGGCAAAGGCCCATCCTTTGTCCTGACAACTCAACCACCAGGGCCAGGAATCTTCCCTCGGCTCTAGCTGGGCCTCACCTGAGCTACCTCTAGAGATCTTTTTTTTTTTTTGGTCCAGTCGTGGGGCCTGAACTCTGCGCCTGGGCGCTGTCCCTCAGCTCTTCAGCTCAAGGCTAGCGCTCTACCACTTGAGCTATAGCGCCACTTCCGGTTTTTCTCTTTTTTGCTTATGTGGTGCTGAGGAATCGAACCCAGGGCCTCATGCATGCAAAGCAAGTGCTCTACCACTGAGCCACCTTCCCAGCCCACCTCTAGAGATCTTCAAATAAAAAGCTTTTGTATGTGCTGGTACTGGGGCTTTCAGGGCATAGGTGCTGTCCTTGAGCTTTTTTTGCTCAACACTGGTGCTCTACCACTTAAATCACAGCTCTCCTTCTGGCTTTTTGGTGGTTAATTGGAGGTAAGAATCTCACAGACTTTCTAGATTCAAACCATGACCCTCAGATCTCATTCTCCTGAAAAGCTAGGAATACAGGTGTGAGCCACTAGCACCTGGCTTGAAAAGCTTAACTTAAAAGACTAATAACATTGATAGAAAGCTTTTAGATGAAAAAGTTAAAAGTTAACTGATGATTGGTGTATTTGCACCATGCTCCCTGGAACCTGGTCTTCCTGTCAGGGGGAGCTGAGGAGGGTGGCACTTGCGAGTGGAGTGTGCACTGGAGGTGTCAGGTGTCAACTGCTGACCCTGTTTGGCTGCTCAGGAAGAACCTAAGAGTAAAAGCAGAGCTCCCCTGATCACCCAGTGGCCTCTTTACTGGCTTTTCCTAGTCTTCGGAGTGATAGCTTTCCAAATGGGTGCTTGTTAGGATTCAAGGCTCCAGAAGACCCCAACTGACCAGAGCTATGGCCTGGGCTGTTCTTCGGCCGGCCTTGGGCCTAACGCCTGTGCCACACAGAGCAGCCAGCTGGAGGGTGCTAGGTGGCCTCTTGCCAGCTCGCAGGGAACACCTTTGCCCCTTCCTACCTCTTGTGGGATGGGGAGGCAGCAGAACAAAGCACAGGCTGTGCGTGGCAGCTCAGGGATGTCTGGCTGGCACCAGAGCCCCTGCAGGACAATTAACTGTGTTCGGAGCCAAACCCTCCCCCGGCCCCCTTCTCCCCACCACCCTCTGGCCTTTTGCAACCCAAGAGTCCCCACACATCATCAATCCTGTATCACGCTAAAGGACTCCGGATGCGTGAAGGGCCTGGCCCAGCTTCAAAGGCCCGAGGGTAGGATGGATGGTGTCCGCAGGCCTGTTGCTGGCTCTTAAAAGCTAGAGGGGTGGGCTTGACCCCCAAATGGACCACGGCACAGTGGTTACCATGTCCTGCCCCCCAGGGCTGCTGGCAGATGGCCCAGCTTGCAATGAATGTGTCAGTGAAGGCCCAGCTCTGGCCCAGCCTGCAGGCATGGGGAGGCAAGGTACCAGGAAGCAGCCCATGTTCCCACATCTTGTACCCTTGGCCCACCCCTCTGGCCTCCCCCGGCACACGTCTGGGTTTCTGGCAGGGCCTGGCCTGGGAGGTCTGCGGGGGTTGAGGGTCCTGCTTTGCTTCATCATCCCTTGGCCCCCTGTCTACCCCGTTCTGGCAGCTGGACTGGCTGAGGGAGGAAGCACTGGCAGGGGAGCACAAGAAACCCCCAAATCAATTTTCGGACTCAGCTCTGCTCTGAACAGGGCCTATCAGAATTGAAGAGGGTGTGAGTGTGGTGGTGCAAAAGATGGGAGAAGAGGAACAAGAATCTGCTCTTATGCCAGAGGGCGCTGACTGCCTGCTCTGGGTGGAGCAGACTGGTTGATTCTAGGCTCTGGGCCTTCCTCCCTGCTCTGCAAAGCCTCAGGACTTCTAGGCTACACGGATGCTGCCCCTGAGTGGTACAGTGCACAGCTAGCACAGCTCTATCTGGTGGCCCTATCCCCAAAAAATTCTCCATGTCTGCTCTAACAATCCTGGTGCTGGAGGACCGGGATATAAAAGTTCAAGGAAGTGGGGCTGGGAAGGTGGTTCAGTGGTAGAGCGCTTGCCTTGCATGCCTGAGGCCCTGGGTTCCATTCCTCAGCACCACATAAGCAAAAAGAGAAAAGCTGGAAGTGGCGCTGTGGCTCAAGTGGTAGAGCACTAACCTTGAGCTGAAGAGCTGAGGGACAGTGCCCAGGCCTAGAGTTCAGGCCCCACGACTGGACCACCCCCTTCCCCCCCCCAAAAAAAGTAAGTTCAAGGAAGTGCTGACATCTCCATAGCAACCCAATGTGATGTTATAAATAGGAATTACCATATTCTAATGCCCAATCAGCAGCCTTACCCTCCTGTTCTTATATCAGTGCTTCTTAGGAGAGGGAAGAAGAAAGCAGCTGGGGGCTGGGAGGCAGAACACTGCACGGCACAGTCACAGTGGGAGTGACAGGAGTTGGATGGACAGCCAAGGCATGCCTGGCATTCCAGTGCTAGGACAAGCTCCAGCAAAAGGTTTCTACGGCGATCCGGCAAGAGCCACAGGCCCAAATGCTCAGGTGGCTGGTACTGTTTTGCTTACCGGTTGAGTTTGAATTTGTTCTTCGGTACAAATCCTTCAGGAAGCCGAGGCCTGTGATTTGGTAGCAGACCTGAGTGCGAGGAAGAACACATCAGGAGTTCTGAGGGGCTCTGGATGGGGAGGCACCTGCTGTCCTCTGCCCCTCTTAGCTCAGGGACCTTCTACCTGCTCTGTGGGCCATCTTGACACACTCCTCAATCTTGCGATGCTCTTCCAGGCACAGACCTGTGACTGTTCGGGGCAGCATGCCTCCGTGAGGCCGGATGAACTGGCTGAGCAGCAGCACGTCCTAGTGGAAACGGAAATTAGGAGGCCATCAGCTGGGCCTGTGTGTGATGCTAGGCATCAGGGCTCTGCAGCTCACAGGGGAGCCACAGCGTGGCTTTCCTTCTTGGGAGCTGACTTGAGACCACGTCCTCCACATAGAGCTTGTACACGGATCTGCACTCGGGCTTCAGCACCTCTAGGAGAGTCTCCTGATGGTGAATGAAAGTGAGAGATCAGTTCTTCGTGCGCTTGCAGGGTCTGTCTTGATGGAAAATGTCTGGCTGTTTTCTTCAGGTTGTGATTGGGAACATGTGAAGTTCTCCATACCCAGAGGGAGAGGTGAACCTTCCAGCCCCAGACCCTATATGCCACACACTGAGTGTGTGCCTACACCTCCAGCTCCTGTCCTTCCGGAGGTGCCAGGCAGCACGTGTTAACTCTGTTTGCTAAGTCCCATGCCCACATGAGAATGGACTTCAATTCATTTGGAGTACAACCTGCCCGACAGACTTCTCAGGATTGGGGAAGATAGTTGTCAAGGAGGAAGGATAAATAGACAAGAGCGGGGCGTCGGAGGCTCATGCCTCAGGAGGCTGAGATCTGAGAATCGAGGTTCAAAGCCAGCCTGGGCAGGAACGTCCATGAGACTCCTATCTCCAATAAACCACTCAGAAGACCGGAAGTGGCACTGTGGCTCAAATGGTAGAGTGGTAGCCTTGAGCTAAAGAGCTAAAGGACAGTGCCCAGGCCCAGAGTTCAACCCCCACAACCGACAAAACAAAACAGACAAGAGACCTCCTCCCTCTCACCCTCTACCCTCCATGAATGGTTGAAGGGATTAAATTGGCCTCTCTCTGGGCCTGGTATACCAGACTTAACAGTCATGTTGCACATACCAGCTTGCTCCGAGCCTTACTGTGTAACCGCAGAATGGGGACTCAGAGCCCCTGTTCATGTCCCTGTACTCCTCAGAATTGGATGAAAAGAACTTGGATTGGATTAATCCAGGGCTAATAAACTGGGCTTGCAGCTACAGCCCTTGTAGTAG